TTAGTATCCAAAAATAAAACAAAAACTAAAAAATAGTGTTTTTAAGAAAACATGTTTTTCATTAATGATGAAACTTAAAAATAACATCAAATACAAGCACCGTATTCTTTTTTCAGACCTATAAACGATCATTAGATTTGTTGTTTTTTAGTTTTGGCCAAGATCTTGTTGATACATCTGCCAAATTTTCTTTGGTCTCTCACTCAGAACGTTTTTTTCTGTATCTAAACGCTTGAGTTCCATTGAACTGTGAGTCTACACATAAAGATGTCACTGATTAATACTCACGTACCTTTTTAATTACCAAGCCAACTTATCCTATGCTGATATCAAACTATTTTCGAACGCTTCAAATGCTTCGCGGGATATAGTTGTGAATGATTCATTTCTTTTGATAAAATAACAGTAGAAATGTAAATTTAACAAATATTGGTATAAACCTAAAGAAAAAATCAAAAGACTTGAAGTACAATTACCTAGGAGAATTTTTATTTATTCCTGTAGTTAATAAAGAAATAATGATTGCCTAAAAATATTAATAGGATACTGAGTCAGAGAATACGTACACTGGAGAATATAATTATTCATAAAAATTAGAGAAAGTATCCAGAACGCATATCACTCGACAAAATTCCAAATTATTGGAACGATATCAACCAAGTAAATGAATATGTAAGTGCAATATATTAGTACAATTAAACAGTTTAAATCAGAGATATAGAACTTTCCACTTCCATACCTCTGGTTTGAATCTATGATGTGTGATTCTAATGTATATGCTCTATACAGGGTGAGTCTTAAATAAGTGCAAATATTTTCAGGGCTGGTAGATCTCGATAAAAGAAACATATTTTCTCTTTGTCGTTTTTCAAATAAGTCCAAAAAAAACGAGCTATTTTACTTTGAAAATTTCCAGTAAAAATGAGTTTTTGCTTAAATTTTTTGAGAACCACTGTATCTTTTCTGGAAACCACTGCTTTTTTTTCAAAAAAATTCCAAATTTTCGATTTTTTTTTCGCGAAACAAACCTCATAATCGTGTTTCGGGGGTCGAAATCCTACCCCTAAAAATATTTGCACTTATGTAAGACTCACCCTGTATTGTTATTTGTCGAATTGTTATTTTGGGCCTATATTTTTTAAACTATTAAAGATTTTCTATAAACATTTACAAATAAAAGTGATATAAAAAAGCTCAGTGATGTTTTTCAGCCATACTGATATTTACATTTCCCAATAATAGGTACGGTAATCAAAAATTTACTGATTCACAATACTGAATCATCAAAATCTACTCTACGTCGAGTAAACATAGCTTAAGTGAAAAAAATTTAGCTCTTGTTTCTCACAAAAAAGAGCTATTATTAGTGTATTGTGCTAAATAAATGTTTGGGCAACGCTTTTGATGCAAATTGATGTCGTATAAATATAATAATTTCTGGAGAATATCTTAATTGGAGAATAAAAACCGAGAGTTGTCCAGAAAATAAATAGTGGTTCTATTTTCGTGAAAATTATTTGAGAAATATTATGTAACAATACCTTCAAAATTCTGCTTTTCAGTTTCAGATAAATATATATATTCACAGCTGGTAATAAAAAAACTGACTTTTTGCCAAATATTTTGAAGAAAACTCACGGTTTTTTAATTTTTACACTTAGGCATCTTATTTCACCTTGTTTATTAGTTAGCACGAAATTTTAAACATAATTAACAAATATATATGATCTCTATAATTAAAAAAAATTGGTATTCTGAAAAAGCCACACCGATTTTGAATTGAAAAAGAGCACCGCATTAAAGTATAAGTCTTCACATTTTTTTTAAGCAACACAAACTCAGATTTTAAATCATATTACAACTAAAATGGCGAATGAAACGGTTTACTTCTTTAGATCGGCAAATAATAAAATGAAAAATGGAGTACAAACGGCCTACAAGCTCTTGTTTTGCGCAATAATACTTTTAAAATAAAACGTATATGAAAACAAGTATTTTGGGGCCAAGGTTTTTCAGCTTTCAGCAACTTAGATCGCTTAATATTAGTCACTGTGTAGCAACGTTTCGGAATTATTGATGTTTCCATAGCCAAAATTCGTATCGATAGAAAAAAAAGAGAGCATAATAAAGAAAATATTGAATTGCACAAAGAAATTAATAAATTTTATGTGGGAATAAAAACTATTTACATCGAGTGCCGGGGGCAGATGTTTGTTATTGAATTTACCGCTCCTTCAAATTTTTGATGTGTTTATTTTATTACTGGATGCATTTATAACTATTTATCTAATAACTTCACGCGTGAAGAAGGTCTTTTAAAAATAACTTTTCATGAAAACCAAAATATTAATTTGGTTATCGCAAAAACCGATGTATAAAAATTGTGATACTTCTACTCTACCAGATATATGTATAAGTAGCGTGTACCAGCGACTTCGTTCGCGTCGAATTAATCATTTGTAATGGTGATGATAAAGCAAAGCAAGAATTTCCATTTTTAACATACAAACTGGATAAAATTTTCTCACATTTATGTCGGCATGAGAAAAAAGCAATATGGCGATATTATTATATAACTTGGTAATATTTGAGGGGTAGTTTCATCTCGTTGGAATTTGATTTTCGAAAAATTCGTTTGCTAAAAATAAGCTTTTTACGTCAAGCAGTTTAAGCAGAATCGTGGTTAAGAAATTACCCAACTTTTTGGAACACCCTGTATGATTTTTTAAAAAAATTCAAAATATGTAAAAAAAAACAAATAAATTATGCTTTTCCAAGCGTTTTCCCGAAAGACTAACCGTTTTTTAAATAACAAATATTGTAATATTTGAGGGGCGTTTTTACCCTCTTGGAATTTGAGATTCGAGAAACCCCTCCTTATCGAACCTCTACACCCCACAGTCAATCCGTTTGCCAAAAATCAGCTTTAAACGTCAAGCAGTTTAAGCAGAATCGTGATTACTCAGTGGTCATATTTTATGAAACACCCTGTATAAATTTATAAAAAATCTTAAAATATGTAAAACAACAAAATAAAATATACGTGTTTAAGAGTTTTTCCGAAAAACTCACCGGTTTTAAAATAAAAAATATTTTAATATTTGAGGGATAGTTTCACCCCCTTAGAAGTCGAATTTCGAAAAATCCCTTCTTATCGAACAGTAAAGTCAATCTGTTTTCCAAAAATCAGCTTTTTATGTCAAGCGTGATTAATCAATGACCAGATTTTTCGAAACACCCTGTATACATTTTTAAAAAATCTTAAAATATGTAAAAAAACAAAATAAAATATACGTGTTTAAGCGTTTTTTCGGGAACTTGACCGTTTTTTAAATAAAAAATATTGTAATATTTGAGGGGTGGTTTCACCCTCTTGGAACTGGAATTTCGAAAAATCCCTTCCTATCGAACCTCTACACCCTAGAATCAACCTGTATGCCAAAATTGAGCTTCTTACGTTGAGTGGTTTGAGCAGGATCGTGATTAATCAGTATGTCAGTCACTTAAGGATTTTATGTATTAGTATAGATGCCAAAAATGGAATGGATGTTCGTGTTTTACATTATTGGATTATTTGCCCATAACTATAGTTTCTTCAAAATTGATGACCTGGGCAAATTTGATCAATTTTATGACCATTACGTATGGAAAAATAGTTTTCCAAATTAGTCCATATCTCAGGTTCATAAAATCAACTAATTTTAATCATAAAATTATGAAATTGAGAGGTTTTGTAGCAACTTTTATGCAGCCATTCGAAGACGTATAACGCAAATATTCTAACTTCTTTAAAAATGAAATAATTTTGAACCCCTCTATTTGGAAAATACTAAAATGGATTTTTTATGGAAATTTATGATATGTCCAGAGCTGCAACAAGTCAGTTTTAAAAAGACTTATGTCATTTCTAAAATGAAAATGATTTAAGTCTTAAGTCAAATTCAACATCAAACCAAACCTTAATCAAGCCTTAATCAAAGCACCTGTGTTTGGAATTTTAGGTATGGCTTAACACGACAGGGTTGGGCTAAGCCTTAGGCAGATTTCTGAAATATAATATGTATTTCCTTCGGCCACAAACCCGCTTTTCCCGACCCCTGAGAGCGACCCGAAAGTACAGCGTAATAGACTAACTAGTAAGTAATAGACTAACTACTAAGTCATTAAAATGATTTAAATCAAAAAAAGATTTTAAGTTTTCTGTGAGCTTGCAGCTCTGGGTATGTCCAAAATCGACCATTAGATGTGGAAAAAGAGGCTCCATGGAGCTCACCCAGTTCAAATTCATGTTCCCATAAGGAAATTAACTAAAATGGAGTGGACGGTAATAGAAGAGAAGATAATAAAAATTACAGGCTTTTTTGTATTCGCAAACTAAACGGAAAAAGTGAAAATGTTGCCAAGTCGAGGCTTCGACCTGGCAGGAGCAAGATCGGCTTAAGTCGGATTGCAGTGCGAGCAGGACGCTCGTGTCATCGGCTCGAGCATTGTCGTTTACACTCGAACGTGCCGCCCTATATGGTTTGGCATGGATCGCGCCTGTATAAAATTACACACATCTCTTTTTCTCGGCTACCTTCTAAAAATATCACGCCAGCCTACGTTTATTTCGAGAGAACCGTACACTATTTTTCATCCCGATCCAATCGGACCCGTCTTATCACTTATTTTACAAACATTCTCCTTTAAACTATCCCCAAAAAACGTTTCTTTTAACTTTTTATTTGGTCATAATCAGCATACTATCTATTCTGGAGATACTCTGGGATGAATTTGGAAAATTAGATGCAGGTATCCAGAAAGCGGGTTTATTTAGAGCTTCAAGTGATGAGATTCTTGAAACTTAAAGAAAAACTAAAGATTCCATTTGGGCATGTCCGACAATGAGTCATAATTAAAGACCTGACCTGTGCGAGGTGGAAAATTGGGAAAAGCGCGCGACATAGAGATCGTTCGAGTTTGTGGCGGCGCCGAGAGTCGCCGGTGGTGGGGCCTGGCAAGGGGGGGAACCCTCGCCGCGCTGGATTAGACCCGAAGTACACATTGGACTCCTTTAGTCAGTGCTTTGGAGGCCACCAAGCAAACTTTAGGATAGACGAACGACTCGACGACGCGCGTGCGACGGGAACGACCACGTACACCGCGATCCGCGAAGTGTGTGTTGTGCAGTGTAGAGTGTTTGGGCTACCAACCCTCTACTAAACCTCAACCTCCACCCCTTGCGTGAAGTAAGTTCGGTGCCTCGTCCCAGTGAGCGTAAGTGCCCATCTAGTGAACTGGAGTTGATTCAATCTTCCTACTACAACTGTGCTCGTTGATAAACGATTAAAATCCCCTAGATCAGCAGTTACGCCCGCTGCGGAGTTAATAGCGCTCCAAACACTCATAAGACTCGTTCGACTTTCAGGCAGGGTTCATGTTCACGATAGCAGGGTAACAGAACAGAGTTAGCATGGGAGTGGCGGAGGATTTCGCTCCCAGCTTCACCCAGAAGCCGCAGCTGAGGCAGGAGGACGACGGCAACAAGCTCGTCTTCGAATGCCAGCTGCTCGCATCACCCCAGCCCGAAATACAATGGTTCCGTAGCGACACACTTCTTCAGGAAGACACAAGGACCAATTTCAAAATCCAGCCCATCGGTACCAACAAGTACTTGGTGGTGTTGGAACTAGACGATGTGATCGAGACAGATGCAGGCCTGTACAAGGTCAAAGCGAAGAACACCATGGGGGAAGTTGCAGCGTCGATCAACCTCAACTTCAGCCGTAAGTAACAACTTTCTCTTCCTAATTCCATATATCTTTATAAAAAAACTAATCTCCTTCTATTTTTAGCAATGGACGAGCCAAAAGAAAAGTAAGTATCCTTATTTCTCCATCGGCGTACTTCTAAACGTCTCCATTAATGTTTCTAGACAAATCGATGGTCTAGCACCAACTTTTGCGAAGAAACCTGCCATTCGGCAAGAAGAAGACGGCAAAAAGCTTCTTTTCGAATGTCGGATTCAAGCGGATCCTCGTCCAGTCGTCAGTTGGTTCCACAATAACAATTCCGTTAAAGAAAGTCCCCGTCATAAGGTACTTAACAAAGTTACAGTTAAATTTAGTTTCCCAGTTTTTTTAACGCTCATTGTTTTAATATCCACTAAATATATACCTGGCAGTGGAGAAACAAAACATTGACAATAACATATAAGATATTCCGTGCAAGCGAGTTGGTCATACAAATTGAATAAACTATAAAATACCTTCGACACTTCTAGGAGAATACTAAGAAGCATCTAAGTCACACCTTCTTTCTCTACAACTCAAATAATTCACCCATTTTGTTTACTCTATCTTGTTGGTGATCTTAATAAATCCTATGAATCGGTACCAACTTATTGTTTATTTATTACTATTTATAAAAATTCCATTAGTAACTCAACTATGAATCAATTTAATAATAGAAGTGCCAAGTTCACTTGGCGCAAGGTGATTCTGATTGTAACCCATACTTTACCACAGAGTGGTCATTTTTGGAGGTGAAAACAGAGGCTTATTTTTCATGGAATAGGATAAATATTGATTTATACCATGGATCGTATAAAATATATTTTGTAGAAATTCGCTTGCACTGTAAAAATTATTTGAAAATTCCCGTCGGTACCCAGTTAAGGTTTTTGTATATACATTTTCGTAAGACTTGCAAATTAAAGAAGATAAATGCTTTATTACAAAACATTTTCTTTCTAGAATACACCAAGATGATTATAACCACGTTATCATTATCGATTACTGATGAATTTGATAATATTCGACTTGTCGTTTGTTGATTCTCACTAACTTTCCGTTTCCATTCCATATCCGTTCCGTATTTTTAATTGTATTGACGCTATACGTAAGCTTCCGTTCCGTATCAGTTCCATACTTTTTATTGTACAACTTAAATCATTACAAAAGTTTTATTTTAAAAATTTGTATCTTTTGCAAAAGGTAATAGATTTAATTAAGAGGTAAAAGAATAAATAAATATCAGCAAAATATTAACAGAGCTGGTACAAAATGTAAAAACTTGACAACGCTGTTTCCGATACGCTTCAGCCCGTTCGTCAAAAAGACGTATGGAAGGAAAGAATATTGAACGGAAAGGAAACGGAACAGATAGTGTGCACTGTCCTATTCATTTACATGATATAATATTTTATGTAAACGGAAGGGAGCTGACATGGAAGGTATAGCGAGAATCAACCTTTAGTGTTCTTCTGCTGGTGATAATGTTAATAAATGATTGTGTTTTGGTGTAGAATAGAAAAAAGATGTGTATATTTTTTTAAATAGAGAGGGACATTCAGAAGTATACAAGCGATACCCTTGTGTCAGTGATTGTTTAATAGATCCTCCTTTCCAAGACCTATTCCTGTGTTTTGAGCTTCTCTATAGTTTGCTGGAGTTTGATTTCTTCAAGTGTTACGAAAATGTGTGCGCCAAGACCTTGACTGAGTTTTCGTCCTTACTTTCAGTTGAGGATAGACAAGGATGGACACTCGTACTTTGCGACCCTTGAAATAATAAATGTCACAGTTGAGGATGCTGGCAAATACAAGGTGACTGCAAAGAACGAGCTTGGAGAGAGTAACGCGACGATCAGTCTCAACTTTGACAGTAAGTTAAATGTGGTGTGTCTCCTTGCTTTGTGTGTCCTCAGTGCCGTTATCTTCCACTATTCTTAATCTCCATCCAGCTCGCGAATCGCATAACAGATCACTATTGCGGGGGCTGTTTCGATTCAGTGTTGCCAACGTAAAGTCACGATAATCGAACGTTCTCACTCGGTCATGGTTTTGTTATGTTTGTTGTCATTAACCACCAAAAATAATTGAAAACGGCGCTTTTGATCGTACGCTTTGTGCAACTCAATGTCGTTGCAACGTATTAATCAAGTCTGGCAAATATTTTCAAACTCACTCAAACCTGGAACAAATGATGTATGCAGAGAGTAATTCAATAATAAACTACTTCAATTGCAGAACAGAAAAGAACTCAGATTGACCATGCTTCTGAAATACTGAAATCCCTTTTCAAAACACGTAGGAAATTGTTAGAATAAAATCCGGATGTAATTACAAAATAATATAATCAGGCGAATACGTTTAAAGCTTTAAAGAAATAAACACGTTGAGTATTCCTGGTCATAATTTAAGCAAAAAAATATACCTTGAGAATTTGTAATTGTAATGAGAATAAATCACTGAAAAACTCATTTTTTATTAAGGAATATTTTAACTCCCTGTGTAAGTTAAATATTTAGAAAAAATTAAGATCCTGCTTGAAATAAAATGTAGGAAGAGAACCAATAAAGTCATAGTTTGTAAAATTACTCTACCCAAAGAGGGAAGCTTTAATTTTAGAACAAATTTTTATATACAGGGTGAGTCTTAAATAAGTAAAAATATTTTGAGGGGTAGTATAATTCGACCCCAATGAGGTTTTTTTCGCGAAAATTTTTTTTTGAAAATTTGGAATTTTTTGAAAAAAATTTTGGTATATTCTGAAAAAAAATTATAATATGGCAATATAGGTAGTTGATTAAATTTACAAGAAGGAAACCCTAGAAAAGATTTTTTTTTATTTTAAATAACTCGATTATTTGGGACTTAAAAATGGTACAGAAAAAAATATGTTTCTTTTATCGAAAGATCTACCACTAAAATAAAGAGAAGAAAAAAATCAAGAAAATACTTATTTAAGACTCACCCTGTATATTTCCAATACTTTGTTAAGTGATCTGATTAGAGAGAAACAAAATTGCATAAAAATTCTGATTTTAATTTTGTCCTCATTCGTGGATTTCTGCAAAACATCAGACCTTGAAACTAATACAAAACATTTTTTTTAATCTACATACCAGTTAAAGGCATGATTGTATTTGTTTATGGTCTTTGTGTATAGGGAAGCATGGAGATAAGAGTATTTTCTGTTTGTTACTTGAGAGAAATAAAGATTGTGTTTGTTGTTGAATTGCCGTGTATAAAGCAGTAACTTTACCCGCAAATTCCCGGCTTTTTAAAACCTCGTTGCCTCGAGCCATTCCGGCCGAAAACGAACTGGCAACACTGCTTCTAACAGCGATATCCGCCCCCGCACCCCTGTCCCTTCTCTCGGACGGACAAGTAAGTCAGCACTCGTGCACAGTACAATGGACTAACCGACGCTTAATCTAAGCTCAGCTTTTAATTTGCAGTTATTTAACATCCCATTTTCTAATCAGTGTACATTAGGTTCCAATTCGTTTGTGTGAGTTCCGCTTAGATTAGATGAGTGACGAAGCTAGGCTGCCCAGTTGAGGCAGAGATGTCCACACGACACTATTTTATTGATTAACATAACAACAACCTATCGAATCGAAGGCCATGTTCTTGCAAAATGTGACACTTGTATTTCAGAGTCGTACACCATATTTTGATTTAGCGACGTTCACTTTAACATAAAAGTAGCAGTAGCGATTAAAAGCTGAGCTTTTCCTTTCGGTGAGCATTGTAAGTTGCGCGAGTTGCTGGCTGTCCGTGTCGCGATAGCCAGTTTAGGGCAGTTTCTGCGTAGGCGACGAAGCACCGGTGCCCGAGCAGGAGGGCATCAAGCCGACCTTCACCGAGCGCCCAGTCATCCGCCAGACAGACGACGGCGCAACCATCACCTTCGAGTGCCGCTGCGTGGGCGTTCCCAAGCCCGAAGTGCAATGGTACGTATGCGCACAATACCCTATGCGCAGAAGTTGGCTCAATCCACCCGTAAAGCTCTCCCTTTTCTCGTCCGACCATAAAATTCGTCAATTCTAAAATAGGAATTTCTCCCCCTCAACATAACAATCCATTTTTTATTTATTAGTCACTCAGATTTTCAGAAATAAGATATCGATAAATCAAAGGTCAATACTCACATTCCAGAAAAAATATAGTCATTCATATATGTAATTACGAAAACTTCTAATGATGTCACAGTCGTTTTAAAAATTGCCGGTGACAAATAAATTGTTATTCGTAATATAATCACCACTTTCAAAAAATGGCAAGTATCCAGATGCCAACATAACGCGAATTGCATCAGCGTTTATTATTTAAGTTTACTAGTATATCAATGCCATACTTAATTTTCTTCTTTAAAGAAACTTCTTCAGAAATGAGCAAATTTATGAAATAACCAATAAATCAAACTGATTGGGCCACCTTCTGTAGTTTGTCATTCTCTATGAGGATGCTCCTGGATATTGAGTGCGTTGTACAGGTACCACGGCAAGGAAGAGGTCCGAGAAGATGGAAGGTACGTCCTGTCCATGGAGCTGGACCAGAAACTGTACTACCTGGCTAGACTGGAGATCGCAGCCGTACAAAAGAACGATTCAGGTGAATACCGGGCCGTAGCACGCAACAGGCACGGTACGGCCGTGGCTACCATCAACCTGAGCTTCGAGAGTCCAGAAAAACCCAAGTAAGACAAGTGTGACAGTGTTGGACTGGAACCAAAAGCATTGGCCTAATTTATATGAGGCTAAGAGGACTAAAAAAACAAGTTGGCTTGAACTGAATTTTCCGACGTGAAACCACTATTTTTGTTCGTTTTGTTGAATTTCAAACACATAAATAAAGTCTGTCTGTGTTAATTTTATTAAATATACAGGGTGAATCTTAAATAAGTGCAAATATTTTCCGAGCTGGTAGATCTCGATAAATGTAGAATGTAGAATGTTTAGGAGGGGAGTTAATCACCGCGACCCTACAGATCTATTGTGTGTTCCCCTTTCTTGAGTTATAACTCATCATACAGTCTCAGGCAGGGGCGGCTCGGAGCACTGGAAGATGGTGAGGCACATTAGAAGAGAATTTTTATTAGTATGTATATAGGGTGGCCATTAGTACGAGAAAGTTCTATATAAAAAAAAAATTGGCGCCGGGAGGCACGTATAACCGCCCATACTAAAATATGTTAATATCTAGTAGTGGGAACTATCGAATGAATACTATCGAAACATTCGATAGTTGCAATTCATTCGAATAATTCGATAGTTAGTAAGAAAACATTCGTTGAAAACTATTCGAATAAAAATTATCGAATAGATCCGTCATCTGCCTTGAAATATTGTATTTTACTTAAATCAAGGAAAACCTTTGATTTTTTCTCGGTCATAAGTTCTAAGGAACTTTTTCGAGTGTCTTAGACCGTTGGAGGACACCCATTCCAAGTTACGGATGGAGTCTTCCAAATTCTTCAGTTCCGCTTTCAGTTGGTTCCCGTTTGGAAAACAGAACGGTTCTGGTCCAGTTAGTGGAGTGTTCGCTCCTTTTCTAGCTAGATCATTTGCTTTTTCATTGCCTTCTATCCCTTGGTGAGCAGGCACCCAGAGTAAGAGGACTTTATTTTCTTTACCTAATTTGTTGAGCTTCTCTAGGCATTCTTTGACCAACATCGAATTGATGGTTACTGAGTTGATCGCGTTAAGTGCTGCTTGACTATCGGATAGGATGGCAATTTCCTGTTTTCGATAGTTCCTATCTAAGATAAATTGTACGCATCTTTCGATAGCGCAAATTTCAGCCTGAAGGATACTGGGGTAGGTGCCCATTGGTTCGGAGTATTCAGTTTTCGGCCCAAATACTCCTATCCCTGTCCCTGCTTTGGTTTTGGAGGCATCAGTATACCACGTAATGGTATGGTCTTTTATATGCTGAGTAAGCGTTTCTTTCTTCCAATCCTTTTTATTACTCAATACTACAGTGAGGTGTTTCTCAAAGTTGTAAATTATTGGTATGTCATCCACTGGGAGTTGGAGAAGTGGAATTTTCTTTTTGAGGGTGTTCCAAGCCCCTGACCTGAATATTCTCCCAGTACTGTTTCCGTCAGTAACCATTCTAATCATTGTCGCATTGGCATAACTACCGACGACAATGTGCAGTGGTGTTAGGTCTAGAATGACCTCCATTGCTGCTGTTGGACATGTTCTCATGGCACCTGTATGCAGACACATGCCATTAGTACGAGAAAGTTCTATATAAAAAAAATTGGCGCCGGGAGGCGCGTATAACCGCCCATACTAAAATATGTTAATATCTCGAAAACTGTGACTTTGACTGATTTTGATGTTATTACAAATTTTGTTGCAAATATTATTCCTAATCTTAAATTGAAAACCGCGTTTCGCTAGCTACTGTAACTTTGGAGTTACTATTTTTTAAATTTTTAACCCCTCCCTATACCAACGCCCGATCCCAATAAAAAAAACGGCAAGATTCTCGGGTGGCATAGTATTTTTGTGCCAAATTTGGTTAAAATCGGTTCAGCGGTTTTTCAGTTATCGTGTTACAGACGGACAGACGGACGGACAGACAGACAGACAGACACCACGAAAATACTTTGTATTTAGGTCATTTATGACCCAATTTTTGCCGATCCTAATAGTCTACCATACCTATTGGTATGATCGGCTAAAAAGTACATATCCTAAAAAAATATTTTCTTTAAAATTGCAATCGCATTACTATTTTTCTGTACAGAATTGGGTTCAGCATAAAATTCAGCATACATCACACTATTGATTTATTTGAAGCACTATATATGCGGGATTTCCATGATAATTCATATTTGAAAAATTTCATCTTTTAAAAAGTGGTAAAAACCTGGAGAGAATTTAACTTATTGATATTTTATTGCTTAAGTACGTATAATATAGCGAGGTATGTAGGATAAAGAAAGAAATCTCAGAAAAATTCACATTCACAGGGATTTTTTTATGGCGAAGCCAACATTGCAATATTATAATGCTATATCTCAGTTTTTTTTAAACGCAATACACACTGTATATTATTTTTAGTATTTTAGATACCCTACAGACTTAAAAAGCGCACATTTTTGTATTTAAAATATTTCTAAATTTTTAGCAGTTGCGGAAATAGCCTTATGTAATATAATTCGCAGTATTATACCAATTACATAGGGCTATTGCAACAGTAAATTTTTATCAAAGCGACCTCAGGATATTTTCTCTTATATTTTACTCTGTATGGTAAAATTTTGTTTTTTCTACCCGTCCTATAAAAATAAAACAAAACGAAATCTGTAACAGGTCACTTTACTTTTTGACTATACACAGTTTATCTAGAAATGATTCGAAAAACTCTAAATCATCATATCTATCAACAATAAGTCACTGTCCACTTTTTAGATATTTACTTAATATGTACAATAATCAGTAAAAAGAGCAATTAAACACGCAATTCACATTAAAAAACGTAGATATTAATCAATTAGAGACAAAACAGTGTAATTACCGGCAGAATTAATTCAAACTGTGATTCAAACTAAGCCAAATTCCCAAATAATGCAATTCTGCATTTTCAGCCTGGCTCCTACAATCTCTCGGGCTGATCGGGAAGTGATACATATTTTTAACGAACGGCTTTTAAGGTTCAAATTTACATTTGAGGCTCGCCTCAATACGGTCTTTTTACCATATTATCAAGAAATTATGGGTTTTAACTAAAAAGTATATAAAAGGAATTCCAAATTTATTTTTCCCAAAAAAAACTCATATTCGTGTTTCTGGGGTTGACACATAGTTACCTACCTCTAAAAATAGTTGCACATTTTTAAGACCCACCCTGTATAAAGCAATTGAATGTCCTTTATACGGAGACTTTTTGACTTACCCTTTAGAGACAAAAATTTTGTTATAAAGTGTCTCAAAAACGTATTTTGATGTTCCGCTACTTTTCGAAGTGCCACCCTGTATATAGATATATTTTGAAAATTTAAAATTACGATAAACGGAAGTTAACAATTTTAAAATCCGTAAACAATTTTTGTTTATATCTGGAAGGAAACAAATATTTTTGTTTACTTTCGAGTTCGTACCAACAAAAATAGGAAACTTTTATTAACAGTTTCCATAGGATAAGGCCTTAATATAATCAGTAATTATAACTGAATTATTCTCTCTAAAAAATTGGAAAACTTCGAAAGAATTCAGCTTGAACCAGTGTAATAAAATATTTGTGATGTTCGTGAAACTATTTTTACCTATACACAACTGGTTTCTTGGCACACTAGGCTCGATCGTATTACATACTTTATGTCTATCTAAACTGAACTGTATAAAAAATACTGCTGTTTAATATAAATTTCCAGCCAAAAAGCAAATAACCTTCCCCGAATACATGTATATTTTCTCATTTTTACTTCTCTATATTTAGACCTTTGGAAAATTCGATACTTTTCGATTAACGAAAATCCACGCGTCTTTATTGCTTCAAAAATAATCTGTCAAAGATCTATTTTTAAAAATTTCACGGATAACTATTTCATTGATTTTCTATTTTTAACTCAAGTACACACAGAGTATGTTGGACGGTAAAGTTCTTACACTGGATTATTCAGTTTGACTTCACGAAGAGTTTAATGAGTAAATAGATATTTACTAAAGCGGTTGAATGATTATCAGTTATTATAAATAAAAAAATCTAACAATAAACTTCCCTCTTGCAATATAATATGTAATTGCACTGGTAGAAGTTGAATCCTTTGCCGATTTTCAGTTGAGCTTTTTGAAACAAATTCATTAAAATTAAAACTTGCATTTATAAAATGATTAAGAAGAAGTATGTATATATATATATATTCAATGAAAATATAGAAATAAACATAGCAGATCATTAAAAGTAGAATTATAGAGTATTAAAAAATATGAGGCGTCAAGTTGCAAAACCCGACTTATCCATTTTTTTAAAAAAATGGCCTAATCACATATATCAATAGTGGACTCTAAAATCTACATAAACCTAGTTTCAAACTGCAGCAAAAATTGATTATTCTATATAAAATTCACTAAAAATTACGTTACTGTAGCAAAATCCGTCTTATCAACTTATATTTGCTTTTTATTCTCATTATTGTTGCGAATCCCGCAAATCCATTTTTTTCATAGGCTACTGACGTCTTGCCCATTTCAAATAATTACCTAATTTTAATAAATTAGCATACCTAATCATTCCAAATTAGGATGCAAATATCTGCATCATACTGCAACAAACCCCGCCTTATCCGAATTATTTTTGTGTTTTTTCTCTTTAAAAATTAAATATTAATTTTCATTTCTAGAAAAACGAGATATAAAACAAAATCTGGACAAAATCCAGACGTCATAGTTTTTTAGCGATATAACAGCAAAAATAGTATATTGTTTTATTAGGAGTAAAAATGATGCTTTTGTTGCGAGACGGTACGTTTCACATAAAGGCGATGCACAAAAAATCATTTTTTCTCCGAACAGAACATGCTATTTTTTTTAAACGCCACAAATAATTTTTTAAACAATTTCAAACGTTGCAAATAATATAAAAATATTTAAAAGTAATATCTTGTAAGTAATTATATATCGAGAAACTATGGTTACGCTCGTTGAATTTGACACTTCATGTCAGTTTAATAATATATTAATCTACTTTCGTGCGTAAAAGGGCTTTATGTCGAGGTGTTCAAAATGACTTTTTATGTTGTCAATCAGTTGAAAAAAAAATACATTTATAACTTTTAAAACCTAAAACTTTAGAAGTAAAACAATGAATTTACTAATATATCGATTTGGTCATTTTAGAAGTGTAGTCTGGATTTTAACGTGTAAGACATGCAGGTAGCTTAATGAAAAATGAAATGTATTAAAAAGAGATAATTATCTTCATTCCAGTGGTATACATGAAAGTTTTTAAAATAGTTTATTTTTTTCTACACAAATTTTCCTACAAGCATAAAAACCGGCAACACTGTATGCCGCGTTTGATTTCGTCTCTCTGTCTGTCAACCGGTCATTTATATTATTCTCTGTCTTACACGTTAAAATCCAGACCACACTTCTAAAGTGACCAAATCGGTATATTATTTTGCATTATTCCTACATTTCTTAATGGAACATTAAAATCCGGACGCTTATGAAAAAACCGCCCGGATGTAGTAAAAATCCGGACATGACGTCTGATAACCCTACTCCAGTTCAACACTGTCAAATCGTGATGGTTTAAGGTATGGCGTACGTTCACTCGCAGAATCTTTCTTTCAGAATTCCCGATGGCAAAGCACCTAGATTCCCTAAGAAACCGACCATTCGCCAGGAAGGCGACGTGCTGATCATGGAGTGCTTCTTAGAGGCGAACCCGGATCCAGATATCACCTGGTTCCAAAGCGAGAAAAGCATTGCGGACAGCCCACGCGTGCGAATGCTGCGCAAAACCACCACCAAAGACACGTACCTTCTCACTCTTGAGATAGCGAACCCGACACGCCTCGACGGCGGCAACTACCGCTGTAACGCTTTCAATGTGTACGGCGAAAGTAACGCCAATATTGCGCTCAACTTCCAAGGTAGGCTGCCCCAGAGCAGTCTTGTCGTACCACGTATCTGTAGTTCATATGTTTGTGAAACGTCTCAATTCCGTTTACTTATCTTGTCCAATTTGTTCCAGTGACGTCGACTCTGTCTCCAACCTCTGTATTGTCATTTTGCATGAGCATGGCCTTTTGATTTAACATCGCTCTAGTTTAGTTCGTAACGTTGTTTTGATACGTGTTACAGGCGGAGATGATGCGGCAGGTTTCGCGCCCTCCTTCATCGAGAAACCCAAAATCATACCCAACGAGAGCGGAACGCTCATTACCATGAAATGCAAGTGCAAGGCCAAGCCCAAGCCTGAAGTCACTTGGTTCCGGGGAACCACAGCCGTCCAGGAATCGTCCAAAATCACCATACGAGTCGTCGATGTACAAGAAGACGTTTACGAACTCGTTCTAGAGATCAAAGTATGTAATAGCCAAGCACTGCAAACTAGTGATGGGCATTACGATTCTTTTTAGTGAATCGAATCACACGATTCAATTTCTCATATTGAATCGACTGCTACGATTCGTTCATTTGAACGAACCACATGCACAATTAACGTTTCCTAAAAACAAGAATCGTACCGGCGATAATTTGGCCGGACAATTACTTAAGGACCAGAAAAAGAAATAAACAGTTCTTTCATTTGTTTTTCAACACTTTCTGACACTGGCGTAATTGGATTGATTATTTTACCAATAATATTAAATTATCAATCCAATTCATATATACTATTTATTAAAAACTTCTTAATACCAATTTAATAATAAATAGTATATAATACCGCGTGATCTAAAAAAAAATGGCGTCCAGTTGCCTTGGAAATGAACATCGATGACATTCTCCATATAATTTTACATATAAAATGACAGCGATCTTCATTTTATAACCATCGCTGACGCCGTTTTTTTACCCTATTGAGCAGAGGTCAACAATATTTATTTAGAGTTGCCTTACATATACTCCCGTACTAAGCACAGTATAAATAAGTTTTTTTCTTGTAAATAACTTTCTTATCGTTTGCATTTTATACCCATGATGTTTGTTTAGGGCTTTTGTTCAACTCTAAATATTGGTGCCTGACTCTATGCCTATATCACGGCCACGCCGTAGAAACGAACGATCGCATTGTGATCCGATTCAATTCTCACGATTCTTTTTTACGGCTCATCGTTCCAATCTTATAGATCCGTGCTGGCCACGATTAAATTGAACGAACCGTATTGTAACCAATGAATAAATTCTCTCGACTATTTGGTCGAACGATCCCATTGTGATCCGATTCAATTCTCACGATTCTTTTCTACGGGTCATCGTTTAAATGTTATGGATCCGTGTTGGCCACGATTCAATTGAACGAACCGTGTTGTAAGCAATGAATCAATTCTCACGACTCTTTAAACGAACCTTCGCATTGTGATCCGATTCAATTCTCACGACTCTTTTTTACTGCTCATCGTTTAAATGTTATGGATCCGTGCTGACTACGATTCAATTGAACGAACCATATTGTAACCAATGAATCAATTCTCACGACTCTTTGATCGAACGATCGCATTGTGATCCGATTCAATTTTCACGATTCTTTTTTACGGCTCATCGTTCAAATGTTATGAATCCGTGCTGGCTACGATTCAATTGAACGAACCGTATTCTAAGCAGTGTATCGAATCTCACGATTCATTTTAAATAGTCGTTCAAATGAACGACTCGTTCAATCTTTGCCCACCTCTACTGCAAACATTTAATTCAAACTGATTTTTAGGATCCTGCGGGTTCTGATGGAGGTACTTACCGGTGCCATGTGAAAAACGAATTTGGAGAAAGCAACGCCAATCTGAACCTGAACATCGAGGCTGAACCGGAGCCTGAAGGTGACGGTCCCACATTTGTCGAAAAACCAAGGATCACCTCCCACCAAGGAGGCAAATTGGTCGTTATGGAGTGTAAGGTACGTTCTAACCCGACGCCGACGATAGTTTGGTACCGGGAAGGAAACAAGGTTACCGAATCCTCCAAGATCACGATGAGTTTCGAAAAAGTCGAAGAAGATGTATATTACATCAAACTAGAACTAAAAGACCCCGGACTAGAAGATTCCGGTCTCTATAAATGTAACATTAAGAACACTTTCGGAGAGCTTAACGCTAACCTTACTCTGAACATCGAAATTATACCAGTTATTAAAGAAAAACCGAAGGTTATCAAGATAATTAAAAAGAAAACAGTTATTGTCGAGTGCAAAGTACTCAGCAAGTTTGCACCTGAGTGCACTTGGTTTAAAGAAGATAACGCGGTTAGGGAAGACAACAGACATCAAGTACAAGTGGAGCAAGTCAAAGACGTATGATTCCTTTATTTTTTTTTCTATTAAAACAAAAATTCAACATAACTTATTTTAGGGTGAATTTGCCGTAAAACTTGAAATTTCCGACGTCCAAAAAACCGACAAAGGTTTATATAAATTAGTAGCCAAAAACGAGAAGGGAGAAGCTACTTCACAAACTGTCGAAGTAACCGAACTCCCACCCGATGAGAAGCCCAAAGGCGAGAAGCCAAAACTTACAAAACTCACTAACATCGTAAGTACCAAAAGCTATTTAAACTAATCCAACTCATAATAATAATTTTGCAGACAATTGAAGAAGGAAAAACAGCTGATTTCATTTCCTCCCTCAAAGTAGCTGACAAAAGCGTCACTATCACTTGGTACAAGGAAAGTACAGTTATAAAGGAATCTAGCGACATAAAAATATCATTCGATGGCACTGTAACACGGCTTACCATCAGCAAATGCAAAGTCACCCATTCTTCCACATACAGAGTCATTGCTAAAAACGAATTTGGTGAGGATGAAGCCACGGCAGTATTGACGGTCAAAAAGAGGAAAGACGAAGAGGAGGAGGAAGAAGAGGTAACTTTTCTGTTGGTTTATTAAAATAATTTACATATTTGCACAACAAGACACTATTTTTAATACATATTGTAATTTTTTACTCTACCTATACACATACAAACACTCAAGGAGGAAAGCGAGGAAGAAATATCAGAAATCAAAGAAAAAAAGATGGAATCGGATGAAGAAGAGGTAGAGGAATCAGAGGTATAAAGCCTATGAGAGTTTGTTTTCTTTCTTCACCTCTGAGTGTGTTTTTATTTTCTTGAGCACTCTGTTTCTATTCCTCTCTGTTACAATATACACCTTCTTATATAATTTTCTTTTACTTTTTTGTAATTTACATTATATAAATATTTTTAGGAGGAAGAGGAAGTAAAAAAGACAGTAGAAAAGAAAGAGGAAAAGAAAGAGGAAAAGAAAGAAGAGAAAAAGGTAGAAAAGAAAGTTGAGAAAAAGGCAGAAGAAAAAAAGGAAGAAACCAAAGTAGTGCAAAAGGTAACATTAAATTCTCATCATTTTTTGTTTCATTGTGCCGTTTATTCCTAATCTGATTCATTGTATTTCATGCAGAAGGAGGAAGAAAAGAAGGTAAATGATATCGCTAAAAAGGATACGAAAAAAGAGGAGGTAGGTAGTCTGTTAATTGTAGGTGTCCTGTCTATGTATAACGTTCGTTGTATTGTTTAATGTAGGAAACAAAAACCGAGGAGAAAAAAGCAGTGAGACGTTCTTCCGTTCAAAAGGTAACGTATACTATGCGTAATTTTAAAGTCGTCTCGTTAACTAATAACAAATATCAGGTTGAAAAGACTGAATCGCGCAGAAGTTCCATAGTCACCGAAGAAAAAATAATTAAAGACGGCGAAAAGAAATCGGCCAGTCGTAAATCTTCAATAGTAACCAAGGAAGAAGAATCAAAGACTGAAACTAGACGCACATCAGTGGCTGAAGACAAAACCAAAAAAGTCTCTGCGGGCGCTAAAAAATTAGAACCCACCCCTGAAGCGGTAAGTATATTCATCAATCCATATATGGTAAAATTCCAAACCCCTAACAACCTACCTATGTTCCGCCACAATAATATTGATATTCTAAATTCTAACAAATCCGATGTAGAAAACACCAACCACACCTATAAACAATGTAGACGACATATTCGCCGCCAAAAAAACCGAACCTGAAAAACTCAAATCACCTCCACCAAAAGACGCTGCTAAACCGAAAGCAGCCTCCAAAGTGAAATCACCCCCTCCGGCTGAAACAAAAGAAACACCAAAGCCTACTACACCCGCATCAAAAATTAAGTCACCCCCACCAGCGGAAACACCCAAACCCAAAGAACCCGAACCAGCTAAGGTTGAACCAAAAGCTAAAACTCCTTTAGAAAAGAAGGCTGAACCACCTAAATCCGAAGAACCCGCTCCCAATCTAAGCAAAACACGTACAGGTCTTAAGAAGGTACTTACTTACATCTACATAAAATTCTATACAATATACCCTCAGATGCAAAAAAAAACTCTGCGTTTTTTTGTATCTGTGTATTAAATACATTACAAAATAAAGTTGTTTTTACTGTTTTTAGTCATTCCGCATCTAATCACTTTATTCTCATATTTTCTATGTCTTCGTTGGATTCCTTCTCCAATTTCCTTGTCATGTGTACATGTTAGGTTGAGGAGAAAACTGCAGAAGCCACGAAACTGAAGGTAAGGAAACTTTTGTTACGATTATTTATAAAGTACGCGCAAAAGTTTAAATGGATTAATTGCTATATAGACCGAAACTGAACCGCAAAAACCCAAACCCAAACTTCCTCCAAAAAATCCGGTTCAGAAAGGCAGTTTCTTAGGCATTCAATTAAAGCCGGTGAAAAAAGAAGCCAAAACTGTCGAAAATGTTCAAATAGAAACCGACCTGAAGGTAACTCAACAGGATGTACGAAACAATGTCCTGTATCTATGTGTCTCTTCTGTGTACTCTATTTCTTCTCTATCTTCTACTTCTCTTTCCACTCTCTACATCTTCTCTTTATCTATATCTTTCTCTCAATCTACTTACAACCTAATATCTATCTGTCAACACAGTTTCTTTTCAATCACACGCAATTTATGGTAAATAATCATTTTGTATTTTGACGAATAGGGGACTTTTTTTTATTACCGTATACCTTTTTGAGTCTCTCCACAACCAGGAGTATACTTTTTGATTACCCTATATATATTTTAGTTTTTTTGGTACTGTTTATTTTTTGTACCATTGAACTGACTATTTTTGGCAATTTTTTGGTAGTATATGTTGGAGTTAAATATTAATATATTCTCTGAATATAACTAACAGTAATATTGAGGTACAGTTTCTTTAGATGGGATAAATAAATCTTTTTTCTTTGATTAGTCCACTGAAGTGAAAAAATCAGAAAAGGCTGCCGTGTCTAAAGGCAAAAAAGACGAAAAATTTGACTACAACGCATGGGAAAATATTCCTGATTACGACAGGCCCGTTTTAGAAAAGTTCGAGCCTCACGAGAAAGTCGACTATGCCGGTAGAGAAAAAACCAAACTTTCCAAGGTAAACTTTCTGGTTTCCGCTTTGGCAATTTCTACGAAATAAATGCTTCTTTTCGCTATTGGCTTGCTAAAATATATTATACCGCGAAATAACTCGAGGAAATTAACAGGAAAAACCACTCTTGGCTACGGAAGCCAAAGAAAAGCCTACTTTAGCAGCCGAACAGAAGGCTGTACCGACGGTTCCTCAAATCAAAACTCCCGAGGCACCTAAAATCGAGGTTATCAAAGAACGAACTCCAGAACCGAGGAAGAAGTCGTTGGAACCCCAACAGGGCAGTGGTAGCAGAAGAGGTTCCTTAATACCTCCCGAAGCTATGGGCCGAAGGGCTAGTTTGATCATCTCTGACGAGGTAAGGTATCGAAAAATCATACTGGTTCAAAATATGCGTTATTGGAAAAGGAAACATCCACAATGCATATTTGAATTGAAGTATATTTTAACCCAAAACCACTATTATTGTTTATATTGTACACTGTAGCTGTCTTTGTCCACGTGATGTTCACTGTGGGTGGTGTTCTTGTACGTCATGTCATATCGTTTCAATTCCTAACTTTTATATCTTTAGGAACATAGAAAACTGAGGCCAGGCGAGGTGTTAGAAGAGAAAAAGGTAAACCCAGCGACGTGGTGTCTGCAATTCTACCTGGATATGCGTCTAAAATTCGTTAACTTATAACAAATATTTATTTCCTGTACTCCTAGAGTCCTATAGAAAGTTTCCTTTTATTTTCTATTCGTACCTACAGTATGCGCCCGGATTGTTTTTACCAGAGGAAAACTTTTTATTATCGACATTTTGAAAAAAATGCATTCTTCATAAAAAAATTGCTTCTCCTAGAAAGGCTTGGTGCATTTCAGTTGATTTAAACAAATTCCGACCGCAGCGCTTCAGCGGAAAAAATCTGAAATTATTAATATATAGTTTACGCCGCCACACAGTGCTTCGTCCTATGGACAAAAATCGAAAAAAAAGTTAAAATTTACTAATATCTGAATATGTAATTTTATACTTATAGCAATGTTCAACCATCCCGTATATTATTTTTCATAAACAGCGTTTTTTGTTAGCAAATATTTTCACTAAAAATAAATTTTGCGATCATTATCTCATCAGTGAAAAAGAATAACATTCATAGTAGTTCTGTATATTATGGAGTTAAACGGGTACGTACTTAATTGAAAGCCACTATGGATATTGTTAAACACAAGGTATGTACTTTAAATTTATTTCTAAACAAGTTCGTGATTGTTTAGTTTTTATTCATTTTTAAGATGATTCTTAAATGGGTATAAAATTTTACGTTTTCAAACTTCAAAAAGGCATTAAAAAAAAACATATCAAAACATATCGTATTTATTGAATATTTTGTTGCCATATTCATACACTTTAATTTTTGTATAGTTCACCTGCGTCTGCTTGCGACGAACTTTATTTTATAATACTTTTCAGATGGAGTAAGATTGATAAGCAATGCCGATCTGGCTAATACTTGGCTTGATCATAAGGACAAGAACTCAAAATTATTAGTATTTCAAAAAATATGTTCTTATTAGATATTGATGAACCTTCCAGTCAAATGAGACACCACTTGTGCCTGAAAAAGTCCACTATGTTGGAGCGAAACGTCGAATAAAAAAAGTGTCCATCTTTCAGTTTATTATAAAATCTCATACCCAAGAAAAGGAAAAAATAATATATGCATATGGTCTATTAAAGAGGTAACTATTAACATCCGAACCCCTCATACCGACAAAATGAACAGTAACAACGCGAAAAAGTAACATATTAGAAAATGATGTACAGAAATATCTTATATGTGAGGATACTTCATCTACCTGTGATTTAGATACTATAAATTTAGAAGATTCTGTCAGCAGTGATTCTCCTGAATCAGAGTAGTTACGATCTATGCATTTTGTTGTCCTAAAGTAAATTTATAGCATCTTAATTTTTTTTTTAATTAAATATAACATTAATGTTTCTTTTTCATTAAAGAAAAACATTTTTATCTTATATTAGGCTTATATTGTAGGAATCATGTTCTAATGTTATTTCAATTCTTTTTTATCACAGGAATTTATTTAATACTTACACCGTTTTCATACTATAACTTATTATTTTCTTAGATGGAACACAGCTCCAACATTATTATTATTTATAAGATTTTTTTTTCATAAACGTGGGACTAAGAACATCATCATTTAGTACAATGAGAGTACTCATCATTTGTGTCAAATAAACCTAGTTTGAATAAATTGTTTACAATAAAAGAGAAGTTTTGGATTTTTGTCCTCTAGAGCCATATGTTCGAAGCACTGTGCATCATGTTGATCGCATTAAAATAATATTGAAATCCTGGTTTTGCCATAATATTTAAGTATTTTGTTTTTTTGCTAGTGCAGTTATTGAAACTATAAAACACTCAGGTACGAGGATTGTGTGATGTAACGCTGTTTCGGGTAGTAAAAAATAAGTGAAAAAGAATTCCAACTAGGTGTCGTGTTGTGTTGTGACAATTTCTAATGTTAATAAAATTGCCGAAAAAATGTTAACACGTAAAGAAGAGCGTAATTAGGGCGTTATTGGGTGCAATAACGTTCAATAAATCAACTTTCCCGGATATTCAACCCTCCCGAAACAACATTTTATTGCTTCATAGTTTCTCACACCGATTTGATCAAAAGCAAAAATAAATTCAAGCAGTTCGATGAAACAAGTGAGTAAACAAAGTGATCGTTACATAATCAAAAAATTAAATAGACATATACTATGAGACGATAAAATATAATTCGCAATATTAATGGTTCTCTGAAACTGTATGAAAATTTAGAAAATTATAAACTGGATAAACCATTTTAGAAGAAGCAAAAATGTCAATAATAAAAAAAGTTGTTTTCTCTTGCAAAGACAATCCAGGGACATCCTGTATAAATACGACATAGGTAAAGCAAGGCAGAACGTCTTTCTACAAGGCTCTGGAGTATTTCAAGAACGTTCTATTTATCGTACTATCAACATAAAAATTTCTTTAACAAGAAACGCGTATTTTCCGAAAATAGCTTCCAAAATAAACATATCGTTTGTTAGTCTGCTCTGGATATTTATACCGTATAAATATTTTTCGAATAGGCGTTTCTTGTTTGAATTTTTGCACATACTTCATGCACGCGAAATGCATGAACCACACCACACCTCGCACTAGCAGCCAGAAGCACAATTAAAAATAAACTGCAGCAGATAAAATCGAGTATAGCACTCAACGGTTTAAGGAAAATTCGAATATCAAGTTCCCAAAAGTCCTAAAAGTAATTTGTAAAAAACACATACGTAAATTTATATCTCAACAAAATTTTAGACACGTTTATCTACTCAAGCATTGAAAGATTGAGTTGTTTTTTAAATTTTGTATATAGAAACATAGCAGGCTCCTGTCAACATATATAAAATGTCAAAATTAACTGTCATCTTTAGTTAACTTAACAAATAAGAATTACTTTAGGAAATTTTGGATTTGTGATTGTCCACTTTTTCAATTATTCTGTCCATTCTTTTTTTATTTATGGTATCTAAAATATTTTCGCAGGGAGGCAAACTGCGTCCAGGAGAAGTACTAGATCCAAAGGTGAGATTTGTGTCCATTGAACACAAAACTAGCCTTTCGGTGTTTTGCCATATTTTGTTACCTATTATTATTTATTTATTTTTACACCTAACAGTTGATGATTTTTTTTGGTTGGATTTTTATTTGCTTATTTATTTCTCCCTTTTATTTTCTTTTTCAAGCCGAAATCAAAGCGCCCAGGCGAATTATCTCCTTCGGAGAAACAGGTTAGCGCGAAATTTAAATGTTGATTTTCTTAGAGGAAAAAAAAACACGTCAATAATATCTATATGTTCTGTGTCTAACTAGATTCAACAAATATCTTAGTGTAGACAGTTCTGAGAATTGTTGTAACATTATATGTGGATATTTTAAAATGTAAATAATATAATTATATTTTTTTTTGTATATAGAAGAATAGATTCGTATCTAATACTAGCCCCCCCCCTTGTTAACTTATTTGTTTTATTTTTTTTTTAGAGTTATAAAAAATTATTTGTTGAAACAAACTAGAATACTTCCAGTTTCAACAATATTTGTTTTTTTTTCTTGATTGGCAAGATTTTTTTTTATATGTTATTTTATATAGTGTATATACTCGCTAGAACTAACACTGAATAATAGAAAATAATATTTTATTAACAACTATACAGCTACTTAATGCTTTTAACGCTTTTGATGTTTTAACAAATTCAATGTGATTAAACAATTTTCGAGAGTAAAATCAAACCAAATCAATATTGTTTCATCACATAAACTCGAGAAAAAAATATACACAGAGTGTTTTAGTAAACTCTGCTTTGTATATTTCCACTGTGTTGTTTTCCTGTGGCACCAAACTTACTTAAAACATTACATAGCGTCGGAGACCCAGCTCAGAAGTGAGGAGACCAAGTGTTGCTGAATTAGAGGATAAAATTAATAAACCGTCAACACCACTTAAACCTTCAGGACCTAAAGGATCACCACCCAGTATAATAGACGTCCAAGAGAATTATTCATCAGTTGAAGGTAAAATTACCTGAAAATTTTGATAATAACATCAACCAATTGTGTAAATTATATCGCTACGATATTTTACGAGAATACGTCTATTTATAAAATTGAGAGATATAATTAACTTCCAGTAAAATTTGACGAAATACCTATGAGCTCAACTACAAACAAACGTAAAATTTTATTTTTAACACTGATGGCAATGTTCTGCCAAAATTTTTCAGTCAGCTGATTGGGAATAATATCATAATCATCATGTTCCGCTTATTCAACTATTTTCAATTCTGGTGTAGCCTCCCTCACATAGTAGGCTATGGACTTAAAAAAATGCTGGCGTTTAACCCTTTCCAACGATATAAAGTTATGTGTATTTGTTTCTAAGAATGAGAGAAATATTAGGGTTTTTATTTTGGTATCGAAGCGGGCTTTAATTTTGTGTTGACCTAGTTGCTTAATTATTTTTTGTCACAATTGAATATTCTATATTTTTATTTATCTGCATAATTAAAGACTTTGGAAAAGGTCATTCTATATTAATATTACCATTTACAATTAAAAAACCAGGGTTACAACAGCACTTTTAAATGAAGAATTTAGAGAGAATTGGATTGGAAAAAGGGGTCCCATATCTTGGCCTGCTAGGTCCTGTGATTTAACCCCTTTCGAATTTTTATGGGGGAAATTAAAAGACCTTATATAATAAGGGAAGAACCTAATACATCCAAAAATTGATGTTTTTTTAGAAAACTATATTCGTCGCTCTAAACATACGTTTTTTAGTTTTGTTCATTGTTGATTGTATCGATTTCAATTGTAATTACTATTAGCTTTTAGAGATTTACTTTTTTAAGAGAAATAAAAAAATGGAATAATTAACATTGTTAACTGTGCATTATTTATTAGCAAAAAAGAATCATATTCTATTCAACAAAACGAGATTTAACTAACTAAATGCATTTTTAGGAAAAAAAATAGATTTTTAATAATTAAAAATTCAAATTCAATACAAAAATAAAACAATAGCCCCAAGAACAACCGTAATGCATTATTAGTATCGTGTGTTGCCACCTCTAACTGCAATAACCGCTTGAAGTCTTCGTGGCATTCCTCTTATCAAATTTTGAAAAGTTTCCTGTGGAATGTTTTCCCACTTCTCATGCGCAGCCTGTTCCAGTTTGGAGGATTTCTTTGCCGAATACGCCTTTTTGACATGTCCCAGACATGTTCTATTGGATTCATGTCGGGGCTGCGTCGGGCCCAGTCTAAAGTTGTAATTCCCACGTCATTAAGGTATTGAATAACATCTAAAGCCCCATGAGGCCGAGCATTTTCATGCATTAGTAAGAAATCCGCTCCTATGAACGGCGCAAATGGAACTACATGTTCTTCAAGGATCTCCAACACATATCTGCGTGCATTAAGGGCAGGTCTAGGTAGAGGCACTAAACATTGTTTTTGTCCAGTTCTGTTTTTCGCATCAGCAAAATTAAAATGTCTTAATTGATATGTATTATTTTCTTAAAGAAATAAGCCGTGGTGCGATAATTTTGTCCGGGATATTTTTAATCCTTTGTTGGTCCAGTCCAGTTGACGGAAGATTTCTTCTAGTGTTGCTGTAAACAGCTATGGGGATGTCTCCCTTTGCCAGTTGGGAACTCTGGGGTTATTTTATACAGGGTTGCTCACCACATACGACACGGAGTATTGTAGCTAAACGATGAGATTTTTACAAATTGTAAGTTTTGGGTTCGATGAAGGACTATTAGAGGTACAATTTAAAAATAATTTTACAAGATACAGAGTGTCCCAAATAAGTAAAAAATATCAAAGTTGTATTTTTTTAATGGAACACCCGTATATTATTACATTTTTAGTTTCCACGATTAAAATAAAGGTAAATTTGATTAAGGTTTATGATACTTAAACCTTACCGTTTTTGAAATATTTTCAATTTTGTGAAATTGCAGTAAAAATTTTAAGGCTTCATTTCTTCAAAGGTATCAAAGTTTTTAATGCTAAATAATTACTGAAGTTTATTTATTGATCAGTTATTGTGTTGCAATAATAAAAATAATACTACCTTATACAGAGTGTCTAAAAATTTATTTTAAATAATTATTAGCTTCAAATGGCAATAACTTGTTTAATTTAAATGGAACGCCCTGTATATTTTACGAGAATCAGATGCACAATTTAATTGTCTATCAAATAATATTATACCATTTTTTACCTATCTCTTTAAGTTTCCGTAGAAAATGCATTTTCTTGTAATTTAGAACTTATTTATCAATATACCCATGGACTATTGACATTTTAGATTATTTTTAAAGATGTACCAAATTTTTAAAGAGTACAGATACTAATATTGTCGATATAATTCGTTTATTTCTTTAAAAAATAAAAAAACTGTTTAAATATTTGTTAAAGAGGACCAATTAATATGATTCCAGTATTCAAACCACATTAACTGACTGTTTGCGTTGATTAATAATAATTGCTCCAAATACTAAAAAACTGAATTTTGTATGGGCATTAGACAGTGTGATAAAAACTAACACCTTAAAAATGATATTTCATTTTTTAATAAATGCTTATTTATAACAACAGAGACTTTAATTTGATAACTTATTATTATATTGATTTCTGACTCAAATCCACATTTATTTATAATAATTTATTAACGAACACAATTAAGTATGTAATTAATTAGTATATGGGCGGAAATAATGGTGTTATATTTAATTAATGGTATACTCTTTGATAAAGATTTAAATAGTTTTCTTTTTGCATACAAATGGGCTAGTAATATTATCGTTTTGCTAAAAACGATAATATTACTAGTCTGTACATTTTGTACATTTGCTGCTTTAAAAACAATCTAAAATGTCAATATTCCATGGATATATTGATAAATGAAGTCTAAATTATAAGAAAATGCATTTTCTACGAAAACTTGAAGGGATAGATAAAAAATGGCATAATACAATTTGATAGACAATTTAATTGTGCATCTGATTCTCCTAAAATATACAGGGCATTCCGTTTAAATTAAAGAAGTTATTGCCGTTTGAAGCTAATAATTATTTAAAATAAATTTTTAGACACTCTGTATAAAGGTGTATTATTTTTCTTATTGCAACATAATGATGATCAATAAATAAACTTCGTTAAATATTTAGTATTAAAGCATTGATACCCTTGGAGGAAATGAAGCTTTAAAAATTTTTACTGCAATTTCACAAAATTAAAATATTTTCAAAACGGTAAGGTTTAAGTATAATAAACCTTAATCAAATTTACCTTTATTTTAATCGTAGAAACTAAAAATGTAATAATATACAGGGTGTTCCATTTAAAAAAATACAACTTTGATATTTTTTATTTATTTGGGACACTCTGTATCTTGTAAAAATATTTTTAAATTGTAGCTCTAATAGTCCTTCAACGAACCACAAACTTACAATTTGTAAAAATCTCATCGTTTAGCTACAATACTCCGTGTCGTATGTGGTGAACAACCCTGTATATCATTCGATCAAATATTTAAGAATATTTCTCAATCTATATGAGTTTGTACTTTTCATTCAATCAAAAATAAATATTTACAGATCAAGTGGCTTATATCAGTCTGCAAGTAGAAGGTGACCCTGTCCCGACATTCAAATTTTACAAGGTAAAACATGTGATGTTTTCTCCACCCGATCGCTTAATTCAAAAAAATATTTTTTAGGGCGTAACCGAAATCATAGAAGGTGGTAGATTTAAATTTCTGACAGATGGAGAGACGAATACTATTACTTTATGTATCAGAAAAGTCAAGCCTAACGATGAGGGGCAGTACAAAGTTGTTGTTTCCAACGTTCATGGCGAAGATACTGCCGAGATGATGCTTTACGTAGCCGGTATGCAAAAAACCTTAATTTCCTATTATTGATATAAATAATGATCCATCTTTTTGTTGTTTTTAAAGGTGCTGCTGGTGTTGATTTCCGATCAATGTTGATGAAGAGGAAATACGCCAAATGGGACAAGGATAAGGGTGACCCTGATTGGGGTGATTTGAAGGAAGTTGAAAAACCAGTTCCAGCGCTTAAGAAAGTAGAAAAGGTAATAAAAATACTATTTCACAGAAACGTTAAGAAACTGTATAATAATAAACGACAATCTCCAATAATCTTACGAGATGCACAAGCGTTTGATTTTTGAAAAGTTTGATACAAAAGTTTTTTAGATGATAGATTTGATTGGCATTTTACATGTTTGCTCGCAGCATGATTTTTGTTTTTTGACATGTGTTTTTGACAAGCATTCTTTTCCAAAATCAGTTTTTAACTCCTTTTTGCCCATGTGATATCCCTTCAATGTCCTAATTCACCAAAAGTTTTTGAGTTTTTAAGTATTTTGAATTTTGTTACTTACTGATTTGATACTATAATCGTTATTAGAGAATACTTTTAGAGTTATAGTTATTACTATTCCGTGAAAATTTTAATTGTTACACGGGAAAACTAAAATTAGCTCTATATACAGAAAACTCTGTCTAGTTGCTTGAATTCCTATGTCATTAATCACTGTGCTGAAAAACGTATATAAACCTACGCAAATTTTATTTACATAACTTTTAAAGTAAAAGAGAGTTCGTAAGGAATTGTTGGGCATTTGCCAAAAATAATCACTATTTCTGTCAATCCACCGCACAGTATAAATTTATTATATACAGGGTGGCCCGTCAGAGCGAGGAAGTCCAATATCGTCGTTGTTTTCAAAGATATAATATTGCTTTATTCTGTTATCCTTGGTATTTAGGTCAATTACCAATTAAATTTACTAAAGTTTTAAACCACTTTTTGGATATAAATTTTGGAAATAGAACGGCAACACCGCATAGTGCTTCAAATATAAATAGTCTACTATATGCAGAATTTTATGCCGAATCCAATTATCTACAGAAAAACGGGGGGTGCAATTTAAAAAAACTTAAAATTTCGTCATAACTTTTTTTTTGCGACACCCTGTATAAAACAAAATATTTTTAGGATATGCCCCTTTTACAGCCATGCAACATCTGTATAAAACTTTTTTTCATATCTTTGACCTAACCTAACACCGACAATATTGGACTTCCTCGCACTAATGGTCCACCCTGTATATTTATTATATTATCTCCATAACAAAGAAGAAAAATAAAAATATATTTCCATGAATTAAATTGTCATCCTTCTTTAAATCCCTTTTGCTAGCAAACTGAAGACGTGTTTGTTGACCGACGAATCTTGTAACCCCCCTCGGGAAGCGAAAGCTTTACCTTGCTAGTGTAAAATCTGAGTTGCAGTTTTCTTTCTAGCCTCCTATGTCAGCGAGAAGGCCTTCGCTAGCCGAACTTATTCCAGATTGGCCGACTCTGCATCATTTCGAACGCAAGGAGGTTTGACACAGGCAGATCTCAACTATGAATGTGATGATCGATGTCACTGCACGACGGCATGGCAATGCTACGTCCCCATCCTCAAACTCCAGTTTAATACACTCTAAGCCGCTTCTAATACATCCAAAATTTGATGTTGTATCTGCGTTATCCTCGAAAGCACGTCCTGTATATATATTTTTTTTATAAATGTACATATATTGTCTTTTCTCCAGTGATTTTTTTTCAGCGGCCGATTTTTGTGGGTGTTCTATTTTTTACAGCTGACATTTTTGACCTTACAAAATGTATTTCTCGTCATAACTTAAACTATCTCTTTTTCTCAGAAACAAGAAAGCTTCTTGAGACCTCTCGTTGACCAGTATGCCAAGGAAGGTAAAGATAAGAAAGTCGTGTTTGAAGCAGGGTTCTCCAAACCAAACTGCAAGCCAAAGTGGCTCGTTAGGAAAGATGTAAGCTCTTTATAACATTTATTTCAGTAAAATACTAATTTTCAGTGGTAAATAATCGTTACAGGAGCTTTTCCAAGGCGCAAAATACAAATTCAAAAACGAAAACGACATGTACCAACTGATCATCATGAACCCCAAGGTTGAGGACTCTGGAAAATACTCGATTGAAATTGGTGGAGTCAGTTGCACAGCTTTCTTAAACGTTGAAGAACCAGATCCATCCTACACTTTCACTAAACCCCTTAAGAAGAAGTACGATGGATACACTGAGCACGAAGTAGAACTCTCTTGTACAGTGAGCAACAGCTTGGCTATTGTTGGTTGGTACAAAGGCGACGTCAAACTAGATGATGGACCTAAATACCAAATTTCGAAGGATTTAAGCGGAGTATGCCGACTTACTATAAAAGACTGTACCTTCGACGACATCGCAGAATACAGCTGTAAATTAGAAAAGCAAACAGATAAAACAACTGCTAAAGTAAACATTGTTGATTATCCATACAAGTTTGTAAAAGTTTTAAAACATCAGCAACATGTAGAAAAGGAAAATATCACGTTCCTGTGTGAATTAAACGATGCTGGAGGTGAAGTCAAATGGTTCAAAGGCGACCAAGAAATCGTTGCTGACAAAAGACTGGTCATCAGTAAAGATGGCAGGAAGCGCAAGTTGGTTATCAAAGACGCTAAAGTCACCGATGCTGGAATGTATTCCTGTGTCAGTAATGCTGACAAAACCGAAGCTGAATTAGTAGTAAACTATCTCAACAGATTCAACAAAAAACTAAAAGACACAGTTGCCGTTGAAAGAGAAAAACTGGTCCTTGATATCGAACTTGAAGATCAAACTGCCCCAGCCGAGTGGTTCTTCAATGGAAAACCAATTGAACCTTCAGACAGGATCGAAATTAAGAATCTCGGAGGAGGTAAACATCAACTAATCTTCAACAAACTAGACATGGAGGATGACGGTGAAATCAGAGTAGAGTCAGGAAAATTAGAATCTTCCATGAAATTATCAGTGAAAAAGGGTGAAAGCATCCCTAAAATTGATTTTCCATCTGTCTTTGAAGCACCTATTAGCAAGCCTATCTTAATGGAAGTCCCTTACAAAGGTAACGCATCTCGTATTTGATTTTAACTCAGTACATATATAATTCACCTTATTTTCTCCCTCATAGTCGAAGGAACCCGTCAAAGTCAGTTAGAAGCTAAACTAATCAAAGACGGAAAAGTTCTTCCCATCAAAGACGTAGATGTCTCCATAACCGACGATAAAGTTACGTTCAAAATCAAGAAACCAACTAGAGATCAATCCGGTCCGTACCAAGTGAAATTATCTAATGCCCAAGGAGAAGATGTGAAAGACGTCAAGATCATAATGCAGGACGTTCCTCAGCCTCCTCAAGATGTCAACGTTACTGACGTTTTCCAAGATAACTGCAAAGTTGCTTGGAAAGCTCCTAGTGATGATGGTGGAGCGCCTATTCTACATTACGTTATCGAACGCCAAGATCTGAGCTTGAAAGGTAGCAAATAACTCATTTAGGTTAAGAGACAAATAACAGTTATTCTCTTGCAGCCCAATGGGAGAGCGTTGGTGAAGTCAAACAAGGCCAACCGACGACTTTTAAAGTCGAAGGGTTAATACCTAAAAAACAATATAAGTTCAGAATAAGGGCAGTAAACAAACTAGGCTCCAGTGAGCCAGGCCTCTTTGCCAAGCCAGTTCTTGCTAAAGATCCATGGGGTAAGATTGATGCTATAACTACGCGCTATGTCAAATTTTTAGTTTATACCAGTACAAATATATAATCCTACGATTTTTTTTTTTCAGATGAGCCTAGCAAGCCCCAAAACGTCGAAGTTGTTGACTGGGACAAGGATCATGCCGATCTCACATGGAAGGCACCTGAAAGTGACGGTGGTGCGCCTATTACTGGATATATAATCGAAGTTAAAGATAAATTTGGAAAAGAATGGACCAAAGGGCTTGAAGTGGAAGGAGATCAGCTCTCTGGAACCGTCCCTGGTTTAAAAGAAAACAATCAGTACGAATTCCGAGTTAGGGCAGTGAATAAAGCCGGACCTGGTGAACCTAGCGACACAACAAAACCTATTATTGCCAAATGTAGATTTGTTAAACCATTTATCATCGGTGACGACTTGAAGAGTATTATTATCAAAAAAGGACAAATCGTCAAATATGATATTAAATATGGTGGAGAACCCGAGCCTACAGTTCAATGGTTCCTCGACCAAAAAGAAATTAAACCAGATAGTGAAGAACGCGTTACAATCGACGCCTATGAAAAGAACACCATCATCACAGTAAGAAGAGCTACACGAGCTGACAGTGGCAAATACCGCCTTGTCCTCACTAACAGTTCCGGTACTTGCGAAGGAAAAGCCGAAGTAATTGTTCTGGATAAACCAACGGCTCCCAAGGGACCTTTAGAACCAGAGGAAATTAGAGCTGATCACGTAACAGTGAAGTGGCAAAGACCAGAGGACGCCGGAGGCACCGAGCTAACTGGTTATGTCCTGGAAAAAATGGACATGGATACCGGAAGATGGGTATCCGCGGGAGAAGTTGGTCCTGGAGATACAAAATTCACTTTCAAAGGTCTCACTCCTAAAAAGAAATACAAGTTCAGGGTTAGGGCTAAGAACAAGGAGGGCGAATCGGAACCACTGGAAACTTCCGATTTTATTCTTGCGAAAAATCCTTACGATGAACCGGGAGCGCCGGGAAAACCTGAAATCATCGACTATGATAACAAGAGCGTCACTTTGAAGTGGGCCAAACCCGAAAACGACGGAGGAAGGCCCATCACTCACTACACCGTCGAAATGAAAGACAAGTTCTCTCCTGATTGGAAGGAAGTGGCCACAACCTCAGACAGTAACCCAGAAGCAAAGGTAGAAGGACTTAAAGAAAATCAGGTGTATCAGTTTAGAGTGAGAGCACACAATAAGGCCGGACCTAGTGTTCCCTCTGAACCTACCGATAACCATCTCTGCAAGCATAAGAACTGTAAGACTTTTTTGTTTGATTTAACCAGAATTAACAGTTTTTTTTATTTAGTATTTTTGTTACCTAATTGGTGTTTTATTACTACAATCGAAATGGTTCGAAATTTATTTTCGTATATAATTATTTTTCGCTATTTTTCGTGTGGAAGTTTTTATTTTTGGTTTTGGTTAGTTGCCGACTTATATAACTTATTTTATTATTGTTAGTTTTGAATATATAGTCTATATTGTTTTTTTGGAATTGTGACGTTTCGAACATATCCTACAGATTTGTGTACGTAGACTCCATGTACAGTCATTATTGTCTTAGACACTTTTACTTACCAAGTTGTATTTTACAGTAAAACCAAGAATTGACCGAGAAACCTTCAAATCAGTCACGATTAAGGCTGGCCGTACCCACAAATGGGCCGTAGACTTTATGGGTGAGCCTCCACCGGAAGTCAAGTGGGTATGGAGAGACAACATTCCACTTACGAACACCGAACGCATCAAAATCGAAAATTCCGATTACCATACAGACTTCACGCTACATAACGCAGTACGAAAAGACACGGGAAAATATACGCTTATCATTGAAAATTGCAATGGAAAGGACCAAGAAACCGTCGAATTGACGGTTCTGAGCAAACCGGGAGCTCCAGAAGGACCGCTCCAGGTCAGCGACGTCACTGCCGAAAAGGCCAAGATTAGCTGGAAGAAACCAGAGGACGATGGTGGCAGTCCAATCAAGGAATACGAAATCGAAAAGATGGACGTCGCCACAGGGAAGTGGGTCCGCTGTGGTCGTGTACCGGGTGATAAATTATCTCCTGACGGAAAAGGAGAATTCGAAGTTACCGGACTGAACCCGGGCTCAGAGTACAAGTTCAGAGTCACAGCCGTTAACAACGAAGGTGACTCTGAGCCTCTTGTTTCCGAACGACCGACTTTAGCTAAGAATCCATTTGGTAAGTTAACTTCACAAGACCGTTTTCATTATGAGTTGTTATTTTTGAAAGTGGTGTGAATCCAATTTTTAAACAAATAAGTTAATACTAATTTCAGTAAGATATAGACACATTCTTTCCCTATTTATAATCATACATTCAATGGAGTACGATTTTTTATAAAGTCAACAAAATAATTTTGACTATAAAATGTTATCACAATTTTTGAAAATTATAACTAAAACAATTTTCTTAAAGTTACTCCTGTTTTTATTTCTTGTAATATGTTATTTTTGAAAGTGGTATAAGTCCATTCGGAGTTAAAAAAAGTATTTTATTTTTTGCAAAAATTGTAATAGTTATTATTTCATAACATAAAATTTAAAAAGTAGTATATAGTGTTAATAACATCAATCGAATAGATTAAGGTTTATGAATATTTTTAAAATAACTCAAATGCAAACCTTAAATATCTTGATACGCGGAAAAATGAACTTATACCACTTAAAAAAAATATCAGCTTATATACTCACGCAATTTTCCAGACACACCCGGCAAACCAGGGTTGCCTGAAATCGTCGATTACGACAACAAGGGTGTCGATCTCAAATGGACCGCCCCATCAAATGATGGAGGTGCTCCAATAGAAAAATACATTATCGAAAAGAAAGATCGTTACAAGCCTGATTGGGAAAAGGCTATTGAAGTGCCCGGTGATCAATTGCAAGCCAGAGTTGAAGACCTTAAAGAACGAGGAGAGTATCAATTTCGAGTAATAGCCGTGAACAAAGCTGGACCAGGCACACCATCTGATGCTTCCCAAATGCAAATAATCAAACATAGATCACGTAAGTAATTCAAATCGGTATTTTTTTTTCTTTTCTTCAATATACTTCGTTATAGTTAAACCTAGAATCGATAGAACCAATCTAAAACCAATCATAGTACGTGCCGGAAAACCAATTAAATATGACATTGATGTCAGAGGCGAACCTCCACCAACTTGCACGTGGTTCCAAGTAGATACCGAACTGAAATCCGAAGGCAACATCGAAATCATTAACGTAGACTATAATACTAAACTTAATATTACTAACGCCGTCCGTAAAAATACAGGTCTTTATAAAATTAAAGCAGTAAACGAACATGGTTCGGACGAAGCTGAAGTCGAAGTTACCGTACTTTGTAAGTTTTAAAAACATTTAGAAAGCTTTACAAAAGAAAACTAAAAATGTTCTTATTGCAGCGGCACCAGGGAAACCAAAGGGCCCACTTAAAGTGTCTGACGTCACAAAGGGTGGATGCAAATTGAAGTGGGAGAAGCCAGAGGACGATGGTGGCAAACCAGTAACCGGTTACCAAGTGGAGAAATTAGATAAAGCTACCGGCAGATGGGTGCCTGTAGGACGTACAGGTCCTAACGACACCGAACTGGATGTTAAAGGTTTGACTGAAGGCCACGAGTACGATTTCAGAGTGAAGGCCATTAATGACGAAGGCGAATCTGAGCCTTTGGAAACGGACAGTTCCATTATCGCTAAGAACCCGTATGACATTCCTGGAAAACCAGGCACACCAGAAATTACAGACTGGGATGCAGATAGGGTTGATCTCAAATGGACTGCTCCGAAAAGTTCAGGAGGTGCGCCGATTACCGGCTATGTTATTGAGAAAAAAGAAAAATTCTCCACTTCGTGGGACGAGATTCTCAGCACCGACGTAAGTAAATGGATTATTATTATTTCTTATAGTGATGGGTATTACGATTCTTTTTAGTGAATCGAATCACACGATTCAATTTCTCCTATTGAATCGAGTCCTACGATTCGTTCATTTGAACGAACCACATTTTACCTTCACAACTTACCTTTCATAAAAACAAGAATCGTAACTGGCACTACCGGCGATAATTTGGTCAGACAATTGCTTAAGTGACCAGAAAAATAAATATACGATTCTTTCATTTGTTTTTCACAACACTTTATGGCACTGGCGTAATTGGATTGATTATTTTACCAATCTATATTATTACAGCACCGTAGAAACGAACGATCGCATTGTGATCCGATACAATTCTCACGATTCTTTCTTACGGCTCATCGTTCAAATCTTATGGATCCGTGCTGGCCACGATTTAATTGAACGAACCGTATTGTAACCAATGAATCAATTCTCACGACTCTTTGATCGAACGATCTCATTGTGATCCGATTCAATTCTCACGAATCTTTTCTACGGCTCATCGTTCAAATCTTATGGATCCGCGCTGGCCACGATTTAATTGAACGAACCGTATTGTAACCAATGAATCAATTCTCACGACTCTTTGATCGAACGATCTCATTGTGATCCGATTCAATTCTCACGAATCTTTTACGGCTCATCGTTAAAATCTTATGGATCCGTGCTGGCCACGATTTAATTGAACGAACCGTATTGTAACCAATGAATCAATTTCTCACGACTCTTTGATCGAACGATCTCATTGTGATCCGATTCAATTCTCACGAATCTTTTCACGGCTCATCGTTCAAATCTTATGGATCCGTGCTGGCCACGATTTAATTGAACGAACCGTATTGAAACCAATGAATCAATTCTCACGACTCTTTGATCGAACGATCTCATTGTGATCCGATTCAATTCTAACGATTCTTTTTTACGGCTCATCGTTCAAATCTTATGGATCCGTGCTGGCCACGATTTAATTGAACGAACCGTATTGAAACCAATGAATCAATTCTCACGACTCTTTGATCGAACGATCTCATTGTGATCCGATTCAATTCTCACGATTCTTTTTTACGGCTCATCGTTCAAATCTTATGGATCCGTGCTGGCCACGATTTAATTGAACGAACCGTATTGTAACCAATGAATCAATTCTCACGACTCTTTGATCGAACGATCTCATTGTGATCCGATTCAATTCTCACGAATCTTTTCTACGGCTCATCGTTCAAATCTTATGGATCCGTGCTGGCCACGATTTAATTGAACGAACCGTATTGAAACCAATGAATCAATTCTCACGACTCTTTGATCGAACGATCTCATTGTGATCCGATTCAATTCTCACGATTCTTTTTTACGGCTCATCGTTCAAATCTTATGGATCCGTGCTGGCCACGATTTAATTGAACGAAACCGTATTGTAACCAATGAATCAATTCTCACGACTCATTGATCGAACGGTCTCATTGTGATCCGATTCAATTCTCACGATTCTTTCTACGGCTCATCGTTCAAATCTTATGGATCCGTGCTGGCCACGATTTAATTGAACGAACCGTATTGTAAACCAATGAATCAATTCTCACGACTCATTGATCGAACGGTCTCATTGTGATCCGATTCAATTCTCACGATTCTTTTCTACGGCTCATCGTTCAAATCTTATGGATCCGTGCTGGCCACGATTTAATTGAACGAACCGTATTGTAACCAATGAATCAATTCTCACGACTCTTTGATCGAACGATCTCATTGTGATCCGATTCAATTCTCACGATTCTTTTTTACGGCTCATCGTTCAAATCTTATGGATCCGTGCTGGCCACGATTTAATTGAACGAACCGTATTGTAACCAATGAATCAATTCTCACGACTCTTTGATCGAACGATCTCATTGTGATCCGATTCAATTCTCACGATTCTTTTCTACGGCTCATCGTTCAAATTTATGGATCCGTGCTGGCCACTATTCAATTGAACGAACCGTATTCTAAGCAGTGAATCTAATCTCATAATTCATTTTTAATACTCGTTCAAATGAACGACTCGTTCAATCTTTTCCCACCTCTAATTTCTTGTTTTTAAATAACTTAAATAACGATCTTAATATTATATACATTATAGTCTCCGACTTGTGAAGCTAGAGTTCCTGGACTAAAAGACGGTAATACTTACCAATTCAGGGTACGAGCTGTAAACAAAGCCGGACCTGGTGAACCATCCGATGCAACTGGTCAACACGTTGCGAAAGCCAGGCACTGTAAGAAATAAATTACAATTAAACACTCATATACTCACATTTTTTTTAAATTCTAGTACGCCCAATGATTAACAGAGAAAAACTACATACTGTAAAAGTTCGTGCAGGACAATTAGTGAGGTTTGACGTAGACGTCAAAGGTGAACCACCACCGACATGCACATGGAGCTTTGCCCACAAACCTTTAGAAAATAGCCCTACCGTTAAAATCGAAAATGAGGACTATAACACTAAACTTACTCTCTCCGACACCAAGAGAAAAGATACAGGAACATACACTCTAAAGGCTGAAAACGATTCCGGATTTGACGAAGCTACTGTAGAAGTAATAATCTTAGACAAACCTGGTAAACCAGAAGGGCCTCTAGAAGTAAGCGACGTGCACAAGGAAGGCTGCAAACTAAAATGGGACAAGCCCAAAGATGACGGTGGCCTCCCTATTACCGGATACGTTGTTGAAAAACAAGATACTCAAACCGGAAGATGGGTTCCCGCTGGATTTGTAGATGCGGACAAAACTGACCATGAAATCACTGGCTTGGAACCAAACAAGAAGTACAACTTTAGAGTGAAGGCTGTTAACGAAGAAGGGGAATCAGAGCCTTTAGAAACCGACACTGCTACGTTGGCCAAAAATCCTTATGACATATCTGCACCTCCTGGCTTACCAGAAATCGTCGACTGGGATGAGCATTCAGTAAAACTTAAGTGGGATAAACCCGTCAGAGATGGAGGTACTCCTATTACTGGATATGTTATTGAGGCCATGGATAAATTCACCGGTCAATTCGTTAAAGTTGCTGAAGTTGGACCACAATGCCAAGGCACAGTTGGCAAACTGGAGGAAGGAAATCAATACAAATTTAGGGTACGAGCTATAAATAAGGCTGGACCGTCAGAACCTTCAGAACAGACTAACTGGCATACAGCTAAAGCCAGATTCCGTAAGCATTATTTTAGTTTGTTTGTTGAAATTTTAATCTTGTTTTATTTATTTCAGTTAAGCCCTTAATCGATCGCACCAACCTGAAACCATTAACTGTTAAGGCAGGTCTTTCTATCAGCTTGGACGTGAATATTCAAGGTGAACCTCCACCAAAGGTAACATGGTTATACGATGGCAAGGAAATTGAATCCACTGAAGAACTCCGCATCGACAACGTCGATTATAACACCAAATTCTTCGTTCTCAAATCCAAGAGATCCCAATCTGGAAAATACACTATCATTGCAAAGAATGAAGTTGGCGAAGACCAAGCTGAAATCGAAATTTCTATTCTTGGAAAGCCATCTGCTCCTAAAGGACCTTTAGATGTAACCGATGTAACTAAACATGGTTGCAAGCTCAAATGGAAGAAACCTGATGATGATGGTGGTACTCCAATTGATCATTACGCAATCGAAAAGCTCGATCCAACAACTGGTCAATGGATACCCTGTGGAAGAAGTACTGAACCAGAAGCAAATATAACTGGCTTACAAGAGGGCAAACCTTACAAATTCAGAGTTAAGGCTGTAAATAAAGAGGGCGAATCAGAACCTCTTGAAACAGAAAAGTCTATAATAGCTAAAAATCCCTTTGGTAAGTTCTAGCAACTTTTTAATTATCGTTAATTAATACTAATTCTAAATTTTAGATGAACCTAGTAAACCTGGCCGTCCCGATCTTAAAAACTGGGATAAAGACTTTGTTGAACTGGCATGGAAAGCACCCGTCAGCGATGGAGGTGCTCCAATTCAGAAGTACATCATCCAAATGCACGACAAAGCTGGCCGAGGCTGGGTTGATGCTGCTACTGTACCTGGAGATAAAACTGCTGGACGTGTAGACACGGTAGAAGAAGGACACGAATACGAATTCAGAATTGTTGCTGTAAATAAAGCAGGACCAAGCGAACCTAGCGATCCATCGAAACCTGTTATTGCCAAACCCCGATTCTGTAATGAGTATATCTAGTCGTATCAATTGTTATATACTAATTTTTGGTAATTTTTAGTGGCACCCAAAATTGATCGTAAGAATCTCACAAAGAAAGTGCTCCGTCCTGGTCAGCTACTTCGTCTGGAAGCTGATGTTAAAGGTGAACCTCCACCAACAGTTACCTGGACTTTGAAGGAACAAACTTTAAGAAACAATGACCGGCTCAAAATCGACAATGAAGATTATCACACTAGTTTTGTGCTACAAAAAGTCCAAAGAAGTGATACTGGTACATACGTAGTTACTGCTAGGAACGACTCTGGAGTAGATACAGTAGAAGTGGAACTACAAGTAGTCACTAAGCCTTCCAAGCCCAAAGGACCACTCAAAGTATCAGATGTATCTGCGGAAGGCTGCAAACTTAAATGGGAAGCTCCAGAAGACGACGGTGGTGAGCCAGTGACCGGCTATGTAGTTGAAAGAATGGACGTTGAAACCGGAAGATGGGTTCCTGTAACTACTACAAAAACTCCAGAGGCAGACGTAACCGGCCTGAACGAAGGCAAGGACTATCAATTCCGCGTGAAAGCTGTTAACTCTGAAGGTGAATCTGAACCACTAGTAACTGATGAACCTACAACAGCGAAAAATCCTTACACCGAGCCTGACGCCCCTGGAAAACCTGAACTTAAAGACTGGACCAAAGACCATGCAGATCTCAAATGGACTCCACCGAAGAACGACGGCGGAGCGCCTGTAGAAAAATATATTATTGAAAAGAAAGATCCGATCACAGGAAAATGGCACAAAGCCGTCGAAGTACCCGGAAACAAAACCGAAGCAAGGGTACCTGACTTGCAGGAAGGACAGAAATATTCATTTAGAGTTAAGGCAGTTAACAAAGGAGGTGAGAGTAAACCTTCTGAAGCTTCCGACACAATTACTGCCAAAGACAGATTTGTTCCACCCAAGATTGATCGTAGTACACTAAGAGACCTGACTGTTAAAGCCGGACAACATATACGTCTGGATGTTAAAGTTTCTGGAGAACCTCCACCATCAAAAACATGGTTCTTGAATAAAGCACGTATTGAAAACAGAGACGATATTAACGTGGATGTCGAGGATTACAGAACAAAATTAGTTATTGGAGTAGCTAAGAGAGAACATACAGGAACTTTAGTATTGAAAGCTGAAAATAGTTCCGGAAGAGATGAAGCTAGTATCGAAATTAAAGTATTAGACAAACCTGGAAAACCAGAAGGACCTTTGCGAATTAGTGACGTGCATAAAGAAGGATGTTCTCTCAAATGGAACGCCCCTCTAGATGATGGTGGTGTACCAATTGATTATTACCAAGTAGAGAAATTAGATACAGCTACTGGCCGCTGGGTACCTGCCGGACGAGCCAAAGAACCCAAAATTGCTCTTGACAATTTAGAACCTGGCCAAGAATACAAATTCCGAGTATCTGCAGTTAACGCCGAGGGCGAGTCTGAGCCTCTCGAAGCAGAACAAACAATTGTCGCTAAAAATCCCTTCGATGAACCTGGAGCTCCTGGAACTCCTGAAGTAGTAGACTGGGACAAAGATCATGTTGACTTAAGATGGACTCCACCAGCAAATGATGGTGGATCTCCAATCACCGGATACATTATCGAAAAAAGGGAGAAGGGATCGCCAAAATGGACAAAGGCTGGTGAAACCGGTCCATTCGAGACCAAAGGAACAGCTGACAATTTAGACGAAGGCGTCGAATATGAATTTAGGGTCAGAGCTGTTAATGCTGCAGGACCAGGAGAACCTAGTCAAGCCTCTAAGTCCGTTACTACCAAACCAAGAAGACGTAAGCTACTTCGTACTTTTTAATTTACTATATTTAATGTTCTAAATATTTTTTTGCAGTGGCTCCTAAAATTGATCGTCGTAATCTCCATAATCTGACGGTCAAAGAAGGAGAACCTATTTATATAGACGTAAAAGTTAGCGGTGAACCTGCTCCTGATGTCACATGGTACCAAGAAGGACGTACTATCACGGATTCCACACACAAGCGTGTTGACAACGTTCCTTACAACTCCAAATTCTTCAACGATAAACCCGAGCGCAAGGATAGTGGAGTTTACAAAATCGTCGCTGTCAACAAATATGGTCAAGATCAAGTAGAGATTGATATTACAGTAGTTTGTAAGTTAATTATAAAAAAATATTCTTCCACATTTCAAAAATTTGTTCGATTTCAGCAAAACCAGGACAACCTGAAGGACCCTTAGAGGTATCAGATATCCATAAAGATGGATGTACATTGAAGTGGAAGCGACCAAAGGACGACGGTGGTGAACCAGTAGAAAATTATGTAGTAGAAAAGTTAGACCCAGAAACTGGAATTTGGTTGCCTGTAGGTAAAACTAATGGAGCCATACCCGAGATGAAGGTAGATGGATTAGTTCCCGGACACGATTATAAATTCAGAGTTAAAGCTGTTAACAAAGAAGGTGAATCAGAACCTCTGGAAACTATTGGGACGATCACTGCTAAAGATCCATACAGTAAGTTGATGCACTGATTTATAGCCTTACCACAATTTATTTAATAAATTATTTTTAGCTACCGCTGCTAAACCCGGTACTCCAGAACCTGAAGACTGGTCGGCAAATCACGTTGACCTGAAATGGACTGAGCCTGTGTCAGATGGTGGCTCTCCTATTACCGGATATATCATAGAAATGAAAGACAAATACAGTCCCCTATGGGAAAAAGCAGTTGAAACTACTAGCCCCTCACCAAAAGCCACAGTCACTGGTTTAATTGAAGGCAATGAATATCAGTTTAGAGTCATCGCCGTTAATGCTGCAGGCCAAAGTCCTGCTTCAGACGCTAGCAAGATCTTCGTAGCCAAACCTAGATTTTGTAAGTTTAATAATTTGACTATTAAACTTCAAGATTAATATTACTCATATTTTTTTTATTTTTATAGTGGCTCCAAAGATTGACAGACGCTATTTACATGACGTTACCATATCAGCAGGATCTCCACTTAAATTCGAGGCTAATATTATTGGTGAACCTCCACCAACAGTTGAATGGCGTTTTAATGGTAGTACTTTAAGAAATGACAAACGAACGACAATTGACAACGTTGATTACAACACTAAAATTGCTATTCGTCCAGTAGGCCGGGATGATACCGGTCAGTATACTGTTACAGCAACAAATAGCTCTGGAAAGGATAGTCACACAATTAATGTCACTGTTACTGACAAACCAACACCACCACAAGGACCGTTACAAATTTCTGACGTTAACAAGAACGGGTGCAAACTTAAATGGAAAAGACCAAAGGATGATGGTGGCACTCCAGTAGAATATTACCAAATCGACAAAATGGACCCCGAAACTGGTTGTTGGGTTCCCTGTGGCAGAGCTACAGAACCTAGTAAGTTTTTTTTAAATTTACATAGTTCCATTCTCACTCTGTATTTAATTTTTAGACTTTGAAGTTACCGGTCTCACTCCAAACCACGAATACAAATTCAGAGTAGCGGCAGTGAATGCTGAAGGTGAATCAAAACCACTAGAAGCAGAAGAAACGATCATTGCAAAGAATCCATTCGATGAACCTGGACCGCCAGGACATCTTAAAGCTACCGATTGGGACAAAGATCATGTAGATCTAGAATGGACACCTCCAAAAGATGACGGTGGGTCTCCAGTTACTGGATATATCATTGAAAAGAAAGACAAATTTGGAGATTGGGAAAAAGCTCTTGAAGTTCCTGCGGATAAGTTTAAAGCAACAGTACCGGATCTAATTGAAGGCCAACCCTATCAATTCAGAGTCCGTGCTGTCAACGCTGCTGGTCCTGGAGACCCAAGCAACGAAACGCCTACAATTATTGCTAAGGCGCGCAATTTGGCACCGAAGATTGACAGGACGAACTTAATCGAAGTAAAAATTCGCGCCGGTCAAAACTTTGCGTACGACGTTAAAGTTTCTGGCGAGCCAATGCCAGCTACTAAATGGCTATTAAAGGGTAAAGAAATTAAATCTGGCCCCAACTGCAAAGTTCAGCATTTAGACTACAACACAAAACTATCTATACGTAATGCTACCAGAGCTGATTCTGGTACGTACACGGTAACAGCTGAAAATGCCAACGGAAAAGACATTGCTGAAGTTGAAGTTACCGTTCTCGACGTCCCTAGCCCACCAGGTGGCCCTCTAAAAGTATCTGATGTTCACGCTAAAGGTTGTAAACTTAGTTGGAGACCACCAGCAGATGATGGTGGTCAGCCCGTTGAAAATTACGTAGTAGAAAAAATGGACGAAGCTAGTGGAAGGTGGGTTCCAGTGGGTGAAACTGAGGGACCGCAAACATCAATAAATGTCGATGGTCTAACACCGGGCCACAAGTACAAATTTAGAGTTCGCGCCCAAAACCGTCAAGGAAAATCCGAACCCTTGACGACGTCCCAAGCAATCGAAGCTAAAAATCCATTCGACGAACCTGGTAAGACCAGCGCACCGGAGATTACTGACTATGACAGCGATTTCGTCGAACTGAAATGGGATAAGCCAGAAAACGATGGTGGCTCTCCAATCACTGGCTATATTATCGAAAAACGAGATAAGTTTAATCCGAGTTGGGAAAAATGCGCAGAAGTCGAAGGAGACGTGCCCAAGGGTAAGGTCAAGGACCTTATCGAAGGTACTCCATATGAATTCAGGATCAGAGCTGTAAATAAAGCCGGACCTGGCGAACCTAGCGACGCATCCAAGATCCATGTCGCTAGACCCAAGAACCGTAAGTTTATTTATTAAACAAGTCGAAAAAACTTTACATAATTAATATGTGCTTTCTTACTTTTCAGTTCCACCTAAAATCGACAGAAATGCCTTATTTGATCTTAAAGTTAAAGTGGGACAGTCAATCGAATTTAACGTCCCTGTTATCGGTGAACCACCACCAAGCAAAGAATGGTTACATAAAGATAATGTATTATTCAACACAGACCGTGTTAAAATAACTAACGAAGATTACAAGACCCACATTAAGATTACAGATGCCCAAAGAGCAGACAGTGGTCCATACACCTTAACCGTTAAAAATATCAACGGAAAAGATACAGCCACTGTAAAGGTAACAGTTCTGGATGTTCCTACACCACCAGAAGGTCCTCTTAGAGCTGATAACGTTACTAAGTCATCGTTAACTCTGAGCTGGAAACCACCAAAAGATGACGGAGGTTCCGAAATTTCCCATTACCAAGTTGAAAAACTTGATACTGAAAACATGAGATGGGTACCTGTAGGTGATTCGGTTGGAACAACAATGAGAGTTCCAAATCTGACTGAAGGACATGATTACCAGTTCAGAGTTCGAGCAGTAAATAAACAGGGGGAATCAGCTCCACTCACCACCACTGAAAGTATTACAGCAAAAGATCCATTTAGTAAACCTGACAGACCTGGTGCTCCTAAACCCACAGACTGGGACAAAGATCATGTGGATCTTGAATGGACTCCGCCAAGAAAAGATGGCGGTGCACCTATTACAGAGTATATTATCGAAAAGAGACCTAAACACGGGTAAGCTCTATGACCTTTTTAGTTTTATTAGTAAATATATTATTGATCTTTTTTAATTTTAGGACATGGGAAGAAGCAGCTAGAGTTCCCGGAAACAGTACTAAGGGAACTGTTCCTAATCTAACTGAAGGAGAAGAATATGAATTCAGGATAATAGCGGTAAACAAAGGAGGTCACAGTGAACCCAGTGAGGCCTCAATTCCAGTTATTGCCAAGCCCAGATTTTTGGCTCCGTCCTTTAATAAGAGTTTATTGGAAGACATTACCATCAAAGTTGGTCAACGATTTGGCTGGACGATTCCAATCGAAGCTGCTCCAAAACCAACAGCTAAGTGGACTGTAAATGGCAAAGAAATACCTGTTTCTGATAGAGTAGATCATGCTGTTTACAACAACAAAGTCTCATTTGACGTTTCGTCTGCAGTGAGAGCTGATGCCGGTAGATATACGTTAACTCTCAGCAACGACTTGGGAAGCTTTAGTGCTTCTGCACAAGTCACAGTATTAGATAAACCAGGCCCACCGCAACCACCATTAGATGTGGGTAGCGTTACTAAAGACAGCGCAAGAATTTCCTGGAAACCACCACTTGACGACGGTGGTTCACCGATTCTTCATTACATCGTGGAGAAAATGGACGTTTCTCGTGGAACTTGGTCTGATGCTGGAATGGCTACAATCACTTCCCATGATATCACCCGATTAATTCACAAGAAAGAATACTACTTCCGTGTTAAGGCTGTAAATGCAGTAGGCGAATCTGAACCACTCGAAACACCTAGAAGCATCATTGCCAAAAACGAATTTGGTAAGATTTAAAGCATTAAGATTACTTGTTATTCCGTCTTTACAATATCACATTTTTCTGTTACAGATGAACCTAGTGCTCCTGGAAAACCGGCAGTTACTGACTGGGATAAAGATCACGTAGACTTAGAATGGACACCACCAAAGAACGACGGTGGTTCTCCCATCACTGGTTATATCGTACAAAAGAAAGAGAAGGGAAGTCCATATTGGACAAATGCCGTCCATGTGCCAGCAAGGAAGACTGGTTGCACTGTCCCTGATCTAACAGAAGGCCAAGAATACGAATTTAGAGTTATAGCAACAAATACTGCTGGCCAGAGTGAACCATCTGAACCCTCTGATCTTGTAACAGCTAAAGCCAGATTTTGTGAGTCTTAAAATGACATATACATATTAGAACGAATCTATTCAATTATTTTATTTCAGTGGCACCGAAAATCAAAACACCGCTCAACGATATCCGTATTAAGGCTGGACTTATCTTACACATTGACATCGACTTCATTGGAGAACCATGCCCTGAAGTCACATGGACCGTTGGAGGAAATCCTCTTGTTGCTGACGACCGCACAACGGTAACCTCAATTGGATATCATACCGTAATACATACGGTAAACGCTAAAAGATCGAATAGCGGTTTGTATCATATTTTGCTCAAGAATAATTCAGGTATAGATGAAGGTTCATTCCAAGTGACTGTTCTGGGTAAGTTACAGCTGACGATGGTAAGTTTTGGTTTTAATAAATTCGTTTAGATCGGCCGGGACCACCTCAAGGACCTTTGGAATATGAAGAAGTAACAGCTCAAAGTGTTACTCTTTCGTGGAAACCACCTAAAGATAACGGTGGAAGTGAAATTACGTAAGTTTCTATAATATTCTAATATTTTGAATAATATATTTCGCTCTATCGTAGGGGATATGTAATTGAAAAACGTGATTTGACTCATGGAGGAGGTTGGGTACCAGCTGTTAACTACGTTAATCCCAAATACAACCACGCTATTGTACCGAGACTACTGGAAGGAACTAAATATGAATTTAGAGTTTTCGCTGAAAACTTACAAGGAAGATCAGAACCTCTTGAAACTGAAAAACCAGTAGTAGCCAAAAATCAATACGGTATCTTATTAACTTTCAACAAAAATTATGTGCAATTCATCATCAAAACATTTTTCAGATGTACCCGGAAAACCAGGCAAGCCTGAACTGGTTGACAGTGACAAAGATCATATCAAGATTAAATGGACTGCGCCGATAAGCAACGGTGGCTCACCTATTCTAGGCTATGATATCGAACGCCGTGATAGAGCTACCGGCAGATGGGTGAAACTTAACAAAGAACCCGTAAGAAGTCAAGAATATTACGATGATCGTGTACAAGAAGGTCATCAGTACGAATATAGAGTATCGGCAGTAAATGCCGCAGGAAACGGCAAGCCTAGTGACGCGTCCAACGCATTTATTGCTAAACCAATGAAGGGTATATTATATTATTTCCCAAGATATATTCAAGTTAATAACTATGAGTTTATTTTTCAGAAAAACCGAAGTTGTGGCTCGATGGAATTATTGGAAGAAAAATTAAAGTCCGGGCTGGAGAACCGATCAATATTGATATCCCACTTTCAGGTGCACCAGCTCCAAAAGTGGAATGGATTAAAAATAAATTGCAAGTTCCCGAAAGCAGCAGAGTATATGTAAGATCAGTTACAACAACCTCTTTCTACCAGGACTAATTTACTATATTTTACAGACTGAAACTAATAGTGAACACACCAGATTCCGTGTTGAGGCATCTAACAGGGCTGATTCAGGAACCTACACGGTCCGAGCTAAAAACGAATTTGGCTCTGACGAAGCCGATATCGAAGTTATTGTCGTTGATAAGCCAGGAATACCGAAAGGCCCGCTTCAGTACACTGCAACGACCCAAGACTCTGTTTCTCTATCTTGGAACCCACCAGAAGATGACGGTGGTGGAGATATCACCGGTTACATCGTAGAAATTTCTGAATACGGCACTGATTTATGGCGACCCTGTCCTGGGTTCTGTCCCAGACCATCGTTCACCGCTAGAGGTCTAACCGAAGGCAAGAAATATGTATTCAGAGTGCGCGCCGAAAATATTTATGGAGTTTCAGAGCCTCTCGAAGGAAAACCAGTTGTAGCTAAGAGTCCGTTTGATCCACCAGGCCCACCAAGCCAGCCAGAAGTTACTGGTTACACACCTAACTCCTGTTCACTCAGATGGAATCCTCCGGTATCTACCGGTGGAAAGCCTATTAGTGGATATATCGTTGAAAAACGTGAACGTGGTGGTGATTGGATTAAAGTTAACAACTACCCAACTCCAAACGCACAGTACACTGTCCAGGATTTGCGTGAAGGAAACAAGTATGAATTCCGTGTAACTGCTGTTAATGAAGCAGGCCCTGGAGAACCAAGTAAGCCAACTGAACCGATAATTGCTCAACATCAAAGATTCAAACCTTCGGCTCCAGAACCACCAAAAGCCGATCGCATTACTAAAGATAGTGTCACCTTGTCATGGAGACCACCAAAGAGCGATGGAGGTTCAAGACTTAAGGGATACATATTACAACAACGTCCTAAAGGCTCTAATGACTGGACAGATGTGAACGCTTTACCTATCAATGACACTGTCTATACCGTTCCACGGCTTAAGGAAGGAGAAGAATACCAATTTAGGGTTATTGCTGTTAACGATGTAGGAAACTCTGAACCTAGTAGACCAAGTAATCCAATCCTTATCGAAGAACAACCAAACAAACCTTGCATGGATTTGGGTGGTGTCCGAGATATTACAGTACGCGCTGGGGAAGATTTCAGTATACACGTTCCGTACATTGGATTCCCCAAACCAACCGCGGCGTGGTTTGCAAATGACAAACTTCTTGACGAATCAGACAATCGTATATTCCCGCAATTAGCTGATGATTACGCTAGCATCATTGTGAAGAACTCTAAACGCTCTGACACTGGGCAGTACAGGTTACAACTCAAGAATCCATCTGGATTTGACACTGCAACTATTAACGTCAGAGTTCTTGACAGACCCGGCAAACCTGAAAACCTACGAGCTGATGAATTTGCCGGTGATGCACTTACTCTATACTGGCAACCACCTAAAGATAACGGTGGTGCTGATATCACCAATTACATCGTTGAAAAGAAAGAAGCTAAGTCATCCACATGGACTAAAGTTAGCAGTTACGTTACTGTTCCATTTGTTAGGATCAGAAACTTGACACTAGGAAAGGAATACGACTTCAGAGTCATTGCTGAAAATCAATACGGCCAATCCGAACCGGCTGTCACTTCAGAACCAATTCGTGCAAGACATCCATTTGATCCACCAGGTGCCCCAGGAACGCCTAGAGGAATTGACTCGAGCGAAGATTCAATTACCATTCAATGGACGAAGCCGCGACATGATGGCGGCTCACCAATCACTGGATATGTTATTGAGAAACGTCTAATAACGGAAGACAAATGGACTAAAGCTTCCCATGCTCTTGTACCTGATTTAGATCTTAAAGTAATCAACTTAATTGAAAATCACGAATATGAATTCAGAGTAGCGGCTGTTAATGCCGCTGGTCAAGGCCCATGGAGTTCTGCGTCAGATGCCATTTGTGCTAGAGCTCCACCATCCGCACCAAAAATAACATCAGATTTAAGTATCAGAGACATAATTGTTATCGCGGGTGAAGAACTGAGAATCACTGTTCCTTACGTTGCAACACCAAAACCGAAAGAATCCTGGACTATTAACGGTAATGAGGTTTCTGGCGATGATAGAATCAAATTGGAAACTACCGATATCGCTTCGATATTTTATAACAAATCCGCCAAACGTTCTGATACAGGAAGCTATACAATTAAACTTACCAATTCAATGGGTTCCGACTCTGCTTCTTGTAGAGTACTTGTTGTAGACAGACCACAGCCACCTCAAGGTCCTCTTGACATTTCCGATGTGACACCTGATAACTGTTCACTAGCATGGAGACCTCCTCTAGATGACGGCGGTTCACCTATAACAAATTACATTGTTGAAAAACTAGATACAAACGGCATATGGGTTAAAGTGAGCAGTTTTGTACGCAACACGCATTACGATGTTATGAGTCTAGAACCGAATAAGAAATACAGCTTTAGAATCCGAGCAGAAAATCAGTATGGCATCAGTGATCCATTGGAGAGTGCTGAGCCTGTTATTGCTAAATATCCGTTCACTATACCCGAACCTCCAGGACCACCTCGTGTTGTCGACTGGGATAGCAATACCATCAATCTTGTATGGGACCGTCCAAGCCACGATGGTGGATCTCGTATTCAAGGATATAAACTTGAATTCAGAGACGTTCGTGACACGCACTGGGTGAGCGCTAGCGATTACCTCATCAAAGACACTCACTTTGACTTGTACAACATGGTTACCGGACAAGAGTATGAATTCAGAGTTCGTGCTAAAAACGCTGCAGGTTTTAGCAAACCTTCAGCTTCATCATCCAGATTTAAACTCAAGGGTAAATTTAACGTACCATCTCCTCCACGCAATCCGAAGGTTGTCAATGTCGGTAAAGGCTACGTCGATCTTACTTGGGAACCACCAAGTTCAGACGGGGGATCCCGAATTACTGGCTATATCATTGAAAAACGCGAAATTGGAAGTCCATTGTGGACGAAGTGTAATGACTATAACGTTACAGATACAAATTACACTGTGCTTAATTTACACGACCAGTCCGAATATGAATTCAGGATATCAGCTGTGAACGCTGCTGGTAAAGGTGAACCCAGTACATGTACTGCTCCTGTTAAAGTATGCGAAGTTCTTGGAGGAGAGAAGCCTGATTGGGTGCGTAGACTACAAAATACCTCGGCGCCTCTTGGCAAATCTGTTAGCTTAGAGTGCGAAGCTACTGGCAAACCTGAACCAACCTTCCGTTGGTTGAAGAATGGCCGCGAAATTCAATTAGGTGGACGATTTAGAATGGAAAGTAAAAATGGAACGGCATGGCTGCACATATCTGATTTATTGGACGTTGATGATGGAGATTATACTTGTGAAGCAAGTAACTCCTTAGGCGCTGTTACCACCACAGCTCGTCTTAAGATTGGAAGTAAGTTTAACTTCATTTAATTTTTAAAAAATTATATATTATTATTTTACTTTATTTTTAGATCCGCCAAGAATTGAAAGACTACCTGGAGATTTGTACTTGGCCGAAGGTGATAATACAAAGATCAAGATATATTATTCTGGAGACCAGCCTTTGGACGTCAGCTTGTCAAAGAACGGCCAGAAGATTGATGATGATTCTCACATCCGCTTTACGGTGTTTGACGATTACATCATAATCTTTATAAAGGACATTAAGAAATCTGACGCTGGAAGCTACAATCTTACTGTTAAGAATGACAGTGGAAGCGCATCTGGAAGCTTCCCTGTATACATCACTGGTTTACCCGGACCACCGAATGGACCTCTTGAAACTACAGATATTACTAAACACACTTGCACGCTTAGCTGGAAACCACCAAGCTATGACGGAGGACTTCGTGTAACACACTACGTTGTAGAAAGGAAAGACATTACTGGCACACACTGGATAACCGTTTCCAGTTCATGTAGAGACACATCATTTACTGTCCAAGGTCTAACTGAAGGACAGGAATATCTCTTCAGAGTCATGGCTGTTAACGATAATGGAATGGGACCACCATTAGAAGGAGTTAACCCTGTTCGGGCTAAAGCACCATTCGACCCACCGTCACCACCTGGCATACCTGTCGTTACACAAGTCGGAGGAGATTTCGTCAACCTTGAATGGACTAAACCCGAAAACGATGGAGGAGCTCGTGTACAAGGATACTGGATAGACAAGCGAGAAGTTGGTCAACTTGCTTGGCAACGAGTTAACGTATCGCTTTGCCTACCTACACAAATCAACATATCCAATCTTATCGAAGGTCGTCAATATGAATTCAGGGTTTTCGCCCAGAACATTGCTGGTCTTTCTGAACCATCATCAGCTTCGACATCGGTTGTTATTAAAGACCCACTAGCTCCAACGCCTCCAGAAATCATCAGACCATTGAAGAACGCTCAGTGCATCCAAAATCACAATGCCAAATTCGAGTGTACTATAACTGGTGTACCTGCCCCTACAATTACGTGGTACAAGGGAGCCAGAGAAATTACTAATGGTTCACGTTATCACATCTACAGCGAAGGAGAGGTCCATCATCTTGTCATCCATGACGTATTCGGAGAAGACGCCGACGAATACGTGTGCAGAGCTGCTAACAAGGCTGGAGTTAAATCTACTAGAGCTGAATTATTAATAATGAGTAAGTTTACTAAAATTTTAATGATTCAAATTGTCTAAATTGATATTTCTTTTACAGCTGCGCCCAAACTGAACATTCCACCACGATTCCGTGACACTGCATACTTTGATAAAGGCGAGAACGTCATTATTAAGATTCCGTTTACTGGTTTCCCCAGGCCTAAAATTACCTGGGTTAGAGAAGGTGAAGTTATCGAATCCGGAGGTCACTATCACGTTGAAGTTAAAGACAGGCATGCAATCCTTACTATTCGTGACGCAAGCAAGTTAGACAGCGGGCCATACAGAATTACAGCGGAAAATGAGCTTGGCCAAGATACTGCTATTATTAAAATTCAAATCGCCGATCGTCCTGACCCTCCAAGGTTCCCAGCTGTCGATAATATTGGTACTGATTCTCTGGCATTATCATGGAAGGCTCCTGTTTGGGATGGAGGTAGTAACATCACTAATTACATGGTGGAGAGACGGGAACACCCTCTTTCTACTTGGATTCGCGTCGGTAATACTCGATTAACCACCATGGCTGTTAGCGGATTAACTCCAGGACACCAATATGAATTCAGAGTTTACGCAGAAAACATTTACGGGCGGTCTGATCCATCCGAAGTTAGTACGCTGATTACCATGAAAGACACTGCCAAGAAGAAGGTGGAGAAAAGGAAATATGAAGTGGACGAAACCGGCAAAAAGATTAGAGAATCTCATAAGGAACCTATCAAAGACTATGACAACTACGTCTTTGATATATACTCTAAATTCGTTCCTCAGCCCGTTGAAATCAAAACTCGCAGCGTATACGACGATTACGATATTTTAGAAGAAATTGGCACAGGCGCATTCGGAGTGGTTCACAGATGTCGTGAACGTAAGACTGGCAACATATTTGCCGCTAAATTCATTCCCGTGTCGCACGCAATGGAAAAAGAACTGATCCGCAAGGAAATTGACATCATGAACCAGCTTCATCACCCTAAACTGATCAATCTTCACGACGCCTTTGAGGATGACGACGAGATGGTTCTTATTTACGAATTCCTATCTGGCGGTGAACTCTTTGAACGCATTACTGCCGAAGGCTACACTATGTCGGAGGCTGAAGTTATTAATTACATGAGACAGATTTGCGAAGGCATCAAACATATGCACGAAAAGAATATTATTCATTTAGATATTAAGCCAGAGAACATCATGTGTCAAACACGTAAAGGCACAAATATTAAACTTATCGATTTTGGACTGGCTACGAAATTAGATCCCAACGAAGTGGTTAAGATCTCAACTGGCACAGCTGAATTTGCTGCTCCAGAAATTGTTGAAAGGGAACCAGTTGGATTCTATACTGACATGTGGGCGGTAGGTGTCCTGGCTTACGTTTTGCTTAGTGGCTTATCACCATTCGCTGGTGAAAACGACATCGAAACGCTTAAGAACGTCAAGGCTTGCGATTGGGACTTTGATGAAGAAGCATTTTCCAATGTCTCGGAGGAAGGAAAAGATTTCATTCGTAGACTACTCCTTAAGAATAAAGAGTACGTTCATATGAATTATTTCAATCTCTTAAATAAAACTTAAACTAATTTTTATTGTAGGAAACGTATGACAGCTCAAGAGTGTCTTTTACACGCCTGGCTTTCCGGTGACCATAGCGACAGGACCAGTTCAATTGACCAATCGAAATATTTGAGTCTTAGAGACAGAATCCGCGCCAAATATGATGCATGGGACTCATTTGCCCTTCCAATTGGACGCTTATCAGAATACTCTTCATTGCGTAAACTGCTTATTGAAAAATACAAAATCCACGACACATATTTCGGTTAGAACAATCTAATTTTTTAAATATTCAGTTTTTATTTTACTATTTTTACTTGCAGATCGCAGACAAGCTGCACCTCGATTTGTTATTAAACCTCAAAGTGCATTCTGCTACGAAGGCCAAAGCGTCAAGTTCTACTGCAGAGTTATTGGTGTTGCTGCACCTACAGTCAGTTGGTACCACAATAATGTCGAACTAAGACAGAGTGTCAAATATATGAAACGATATGCTGGTGACGATTATTACTTTGTAATTAACAGAGCTAAATTATCAGACCGGGGAGAATATATTATTAGGGCAGAAAATCACTACGGAGCTAGAGAAGAAGTTGTGTTCCTTAACGTTCAACGTACGCTTAGTATTTATTTTATATCCATATTACAATTAATATATATTTCTATAATTACAGCACTGCCAACAGTTGTCCCAGAATACAAACCTGAAGCCCCAGTAATCCGAAGACGAGAACCTTTACCGTACACCTTCTGGCAAGAAGAACAAGAGTGCGCTCCCAGCTTCACGTTCTTACTCAGACCCCGTGTCATGCAAGAGCGAGACACCTGCAAGCTTTTATGTTGCCTGAGCGGTAAACCCTTCCCTACAGTCAAATGGTACAAAGACAAACGCGAGCTCAGTAAATACGAATACTCCATGTCAAGTTCCGATGGTGTGGTTACAATGGAGATCCAAGGTTGCAGACCGTCAGACTCTGGAAAATATACTTGCGTGGCTACGAACAAGCACGGACAAGACGAGACTTCTTGCGTGGTTATCGTCGAAGGAGCGACCAGTACTGAAGAACAAACGAAAATGGCGGAAAGAATATTACATTCTGGAGACAGGAAGTACATCGAGAACCCGATTAAACCTGCACCGATTCCAGTGACGATCAAAAAACAAGTGACGCAACCTAATCCTATTCAACCGAGATCGGCAAACGCTAGCACGAATAGTTTGGCACACTCGTCGTCCACGCTTAGCGTGGGTGATGGTGAGAGACGTCCTAGGAAATATGGTAGGTTAGATTCAACCGGTAGCCCCAATAGATCTCGAAGTGCTACCAAGGAGCTTGCCCGTAAGTAGAATTTTAAAAATACTATCCTTCACTGAAAAATTTAATTTGTGAATTTATATATATATATATATATATATATATATATATATATATATATATATATATATATATATATATATATAATATATATATAAAGGATTCTACAGCTCTGGCTGCCTTCCTTCCATCAACCGGGTCCTCCATTCGTCTCGATCATCCCATGTTCCCTCTCGTAGTCCTCTCCGATGCATAGACTCGTCCACTTCATCTCGCCATGATCTTCTTGGCCGCCCTCGCTTTCTTCTTCCAATCGGGCTCCACTCTGTCACTCTGTTAATCCATCTATTTTCCGCCCTTCTAACATGACCGTACCATACCAATCTTTTCGTTTCTATGTACTTTAAGACGTCGGTCTTTCTCCCCATTCTTCTTCTTATTTCCTCATTCGTGACTCGGTCTCTTCTGGTTAGTCCACAGCATCTTCTCCAATACATCATTTCGGTGGCCAGAATTTTTCTTTGGTTGTTTTTGTTTATGACCCATACTTCTGCTGCATATGTCATGATACTCTGAATAATTGTTTCATATATCAATGTTTTAGTCTTTTTCCTGATATTTCTATCCCAGATAACGGAGTGCAGTTGTTGTATACAGGATCTTGTCTGTCCAAGTCTGACATTTATATCTTCTTCCGTAGTTGCGTTTTTCGATAGTGTAAATCCCAGGTATTTAAAGTTATTGGTTCCCTTTATTTCCAGGTGGTCTTCTATTTGTAAATCAGCTGTATCTTCCTCTGTTGTCATGTACATGGTTTTCTTCAGGTTTATTTCTAGTCCTACTTTTTCATACTCTTCATTTAGCTTCCTGAGCATATAACTTAGATCTTCCTCATCCTGGGCCATCACCACCTGGTCATCTGCAAAGCAGAGCGTGTAAAGATGTTCATTTCTTAGAGGGATTCCCATACCTTCACATTTGCGTTTCCAGGTTGTCAGTGCATGTTCCAGAAATATTTTAAATAATGTTGGCGATGTTGGACATCCCTGGAGCAGCCCCTTCGATGTTGTTAAGCTGTTTACTATCTTGTTCCCTACTTTTATGTGTATTTTGTTGTTCCTATATAAAGTCTTCATTGCATTTGTGAGTGTTATCGGTATGTCCAGTCTTTCCATCGCTTTCCATAGTTCTTTCCTGGGTACAGTGTCATAGGCCTTCTTTAAATCGATGAATGCTAAGTGTACTGGTTTGTTCTTTGCTTTTTTTTTCTCCAATAATTGTTGGATCGTGTAAATATGATCTATGCATGATCTCCCTGCTGTAAAACCTGCTTGTTCTTCTCCGATTTTTCCTTGTATGTTCTGTTCTAATTTGTCTCTCAGTACTCTACCATATAGCCTCCCCATGGTTGCTATGACACTGATCCCTCGATAGTTATCGCACTGTCTTCTATCTCCTTTTTTGAAAATCGATGTTAGCTGTGCTTCCTTCCATTCGTCTGGTATGTTATGTCCATTTATTGCTTTCCCAAACATTCCATGTATGATTCTGAATAATTTTTCTGTGCCGCATTTTATGAGCTCTGGTGCGATGTCCCCTGGTCCTCCTGCTTTTTTGTTTTTTATTGTTTTAATTGCCTTTCGTATATCTTCTATTGTTATAGGTATATGTTGTGCTCTAGGTTGTCCCTCTTCTTCTTGTCTTTCCTCTATAAACTTTTGTCTTGTTTCCGTGAGTAAATCTTTGTAGTGATCTTTCCACTTCTCAGGTTCAATGTATGATATGTATGATCTTTCTTTCCTATCGGATCTCAATTCCTTAATCACTCTCCATGCTTCTGATCTTCTAGCTCCACCGATATATTGGTCCAAGTTCTGGCAGGTTTTTTCCCAATTTTCGTTTTTCTCTCTGTTTACCATCCCTTTAACGTCTCTGTTTTTTTCTCTATATTTTTTGTAGTCATCTTCATTCCTGGTACTCAGCCATTTATTGTACAGTTGTTTTTTACATTTAATTTCGTTAATCGTCGTTTCACTAAGATTGTATTCGAAAGGTCGTTGTTTTCCTTCTACTTCTCCGAGGGCTTCCATCCCTGCCTGTAGCATACTTTCTTTGATGTGCTGGTATGTGTCTTCCATGTTATCATCGTATCTAAATTCTATGAGTTTCTGGTCAAGTCTTGTTTGGTATAGATGTCGTGTGGATTCATCCTGTAATAATTGTATTTTTAGTGGTTTTCTTTTTTGTATTTCTATCGGTGTTCCTTCAATGTTGTTCGTTTTTCTATTCATCCAAGGGAATTCCATTTTAGCTAGTAATAATCTGTGGTCGCTTCCGCATTCTGCCCCTCGCTGTACTCGGACGTCCCTTATTTTAATTGTAGATCTTCTTCGTATGATAATGTAATCTATTATAGATTTGAGTTCTCTCGTTTCTTGTGTCCAGGTGTATCTGTGGATATCCTTATGTCTGAAGAACCCATTTGTTACTTTGAGGTCGTTTAGTTCGCATATTTCTATGACTCTTTCACCGTTATCGTTGGTTATTTCTTCTCCAAATCTTCCTATTACGCTATCATTTTCTTTTCTGCCTACTCTCCCATTCAAGTCGCCTGCTATAATAATATATATATATATAATTTGTGAATTTAATAACAATATTGAGGGTCATTTCTTGCCATAGATAATTGTAGTAGATTTACCATCCGTTTTTTAGTTTTACAACTCGTTTGTAAAATCACAGATTAGGTATCCTCTAAGTATACAGATAAAAATCTTGTCCCTAATTCGTGGTACGAAAATTGTTTTTTATGATGATGTGCAAACGAGTAAAATTTCCTGTGCGCAAAAATAAACTCGCGTAAAATAACAAAAAAAATAGAGAGATATCGCTAAACCGAATAGCGTGCATGGAGGTTAATAAGGCCAGGTGTTATTTCCTTTACGTGAGGTGGTATTCACCTGTATTAATTCTCTTCATTTATAGTTATCGGATCGGAAAGGATTTTGTTCGCGTCGCGTCCGCTATTTAAACTTAACCTAACTTTGAAATTGTTTTGTTTACTAGGTATTTTATAACTAAAGGGCTAAAGTGCTTATTTCCAGTGCTTTATTGTTCAACGTCTGCCAGTGGGTTTAGGGCAACAAGCAACAAATTCTCTTAGAAGGGCTAAGTCGTCCTCTGCTGTAAACCTAAGCCTCTTTAGAGGTTCTTTAATATTGGAAGAGATTGAATCCATATTTTGGGCCATATTTATTTAATTAAAACTAATCCCAGCTACTTAAATATCAAATTACCTAATAAAACTAAAGTAATAATTCAAAACAACTCAAACATAACCTAAAAAAATCAAACATAACATAAAATGCCCATTTAAGCAATTTTTAAACGTTATTTAGAAATAGCGCTTGGTGTAATTGATCCGCAAATAACGTCAGGCGGTTTACCGTTATTAGCGGGTTTTGCGTTAAAAATTGACTCGCGCATATCGTAACCATGATAAGGTACGCGTAAATACTGCATGACGCTATTCGGTTTTCCGATATCTCTCTAATAACTGTGCCGGTCAGGCGCTGTGCACAATTTTAGAGGCCATAAGTGGGCGTGCTATGTGCGCAAACTAGTCACCTAACTAGTGCCCGATTCCGAAAATTGGAACCACGAAAAACAATAAAGAAAAAACAAAGATTATAATCTGTATAGTCTGTGGTAAAATCGCTATATGGCTAATTTGTGTGGCATGTATATAAATATGTTATAATATATCTTTATATTGACCAATATTCTTTGTGAATTTATTTAGAAAATGGGTTAAAATATCTCGTAGTAAATTTATTTATTCATTGTAAATTTATAATTTAAAATTGCCAACTTCTTGTACTATTACTATACAAGGTGTCCCAGAAATAGGTGCAAGTATTTTAACTGGTATATAGTTCAACCCCAGAAACACGCATATATGTGTTTTTTTTCGTGAAAAAAAATTGTGGAAATTCTGGATTTTGGATTTTTTTTAGTTTCTAGTTAAAAAACATAATTTCTTGATAATATGGCAACATAGGTAGTAGATTAAATTTTCAAGAAAGAAAATCCAGAAAAGGGCCAGTGGTTATCAAAATTTGAGCAAAAAATCATTTTTTTGGAAATTTTCAAAGTAGTTTTGGACTTATTTGAAAAACTATAAAGAGACAATATGTTTCTTTTATCGAGATCTTAAATACTTGCACTTATTTCTGGGACAACCTGTACAGTACCAACAAATAAAAACATTTTATTACAGTAAATTTATACAAACTATTTGTAATAGTCTATTACAATTACTTTTGTAAATTCACAAATCGTTAGTAAATATTAGCGATGGGAACTATCGAATGAATTAGACTATCGAATGGTTAATGAATGAATGATTTCAACTATCGAATGGTTTTATTCGAATAAAATCATTCATTCATTTGTATACTAAAGCATATGTGACAACCTCGCCGTGCGACCAAATGGTTATCGTTGCGCCACGACTATCGAATGCTTTTGATAAATGAAATTTAGTATTCGTTTGATTTTTGTATGCGTCAGTGCATTATTAGTTCTTCCAAATTTTTATAACTTTGCCGTATAAATACTGTGCTATTTTTGCGTTTATTAAAATAGTTAAAATACTAAAATAGTAGTTATTTTTTAATTTTATTTATTGACGATTGTGTGCATGTGGAGGTGGTCAAAATTTTTCCGAAAATTTGTGTGGTTTTCCGTAGTCCGATCTTTCAATTATTTAATTTTATATGGTATATGGTCTATTTTTTAATGGGAAATTTTGAGAAGTAGCAATTTTTAAGAGAGATGAGATGAACTTCTTACAATTAATTTTAAAAATACATATTTGTATTTTAGATGTTTTAATAATATGAATTAGTTGAACTATAATCATATTTAATTAATGTGGTTAAGTAAATGGTTATCGAACTCAAACTATGGGGTGAGAAAATTAAAATGAAACTTTTACACGTGCCAATTTAAAAAAAAAGTTAACGATGTTTGTATTTTGTTTATGCTAATTCTCTTACATGTAGTTTTTTGCGAAGAAATATTTCATTTATTTTTTAAAGTAAATGCCAGTAAAAGTAAATATAATTTTTAAATAGTAACATAAAGCACCTAATATAAATAATTTTGATTTCTAATTTTTTATTTATATTTTCGTTCCATTACACTGCATGCTTAGAAAATTAATAAATGTTTTATATTTCATGATTTTAAAATTTGTTGTTAATATAACAAATTAGTTCTGTAATTATTATTATTTAATAAACCAACGTTGCCAAAAAATTTAGAGACTATATTATTTTTAAATAGGATCTAATATAAATAATTTTGACATCTAATTTGTTGTTTATATTTTGCTACTACTTAAAAAAATATTTATATTAAATCATTTTAAATTTTGTTGTTAATAGGTATAACAAATTATTACTGTTATTATTATTTATTAAACCAGTCTTTGCTTAAAAACATTAAACATCATTTTCTTACATCCAAAATAACAAGTATTATTGCAGTGTAACAACAGAATATTAATAAAAAAAATGCAGAATATATGTATAGACATACTATCCCTAACTAACTAAAGCCAAACAATAATATTCTTCGCTAATATCAACTAATACCAAAATATGGCAACAGCGCCCTTCATAATGTATTTTTTGTGTAAATACTAGCACCTCAATGAAAAAAATAATGTGTCCTTATCTATGTCTGACTCCGCAAAAAATCAAAGATGCCGGCTTCTTTCATAGCATTGCCACCGTCCGCTGTCGGGTTTCTCGGAAAGAAACCTACATCGCCGGGCGACAACTAAAATTCAGTTAATATTTTATTATAATCGATCCTGACGAATAAATGAATTTCATAAATGAATGAATTTTATAAATGAATGGTTTTTGCTGCCGAATTACTAGAATACAATATTTCAAGGCAGATGACGGATCTATTCGATAATTTTTATTCGAATAGTTTTCAACGAATGTTTTCTTACTAACTATCGAATTATTCGAATGAATTGCAACTATCGAATGTTTCGATAGTATTCATTCGATAGTTCCCACTACTAGTAAATATTAATAAATTTAATAAAACAGGTGTTTATAATAAAATTGTAATATCAAAATATAAAATTATTTTTCTATGTAGTTCCTCCAGATTCCACCATGGGACCCCCTCAATTCACGAAAGGATTGAACGACTTGACTGTAAATGACGGAGATAGTCTCACCCTAACAGCTCATGTACAGGGTGATCCAGAACCGCAAGTCGTATGGACAAAGAACGGAAAACAACTGAGCTCATCTGAAGTAATCGATCTCAAATATAAAAATGGCATCGCCAAATTACACATAAACGAAGTTTACCCTGAAGATGAGGGAGCATATGTGTGCAAGGCTACAAATTCGATGGGAACAGCTGATACCACTTGTAACCTGAAAATTAAAAGTAAGAATCTTCGAGAGTATTTGAATAAGCAGAAAAAACTAAAACAAAATTCAAAATCCCTCAACATATAATAAAACGATGCTATCCGAACGTATTTTTAATTATATTTTCTCTATTTTTGCCAGTGATGGGTTCATTGGAATGATAAGAAACTTTAACCCTTTTAAAGTACCTTGGATTTATAAAATGAGCGTCAATGTAAGTCTAGAAATTTACACGAATTAGATATCTATTTTAGTTGTCGTTTCAGCAATTCAAACGTAGTTATTTTTTCTTTAATTATTAATATCATCCGATTATGCCCATCACTAATGGTTTTGTGTCAAATCACACAATGATTAAGCATCATCAGGTTCATTTGAAGTGTGGATTGACATTTCAAACAACTAGTGAAAAACAGTAAAAGTAACAGAGATCATATTGAGTAAGAAAACTAATACTGATCTTCACAAACTTCTTAGCATATATTCTTAGAATAAAATAAAAAAATATAAATCTACTAGTTAAGCTAATATTTTTTATAAGGGTTCGCGACTTGATCGGCTTTTCAGGTTTCCAAACCTTTCTTGCCTTATAGCGTGTACTCTCTGAAAAGTAACGAAAACTTTGGTTTGTATTGATGATATTTACGTCATGTAACCCTGTTTTATTCAAAAAAGGCACTAAAACTTATTTAAATATAAATTACAAAATTAAGAGAATATAATTCAGAATTCTCTCTAGAAACTTTAAAAAGAATATTTTAATTTTCAAAGTAACACAAATTGTTTTTTAAGAGTTTTATAAACTGCTATATCACCATATATTGGTGATATAGCAGTTCTTAGAACCATTCAAAACAATTTGTGTTACTTGATCGCTCATCACTATTTAAAAATAATTTACGTATTTCAAGTAAATATTTATTTAGAAATTTTGTAATAGATATTTTAGAGGGGTTTCGGACTCAATCGCCTGTTGTATCTCTTTAAATAGTGCTTAACGAACTTATATTTGTCTAAAGGTATGTCCAGAGTGCACCGGCTTTACGAACCTGCTCAATTGAAGCAGGTAGTAGCCATTAACAACCGCTTGCAAGAAGCTGGAATATCTCATTTCGCAGCATAGAACTATTTCTTGAAAGTCTATTATGTCTTTTATTAGCTAGTGATCGTATTTATATTAAACTGAAACAAGAAATAAATACCCAAGTTTATGAAATTAATAGGTCTCAATTTGATATTACGATATATCCACAACTCATAGCTCACCCTCAAAAAAATTACGAATATTTCCGCATACCGGATGCGTCTCAAAAGTGGCTCACCCCCTATAACTTTTTTATTTTTTCAGATAAAAAAACGACATTTGGTATGTTAGTATATGACATTAATTAAGATTGATTTACGTATTCGATTGTTTTTCGTCACTTCTTGTTTCACCGGGAAGGACTACAACTTTTGATTTTTAAATAGCACCCTCGGTATAATTTTACTTTATTTCATAGAAAATGACATTCCAAATAGAATGACACATCATATGTCAACTTTTGACATTTTCGCATATGGTTTATTTGAAATTGTAACATGCGGTTCATAACGACAATTTGGCCCAAAATACCAAGTGTGTGGTATCAAATTATTTTTAAGCGAAATTGTCAAAAGTTGACATGTGATATGTCATTCTATTGAGAGTGTCATTTTCTATCGAATAAAGTAAAAAATACTGAGGGTGCCATTTAAAAATCGAAAGTTGTAGTAATTTCCGGTGAAACAGGAAGTGACGAAAAACAATCGAATACGTCAATCAATCCTAATAATTAATGTCATATAAAGTGCGTCTGCTGGATCTGTGTCTACGAAAGGAATGCGGACAAAAAACATTTAAATAAACAGCAATATATTTTATACGTCGACTTGTCGAGTACGTCACCGCAAATCGCTCCGCCCACTCATTTTATTGGCTACTTGCAAATTTCTCGAATTTTTATTGATGCGTCCCCAAGTAGCATTTTCACGACTTGCGACCACATGTTTACTAAACACAACGTTGGATTAGTTACAAAAAATAGTTAGCTCCCTACCTTAGGTATTAAAATAAATTTAAACGTTTTTATAACGTTGTGCCGACGTTGGACTTGTACTACAGCAAAGTAGAAGCTTCTGCGACGTCGAATAAACGTTGTCTTGTAACCTTTTTTGCTTAAGTGATCTTTAGGTGATTCGGACAACATAGTTACAACGTTGGACAATATAGAATTTTCCGACGTCAGTTTCAGGACCTATTCCAACGTTATGCAAACGTCGTCAGTTTTACTAATTCCAACGTTGTTTAGATTTCCTTATTCTTACGTTGGTAGGACGTCGAGTCACTACCTTTTTGCAACTGTATTGAACCATAACCTTAAATCTTAAATTTTCAATTCATTGTTCTGTTCAGTCAGACAGTTCAGTGCTGTTTTTGTTTTTATAAAAAAAAAACTTAATTAAAATGGGACATAAGAAAGGTACATATAAAACTAAATTTAAATATACATCGACATATATTACCGACACTTCCTCGTTTATTTAGATTATAGAGGGCGGCACAAGCTAGACTCTAGAATGACTAAATTAGGCAATCTTGCGACTAGTATACTACCTGTTAAGGCCGAACTGCGACTTTATTAGTCCAGTATGCGACTACTCGAACTACTCCATCTTAATCTCCAAAACAACAAAGTTAAAGCCGCCATGTTGTTAAATAAGAAAATGTTTCGTTCTTAAAATAGCAATTCCTGCTTTTTGAATACATTAACTTGAAATATTTGACCCTAAAAAATACGCGGAAACAATTTTTTCGAATGCGAATAAATTATTCTCATTTTACTAAAAAAAAAATTCAAGAAAATTTTTAAAACTTCTTTAATTTCAAGGCCCATTAGTATTTTTTAAAGTAGAAACAATACATTTATCAATAAAGTTGTTTGCGTTTAACTTTTTACCTTGGGTAACGAGTTACAGAGTCGGTTAAAGTGTTTCAATAATTATGATCTTCAAACATCCTCCACACTTAAATACTTTTGTTTTGTTTTCCTTCACTGCCATCTGACATATGTCTCTAACTAAACCATAAAAATAATATTTTTACTATAATTATCCCAATTTGGGATAAAACGCGACTTAGACGCCATATTAGTTTTGTATTTCTGTGAATTAGGATTTTAAACAACGTTGCAGATTGTACTAAATTAGGCTTCTAGCCAACGTCGGTATCCAACGTCGTTTCGACCCAAAAATTATTCTCCAAACTAGTGCAGACTAGGGTTGGCACGAGGTTGTACCGACGTTGCGCCCCGACGTTTGGTCGCGTCACACAACGTTGTCCCGACGTCCAAATGCTGCTTGGGTCGTCTAATTTTTTACGAAAAACATCGAGAGAATATCGTTTCCCCTCTCACGGATACCCCGTAGCTACAGAACGGACAGACGTACTGTACTAACGTACCAAATTTCGTTTTTTTTTTATATATAGATAAAGCGAGAAGCGGGAAGACGGTGCACTATGGACGTACCTTAAGCCTAATGTAGCTCATGACTGTTATTTTACGTGTGGAACTATTTCAGTTAGTGTCTTTAGATTCAGCCTTCTAAGTTAGCTACTAATATAACAGTACTAAAATACAGACGTAGATAATTTTAAATAAAGTAGACTTAGTATGACAAACACTTGCACAGTCTTGTAAATATTTAGCATAATCTAGTATACTTCATTGTAGAATAAAATATATTGTTGTTGCAGTATTAACCAACCAAACCAACGGCAAAAAGAAGACGGAAGACAAGCCTCCAACGATAGTGAGCCATCTCGAGTCGGCTTTCGTGAAAGACGGTGAACCGGTGACGGTGTCCTGCCGCATCATCGGAGCAGACAAATTCGACGTGATCTGGCTGCACAACAACAAAGAGATCAAGCCCAGCAAAGACTTCCAGTACGTGAACGAAGCCAACATCTACAAGCTGGTGATAGCAGAGATCTTCCCCGAAGACTCGGGAGTGTACACCTGCGAGGCCTTCAACGACGCCGGCGAAAGCTTCAGCAGCTGTACGTTGAACGTAGTAGTTCCGGGCGACCAGCCCAAGAGTCCTGTGTTCAAAACATTCCCGATTTCCGCCACGGTTTCGGACAGCGAAACAGCCACCTTCGTAGCGGAAACCGAAGACGAACCTTTACAGATCAGCTGGCTGAAGGACGGCAAACAGATCAAGGAGAGCAGCGCAAAATACAAATTCACCGCAGACGGAAAGAGATACACGCTGCAGATTGTCTCGTGCGACTCGAACGATATCGGTCAATACCAAGCCAAAGCCATCGGCAAAAAGGGCGAAACATTCGCTGCATTCTCGCTCAACGTTGTTCCAACCGGTCAGCTTTGAAGCTTTCTCTCTCTGACTTACTGACGCTACTGATTCGATCCGCGCTTCCTTAAGACGCGCATTAATGAACGACTTGCTCCATTTATTCATTGTGTATATTATTACTGTATAAATAACGTTTATTTATTTGTAAGGATTTTGTATAAAAGCGTTAAGCACCGTGGGAAGATGGTTCTTTGACGAAGAAGCGCTTGTGGCATCTCCAGCATCCTCAACTTTAATACCATCACGATGCCGTTGGCGCTGCTTCGATTGAAGAGTCATTTTTCCCGGAACCGAGCCAAAATTGCACATTTACATGTTTCGAACGTGGAGCAACCATCGCCGATAATTTAGTTTAAATGGTATGAAAAGAGATTTCTTTATTTTAGCGTGAAAGTGCTTGAGCCATTATTTTCATTCAGCCATCATTGTTCAGTATTTAAATTATCACACGAAAACGCATTGTCGCTTGTGCAAAGCCGTACCAAAACTGTATCATATTATTGTAAAGAAATAAATCTATAATTTTTATTTTTCCATCGAGTTTTATTTCATTATAACTCCTATCAGATCTATTTTGGTGTTCTCTGATTTAACTAAAAACAAAAACTAACTCTAATTAGAAGTTGCAAAGGATCGAAACTACTGCAATTCGATGCATTCTGCCCCTCTAGATATAAGACATCTCTACTGAATCGATAATACAATCCGTTCTTTACTATAGAACGGAACAAAAACTACCCCTAAGTAGGGGTTGCTGAGGGTCGAAAGTAGATTCATAGTTCCATTCGATGCCTTCTGCGCCTTGAATTCAACCTATACATACCTACTTTCACCTATACTTATCTTACTATATACTACCTAGACATACCTATCTTCAGAGATCTTAAAAAAATAGTAAAAGTGAAGGTAAAATTTTGAAAATTACAGTATTTGTAGGAAGTTTTATGTAGATTTAAAATATATTAAGCTGGAATTTTTTAAGCGTTTTGATTTTGTTAAAAACTTGATTTTCCAAACCGTTGTTTTAAAATGATTTATGATGATGGCCATTTGTGACATATTTGAGAGATCTTAAAAAAATAGTCAGATTGAAGGTAAAATTTTGAAAATTACAGTATTTGTAGGAAATTTTATGTAGATTTAAAATATATTAAGCTGGAATTTTTTAAGCATTTTGATTTTGTTAAAAACTTGATTTTTAAAACCCTTGTTTTGAAATGATTTATGATGATGGCCATTCCTGATATATTTTCAGAGATCTTAGAAAAAGAGTAAAATTGAAGGTAAAATTTTAAAAATTACAGTATTTGTAGGAAATTTTATGTAGATTTAAAATATATTAAGCTGAAATTTTTTAAGAGCTGTGATTTTGTTAAAAACTTGATTTTTCAAACCCTTGTTTTGAAATGATTTATGATGATGGCCATTCCTGATATATTTTCAGAGATCTTAGAAAAAGAGTAAAATTGAAGGTAAAATTTTAAAAATTACAGTATTTGTAGGAAATTTTATGTAGATTTAAAATATATTAAGCTGAAATTTTTTAAGAGCCTTGATTTTGTTAAAAATCTGATTTTTCAAACCTTTGTTTTGAAATGATTTAAGATGATGGCCATTTCTATATTTTCAGAGATCTTAGAAAAATAGTAAAAGTGAAGGTAAAATTTTGAAAATAACAGTATTTGTAGAAAATTTTATATAGATTTAAAATATATTAAGTTGAAAATTTTTAAGAGCTGCGAGTTTGTTAAAAACTTGATTTTTCAAACCCTTGTTTTGAAATGATTTATGGCCATTCCTGATATATTTTCAGAGATCTTAGAAAAAGAGTAAAAGCGAAGGTAAAATTTTAAAAATTACAGTATTTGTAGGAAATTTTATGTAGATTTAAAATATATTAAGCTGAAATTTTTTAAGAGCCTTGATTTTGTTAAAAATCTGATTTTTCAAACCCTTGTTTTGAAATGATTTATGATCTTAAAATCTTAATACCTGAAATTTTATTAAGATCAGCGGCTTGACCAAAATAACTTTCTGTCTATTATAATTTTTCAATGTACTTATATAGACAAAAAACAGATAAACAAACAGTAGAAAAAATCACATACCTATGTCACCTATCAAGTACTTAATAAAAATATCAATAACAGTTTATATGGTAGAAGGAAAAAAGAATGGGGCTTAGAAGGAGTACTATAAAAGACATTAGTCATATTTTTTATTGTTTTATTACATATTCCAGTAAAAACATATAAATTAAAGCATGCCAAATGTGATTAATTAAATTTAAACCACTTCTTACCAATTGAAGACATCACATGTATCAAAAATATTTTTATCCTTCTAATACTTCGCCTTGTATTTTTTAAATACATAAAACTTACAATAAAATAGAACAAACAACAAGAAACAAAAACATAATTTTATTGTTGATTTTTTTTTCAATAACATATATCTAACTTATCTAAAAAAAAAGTCTAACTCATAAAAACAATACTCAATTAACTTTTTTATCTGTTTTTTTGGAAGCATATTCAAACTCCAAGTCTTCGTTTAATTTTTTTGCTAAGAAGTAGAGCTCAGCTATTGCAACAATGAGACCGCATATTATGCCCAGCAGAAGTCTAAATCCAAAGTCTAAGCTGCCTGTCAGCAATTCTATTCCAACAAAACCAAAGGCAAATGCAGCAGCAACTGATATAATAAACTGAAATATAGCTATGAGATGCTGGTTCATCATACGTACTAAAAAGAAGCATGTTATTATTTATATCTCTCATTAAAAAATAATAAGCTTACACTGATATCCAATAGTATCTTCAGGTAATGTTCTCCTGTTATTGTCCACATTTCGTATCATATTTTTATATTCTTGATTTTGTTGTTCTTCTTTAAGTTTCTGACATCGTTTCTCTAGCTCTTCATTCCTTGGAATTTCTACATTTTTAGGAAGCAGTATTTCAGAGCTTTCGATCAATTCATGAAGGTATACTTTCTCCTCATTACTCCTATTTTGGGCCGCTATATATTTATAGAGCCAGTGGAGATCCTCCAGGCTCAATTTAGAATTTGTATCAATAACATCAGATTGTACTTTTAACTCAGGTTGACTACTTTTAACTGAATCTAACACTCTATTTTCAGTTAGAGCCTTTATAAATCTCTTATCTTCTTCAGTTACAAGATACTCAATTTTAAAATGTTTTTGTGTTGGTTTCTGATTAGTTTTATTTTTGAAAACAACATTTTTAATACCAGCAGGCATATCACCTCCCACTCTGATATTAGATATATAATTTCTCAGTTTGTTTGAAGGTATCACAAAAATTTGTGGATTTCCAATTTGACCTACATTGGAACTCATTTTGTGAACTTCAATTCAACTTTCTCTCTAAATTTCCATAAAATATCTTCAGCTCTTCCTGCTTTTCTGCTATGTCTCTATTAATGTCGTAATATTTTGGAAGAATTTCATCCATAAATTTTGTCCTGGCTTCTTTCCACTTCTCAAAATTCTTATCCGATTCCTAAAATAATTATCTGACTATATATATTATAACTTTGAAACATATATCAAAAGCAAACCTTGCTAATTTTCTCCTGTAACGTAGAAAATTGGTCACACAACTGTAATGCTTCACTTAATTGTCGGTTCGATTCAATAAGACTCTCATTTATCGTTTCTTTTAGTTGATCAATGTGAGTATCCTTAATATCCGTTATGTTTTCGATAGTATTAAACAAATTATCAACTTCTGCGTCCCCTCTTTTCTCCTAAAAACAGGAATTTTGAACACTTTTTGAAGTTGTTTGTGTAACCTACAAAAATTATACCTCGAATTCTTTCAACAGAAAATTGATCTCGCCTGATAAAAAGCCGTTGTGGTCGAAGAGCCTGCTCCCAATATTACTAATATCTAAAATAATCATTAATTGGTTAATTGTTTAAATAAGAAATATCTAAAAAAACCGCACCCTTCAAAACATCTGACATTGCTTTAAAAAAATTCTAACCTAAAATATTTATTTCATTTGACATCTCCACCACAGAAGATCTTGGAATATACAGAGCTGATCAAAAAAATAAATATACCATACATACCTGTCCAGTACTTTTATCACAGAACAGATACAAATTTGTATCTGTTCCTGTGCTTTTATAATGAATTAAAAAATAAGATATAACATGAATTCGAAACATATGATAACTTAATTACACTTCTTACAAATCTTATTTGTTGATTTGTAGAATCATTTAATTTACAACAAGCAATACAAAATATATTTCTAACAAACTATTAATAATAAATTAATGTAACAAAAAAAATTAAATAAAAAATAAACTGGAATTCGACGTATTCAATTATAAGAATAAAATGAAAGGAAAGAAGGCTATCACCTTGAACTTTTTGGTAACCTACGGTAGACTAAGATGAATAGCAAATTATTTATTGAATTTATAAAAAGATTTCTTGGCAAACATTGTCATTAAGAGCGCATCGATCCTTCGTTTTAGTTGTTTTACAAGTAGCCGATTAAAAATGTTTATAAAACTACTGATTTTCAGTGTACTCTGTGTTCTTCTTGAGAGTGCACCACTGAAGGTTCCAGAGCTATTATCTGACGAGGAAGAATTTGAAAAATTTAAGGTATATATTTAAAATATAATACAAGTTTTACAAAATCAATGATCAAATGTATGATATTATTTATATATTTTTTTAGCTGGTACATAGCAAAGAATATCAGTCACCTGAAGAAGAGGCATTTCGATTTCAGATATTCCAAGACAATTTGAAATTCATCAGAAACCATAATAAGAAGTACGAAAAAGGAGAAGTCAGTTTTGTCCTGGGAATAAACAAATATGCGGATTTAACTCACGAGGAATTCAAAAAACAGTTTTCTGGAGGTTTCAAAAGGCCAAGACATTAAGTTTTGTTAATATTAACGTTAAACATTTTATTACCGCTGATTTTATAGTAAAGAACTAATTAAATGAATGTCTAAAATTAAATAAACTTGTTAAAATTGCTGGCTTTAGAAAGTTATTTAAGAAAAAACAAAATTGATGTATGTTTGGTTGCATAATGAGGAGCCTTGGGTAAACAAAAATAATTACATATATTAAAATTAAAGAATTCCCGTAAAACGAATAAGTTAATCAATAAAATGCATTGAATATTATTTACATCTTGCAAGGTTACGTCCTACGACGTAATCATTAAATCCTTTACTATTATTACTGATGAAAGATTATATAGTAAATTGGCATTTTTTATGCAGTTTTTCCTTTAGAATAGGAATATTAATTATAATAATTACACAGTAACATCATGCTTACAATATCTTGCTTTGTATTTAATATTAAAAACGAATAATTTGTTTAAAATATATTAATAGTAATGGACTTTAGGGGAGGTAGGGTAAAAGTGGCGCAATAAATAAAATCTCAATATACTAATAATAATACATTTTAATAACAAGATAATGATTGGCTTACAAGGGTAAGTTAATTAATAGAAACCATAATAATCGTTCTCATATACATATATATTGACAATATGTACAACAACAAGTAAAAATGATATATTTGGAATAGAGTAATAAACGATATTATCCATTCTAGATATATGAGAGTCTGTTTTTTTCAGATGACGTTAGTTCTGGGTGCCAAACGTCTATAATCAACACAAGTCTTAAATCTGTCCCATTATGCCACACTTCGTGTTCAAAACTGTCGTCGAAAATTATTACATCTCCTTCTTTCCATGATCTAAAACAGTTAAAAACATAGTAGCACCTAAAATAACTCTTATTTGAATTTAAAAAAAAAATAGAAATATAACAATACATAATTTTACTTATCTATCTCATTTTTTGAACCAAAAAATATTTTTAAAATCTATCTTGCTGTAAAGACTTTGATAACTCTACACCACAGCACAATCATGCAATAATAACAGACACTGACACATATATTATAGTTAATTGGAAAACAGAATAAAATTAGCCAAAATTATTTATTAGTGATTACTATACTTTATTTGTTCAGCAACCCTAATGAAAGTATTTGGTTAAAATCTATCTTGCTGTAAAGACTCTGATAATTCTACGGCACAATCATGCAATAATAACAGACACTGGTAAAGACTCTGATAATTCTACGGCACAATCATGCAATAATAACAGACACTGACGCATATTATAGTTAATTGGAAAACAGAATAAAATTAGCCAAAATTATTTATTAGTGAATACTATACTTTATTTGTTCAGCAACCCTAATGAAAGTATTTGGTGGAAAGTATTTGGTTAAAATCTATCTAGCTGTAAAGACTCTGATAATTCTACACCACAGCACAATCATGCAATAATAACAAACACTGACATATATATTATAGTTAATTGGAAAACAGAATAAAATTAGCCAAAATTATTTATTAGTGATTACTATACTTTATTTGTTCAGCAACCCTAATGAAAGTATTTGGTGGAAAGTATTTGGTTAAAATCTATCTTGCTGTAAAGACTCTGATAATTCTACACCGGCACAATCATGCAATAATAACAGACACTGACACATATATTATAGTTAATTGGAAAACAGAATAAAATTAGCCAAAATTATTTATTAGTGATTACTATACTTTATTTGTTCAGCAACCCTAATGAAAGTATTTGGTGGAAAGTATTTGGTTAAAATCTATCTTGCTGTAAAGACTCTGATAATTCTACACCACGGCACAATCATGCAATAATAACAAACACTGACACATATATTAGTTAATTGGAAAACAGAATAAAATTAGCCAAAATTATTTATTTGTGATTACTATACTTTATTTGTTCAGCAACCCTAATGAAAGTATTTGGTGGAAAGTATTTGGTTAAAATCTATCTTGCTGTAAAGACTCTGATAATTCTACACCACGGCACAATCATGCAATAATAACAAACACTGACACATATATTATAGTTAATTGGAAAACAGAATAAAATTAGCCAAAATTATTTATTAGTGATTACTATACTTTATTTGTTCAGCAACCCTAATGAAAGTATTTGGTTAAAATCTATCTTGCTGTAAAGACTCTGATAATTCTACGGCACAATCATGCAATAATAACAGACACTGACGCATATTATAGTTAATTGGAAAACAGAATAAAATTAGCCAAAATTATTTATTAGTGAATACTATACTTTATTTGTTCAGCAACCCTAATGAAAGTATTTGGTGGAAAGTATTTGGTTAAAATCTATCTAGCTGTAAAGACTCTGATAATTCTACACCACGGCACAATCATGCAATAATAACAAACACTGACACATATATTATAGTTAATTGGAAAACAGAATAAAATTAGCCAAAATTATTTATTAGTGATTACTATACTTTATTTGTTCAGCAACCCTAATGAAAGTATTTGGTTAAAATCTATCTTGCTGTAAAGACTCTGATAATTCTACGGCACAATCATGCAATAATAACAGACACTGACGCATATTATAGTTAATTGGAAAACAGAATAAAATTAGCCAAAATTATTTATTACTATACCTTATTTGTTCAGCAACCCTAATGAAAGTATTTGGTGGAACTTTTAATCCTAAATGAATCCTAAGTCTACAATTGGTTGGTCCACAATGTGGCCAAACGTGGGTGTTTGGATGCATGACACTAAATTTGGTCTGGCCCCGTTTGCAGTTGCTTGCATCTGGAAAGCTCTGGATAATTCCGCAAGTAACAGGACTTTTTTCACAATTTTTCTTGTGTTTTCTGCTCCTGGCAAAAAGTTCAAACTGTTTCCAAGTCCCGGTGTCTTTAAGATTCTCAGCCTCGTCCTCAAAATACCCTTGGCTGTTCAAAGCAGACAGTCCTTCCTCTCTGATTTTTTTCCAGTTGTCTTTTAACATGGAAAACAGGTTTTTGTATGAAGGTAGGTCCTCCAGGCTCCACCATGGTTTTGCGGTAAGCCTTGGGACGTTGTACAGGGATCTTTGGTATTTTGACATAAACACTTTTTCTTTTACGCCTTCTTCATATACCTTTAAAAAAATATTAATATATTCCATAAACAAATGTACAGGGCGTTTCAAAAAACATGTGCCATCTCTCGTAGGGAGATTCCTCACGTAAAAATAAGATTTATTTTTAGGTAGGAGTTCCTATGAGTGCTACATATTTTAAGGCTAAAAAAGTGTCGACAGATTAACCAGGGACGTGCATATGGGTTATCACTGGAATATTTTTCTAAAAAAAATATGTGCGCCACTGACTTTTTTTCCTCTTATTCGCAAAAGTGTGATCTCCACGATGAGATAACTGCAATTTTATTATAATAAAAAAATTATTATTAATAAATTATTTATTTAATCTAATTTAGTATTAAATTTATTACACTGATATTCAGTGCTACCTACAGCAAATTCATAAAAAGATAATGGTATTTAAGATAAATACAAAAGTTCTATTTTTTATATGTATGCACTCATGTTAAAAAGAACTTTTTTTATAATTTTTGATGAGTAATCAATGAGTACTTATTTAACATTTTGACAAGTTAATGACATTAAAAATTTTTAAAGGTTACTATTAAAAATTTATTGGATTAAGATATAAATTAATTAAATTGAGTTTATCTCATCAAGGAGCCCGAAATCGACAAAATACCAAGAGACAACTTTTAATTAGCATTTAACGGTCTACACAAACAAAAGAAAAAAAGTCAGTGGCGCACATATTTTTTTTTAGAAAAATATTCCATATGCACGTCCCTGGTGATTATGTCGACATTTTTTTAGCATTAAAATATGTCGAACTCATAGTAATTTTTACCCTCCAAATTTCGTTGGAATCGCTAAAATACTTGGAAGAAAACTATAATAAGTCGAAAAAATAACTCCCTGTAGCTACGACACAAAGTCGAATCGGACCTATAATAATATGAAAAATAAATCTTATTTTTCCTAGAGAAATCTTCCCACGAGAGATGTCACGTGGTTTATGAAACACTCAGTATAAGGATTTATTTACTTTCATGGCCTCATCAGGCTTGTTAAGTCTAGAAAGGGCGTCACCAAGATGGAAGTAGAATCGTCCATCAACTACACCTTGGGCTTTAGTCTTCAAACCTCTGGACATATAGTCAATTGATTCTTGTAACAAGTTATCGGTCGTCTTTAAAATAAACCCGTAGTGGACTAGAGCAAACCCATCATTCGGCCATTTTCCTAGAACTCTTTTCAACACAGTTCTTGCTTCATCAACCGAATTGACCGTTAAATATGTCACAGCTAAATTATTCAAATATGTAGCGTTATCAGGAAACCTTTCAATCAATTTCCAATGAACATTAACAGCCTTACTATACTGTCCTAAAAAATCGTAAGGAAATATTGTTTCAATGTTCACTTTTAGCTTCAACTTACCTAGAAATCTAGCTCTATCTATGTACCTTTCGGCTGCGATTACAAACAACTGATCAGGAATATCACTGACTTTAAGAGCTCTCGAATAATAGTGTAAAGCTTGCTGTAGCAGGTCATTCCTTTGCTGTTGCTCAGCCATTATATCCAAAGCTTGGGCTTTTCCAAACAATGAACGCGGAGAATTAGGGTATTTTTGCAGGAGGGCTTCAAACAGTTTATTAGCATAAGCAACATTCTATTTAAATAAGAAAAAAAAAATCAGTGTTAGTAAAAAACACTCAATTTTTATTAATAGAGGTGCGGAATATTAATAAAAATTGATTGACGAGAAAAAGCCGCAAAAATATTGTACCAAAATATTTTCAGATGCGTTACAGTCACAGTAAATTAACATTCCATTCAAACAAAAAAAGTAACAAACAAATTAGCAATGCGGTCTATAAATTAAAACAAAACAACAAAAAGGGTTTTTTAAATCTCCTAAAAAAAGAAATAAACGCGAAATATTAAAATAAAATTTAATATAAATAAAGAGGGAATATACCTTCTTTAGATGCTCCTGTGCTGCATCTAAATCGCTCTTTATTTCATAATCTCGTACATTTGTAATGTCGGAATGTTCATATTCGCCTTCCGACTCAGATTCATCGCCAACATTCACATCTAAAAACATGCTTTTAAAAGAATTTGGACATACAAAACACAAAGCATTAGGGAGTGTCAAAAAAATCGACTTTTTTTTCATTTTATACTCTGACAAAAAGGTTGGTAGACACCTCAAAAAAATTCCCTTCAAGTATGAGCTCTTAATTTTAATAGGAAGTTCCTCCGCCTTTCAGTTTTCTGTTTTTTTCATTATTTAAAAAAAAATTCGTATCTCGGTGTCTACTATTTGAAAAAAATATCTCGTCTCATATATTTGTAGGAAATTGGATTCTCTACAAAAAAGGTCTCTTACTATTTTTTTGTAAACCTCACCATTCGAAAGTTACTAAAGGTTGAAATTTGATTATTCTAAGGCAGATTTTTTTTTTCTTGTGAACTCGTTAACAAAAAATCATTTTGATATGCGCAATTCGTGCTTTTGTAGGAAATTCACTGTTCTACAAAAATGGTTTCTTATGATTAGTCGAATACATTAACCGTTTAAAAGATATTCATCGTCAAACTCTAATGCACAATAATTTTAACAGTTTTTGATTAATAATTCAAACAATTCCAATTTATTTTATGAATTTCTGGAAATTTTTTACAAATTTAAGTTTCTGTCTTGAAAGTAACTACTATCGAAGTTCTCTGTTCGAAAATTTATTATTTTTATAATATTGTTACGGATTCCGTGGGTCCACTAATTTAAACTCACGATAAAATACTTAATTGGAAATATATGGAAATATTGGAAATATATGAAATATTTTATAAGAAAAACTGAAATATTTATTTATAAAAATCATAACAAAACATCGCAGAACACAAAATGCTTATACATAAACACAAATAAAGAGTTATTCTTCAAATTAAAAAAATAAATTAAGGTTAAATTTGTAGAAAAAAAAATATTTTTGACACACTAGTCGAGCAAGAGGCATATCTTCATCGCTGTCATTAGCATCAGGCATGTCTTTATCTCTGTCATCAGCATCACACTCAATAACATCTTCTTGCCAGTCTACTTCGTCAAAATCTTTAATAGTATCGGAAATAAAAATTGATCAATTGCCGTTTCCTATTTTTTTCAGCAATTTATGGAAGAAGGTTAAAAATTTTTAAAAATCGTCGTAAAATAATCAAATTTCAACCTTTAAAAACTGTCGAACGGTGAGGTTTCCGAAAAAATTGTAAGAGACTTTTTTTGTAGAGAATTCAATTTCCTACAAATATATGAGACGAGATATTTTTTCCAAATAGTAGATACCGATATATGAATTTTTCTTTCTAATAGCACAGAATATCTAGCTACGCAACAGAAGCCTCGTTACATGTATAAAATCGTAGGTCTCAAAAGGAGACAGGCTTTTAAAGCCTGTCTCCAAATCAGATATTTTGATGCGGTAGTTTCGCTACTACATAATAGAGGGCGATAAATTTAAAAGAAAACAGTTTTCTACAAACAAAATTTAAAAGAAAAAAGGCGTAATGGAAGGTCAAAAAATACGAAGTTTTATAAAAAAGGACTTTACAGGTATATTTTTTATTTACGAAGAGTTTATAGTCTTATGGACCAAAAACGTTATCAAATTACTGTCGAACAATCATTTATCTCCCGCTAATATATTAAAACCAATCAACATTCCTAAATATTCAAATAATAAGGGATAAATTAGATAAGACTGCAAAACTCAAAGAGAACGACACAAGTGGCAAATATCATTTAACAGTATTAAATAATATGATAATATGCGAAAAAAACGTATTCAACTTCAACAAAGGAAACCATAATACACACCTCACAAAAAATTTCGCAACACTTATATTTTTCGTAGATTTATTCTTGAAACACTTCAAACATTTTTATGTGAAAAACTTAAATCTAAGGTCTGCCTGAGTTATGGTATACTTTCCATTCCTTAACAAGTTGCTATTAATGCAAATAACTTTTCAGATTATTGTTAACCAAGAGAATTTAAGAATACTTTGCAGTTTTCCAAATTAATAAGTGATGCGATAATTTATGTGGGGTGTATATTATTTCAAAATAACATAATATGTAAGGCACTTACATAAAACATGCTTAAAAATAATTCTCAATTTCTTCTCCATCCATATACAGGAGCTCTTTCGCTTCCGGAAACAAGTCTACTTTTTTATTTTTAGAGTGCTTTGGTCGCAGATGTGAAAGTAGAAGATCTGAATATATCAATAAGTTGTGCAAAAGATCTTCAATAGTTTGGCTCCAACAATGATGCAGCATTGAGGGTGGAGTGTTAAATACATCGAAGAAAATTTTGCCGGTTTGAAAAAATATTCTCTTGAGTAATTTTTCTCCAATGTTGAGATTTTCTGAATTGTTGTAAACTGTCCCCCACCCCAATGTGAGGATGGTTCCTCGCCCTAAAAATAGCATTCAGTATGTTCATAGCAAGCGTATAGCTTTTCAATAAAGAAATTATAGCACAAAAACTTTACGGATAAAACTACGGTCGAATCAATGGAAAACGTAATTATGCCGTGAAAGAAATTTTTTTTTCTCCAGGTTCGGATCTAGGTGGATGAAATTTCTTGTAAAATGAGTATACTAGAAGGTTCACTCCTATGATATTTTGTATATAACCTTGCGCTGAACAAGCGTTTTTTGAAAGTCATAATAAACATGTAGAAACTAGACTTGAAAAAAAAATTGGAACATTTTTTCAGGGTTTGTTGTTAGTAAAAAGACCTCTCTTTACGGAACAAATTGTTGGAATTGAACAACACAAGGGAAACTTCTGAAAATAATAAATTTCATTATATGAAATTTTGTACAAAATTTGGTAAATTAAGGAAACCATAATTTTAACTCGCCATAACTCCCCGACTAAGAGAGGTCAACTCAAGAAATAGCTCACATGATGGGGCTCTGGGATGTCCTTTATCCATCTATATAAAAAACTTGATGAATTATTTTTTTTGTTTTTGGGCTAATGTCCTGCATTTCCGGATTTCGTTACACTGTGCAGCGCCCAATTTTTTGAATGAATATGACTATAAACGCTAAAACTGCGTTCCGTCAATGAATCCTCAAACTCGATATATTCACCATATTATATGTTTGTAAAAACTGTTCTATAGTAAGTTTAATGTTTATAGGGTTACAAAATATAGAAAGATATATTATTAAACATCGGGTTTGAATCGTTAATGACGAATACTTAAGATTTAAGTATTTTTAAAATATTTCCAATATTCCCAATATTTCCGAGACACGTTTGGAAATTTCCAATATTTCCATTTCCATGGAAATATTTCCAACGGAAATATTTGCATTTATAACACTAATCACGACAGAAACTCAAAATTTGTAAAATTTCCCCGAAACTTTTTTTTCGAAACTGAATGTTTATGCTTGAACTAATTTATTATTAATTGTACCTGTGTCCTTTTTAAAATCTACCTAGGTCTATATAAATAACGTGGCAAACAAAAAAAAATTGTTATTATAGTATTTTTATTAGTCAATTGACATTTTTTGTACTGCATTTTAATAAATCATTTCCATTATTATTAAACGTATATTTCATTACTAACGTTTCAGCATTAATAAATATCACTATCAATCGCCCTGTGTATTATTAATTTTAAAGGTAGTTAAAGTTATTTTCTTAGTTAATATAATAAAGTTGTGTATATTAAAAATGTATTTTGAGAGCATATTATTTTTTCTAATAATATACTTAAAATTAAAACTATTTTAAAAGCCAAACGAATAATTAATATAAGTGGATCTGACAAGAAACGAAGACTAGAAAGAAATTATTATACACCAGAAAAAGAATGGGATGCCAATTAAAGTCTTTTTGAATCGGCAACTGTGCATATTTAACCGAGCTTCAATGCCGTCGACGTCCCGTCGATTTACATCGATCCACAACCGAAAGTTGAAAATTTCCAATTATATTCTGATTATGATATTGTCGCGCCATCTAGTATTTTATTTGTGCAATTTTAGCTCTTTCATTTCGAGTATTTTTCTGTTGCGTAGCTAGCTATATTCTAGCTATTCTAGCTAGCTTTCTAGCTATATTCTGTGCTAATAGTAAGGTAAAAATAGAAAACTGAAAGGCGGAAGACCTTCCTATTAAATTTAAGAGCTAATACTTGGAGAGAATATTTTTGAGGTGTGTTTTTCAAGAGTATAAAGTAGCGATGGGAACTATCGAATGAATTAGACTATCGAATGGTTAATGAATGAATGATTTCAACTATCGAATGGTTTTATTCGAATAAAATCATTCATTCATTTGTATACTAAAGCATATGTGACAACCTCGCCGTGCGACTAAATGGTTATCGTTGAGCCACGACTATCGAATGTTTTTGATAAATGAAATTTAGTATTCGTTTGATTTTTGTGTGCGTCAGTGCATTATTAGTTCTTCCAAATTTTTATAACTTCGCCTTATAAATACTGTGCTATTTTTGCGTTTATTAAAATATTTAAAATACTAAAATAGTAGTTTTTTTAATTGACGATTGTGTGCGTGTGCAGGTGGTCAAAATTTTTCCGAAAGTTTGTGTGATTTTCCGTAGCCCGATCTTTCAATTATTTAATTTTATATGGTATATGGTCTATTTTTTAATGGGAAATTTTGAGAAGTAGCAATTTTTAAGAGAGATGAGATGAACTTACAATTAATTTTAAAAATACATATTTGTATTTTAGATGTTTTAATAATATGAATTAGTTGAACTTAATAATTATATTAATTAATGTGGTTAAGTAAATGGTTATCGAACTCAGACTATGGGGTGAGAAAATTAAATTAAAAGTTTTACACGTGCCAATTTAAAAAAAAGTTAACGATGTTTGTATTTTGTTTATGCTAATTCTCTTACATGTAGTTTTTTGCGAAGAAATATTTCATTTATTTTTTAGTAAGTAAATACCAGTAAAAGTAAATATTATTATTATTAAATAGTAATATAAAGTACCGAATATAAATAATTTTGATTTCTAATTTTTATTTATATTTTCCTTGCATTACACTGCACGCTTAGAAAATTAATAAATGTTTATATTTCATGATTTTAAAATTTGTTGTTAATATAACAAATTAGTTCTGTAATTATTATTATTTAATAAACCAACGTTGCCACAAAAATTTAGAGACTATATTATTTTTAAATGGGATCTAATATAAATAATTTTGACATCTAATTTGTTGTTTATATTTTGCTACTACTTAAAAGAAAATATTTATATTAAATGATTTTAAATTTTGTTGTTAATAGGTATAACAAATTATTACTGTTATTATTATTTATTAAACCAGTTTTTGCTAAAAAACATTAAAAATAATTTTCCTACATCCAAAATAACTAGTATTATTGCAGTGTAACAACAGAATATTAATAAAAAAAAATGCAGAATATATAGACATACTATCCCTAATTAACTAAAGCCAAACAATAATATTCTTTGCTAATATCAACTAATACCAAAATATGGCAACAGCGCCTTTCATAATGTATTTTCTGTATAAATACTCGCACCTCAATAAAAAAATAATGTGTCCTTATCTATATCTGACTCCGCAAAAAATCAAAGATGCCGGCTTCTTTCATAGCATTGCCACAGCATTGCCATCGACCGCTGTCGGGTTTCTCGGAAAGAAACCTACGTCGCCAGGCGAGAACTAAAATTCAGTTAATATTTTATTATAATCGATCCTGACGAATGAATGAATTTCATAAATGAATGAATTTTATAAATGAATGGTTTTTGCTGCCGAATTACTAGAATACAATATTTCAAGGCAGATGACGGATCTATTCGATAATTTTTATTCGAATAGTTTTCAACGAATGTTTTCTTACTAGCTATCGAATTATTCGAATGAATTGCAACTATCGAATGTTTCGATAGTATTCATTCGATAGTTCCCACTACTAGTATAAAGTTAAAAAAAATAGTCGATTTTTTTGACCCACCGTACTAAGCAGAAAATTAACTTTGTAATTTATAACTAACTAAAGCAGTCTAAACGTCTAAACTATCACAAAAGCTAACAATGCTTCCGCTCGAATAATTTTACCTCTTCCTAATTTTCCGTATTTAGCCTCAAGCCGTTTCAGCAATTCCTCGTCCTCATCATCATAGTCTTCTTCGGACTCAATCTCCTCATTATTTATATCTTCCTCCAAGTCTTCTTCCTCCAACAAATCTTCTTCGTCCTTCAGGACGTCGTTTTCGAACTTTTTCAACTTCGCGTCAAACTCTCCCTCCGGTGTCATCGAGCTGGTGTACGTTTCTCTAAGATCCTCGTATTCTTCTCTAGCTGATCTGTGCTCACTATGACTATCTTCATCGCTATAATCGTCTTCTTGTTCCGAATAGGCTAGTTCATTTAGCACGTTAAAATTAAGTATCCGAAAACGCTCAAACAAATTTTATGTACCTTCTTCCTCGTACTCTAAGTCGGGCAAATCTGCCTCGACTTCTTGAAGAGTCGGTGGTGGTATTATTGTGTTTCTCCGCGATATGTTAGGGGTGGGTTCGTTGTCTTGGCTTGGTTTTATCTCTAGAGGATCTTAATTAAATAAAAAAAAACACGATGTGATGAAATGTCTGGCCTTGATAAAACTGTATTAGACCAGAAGCTAAAAAATACATCTTCATTTTTTTCTTTAAAACTTTCAGCTATAAAAGCGTCCTGATTATGTGAACTATAAAAGCACTAATAAATACAAAAGTGTGGAGTAACATCGAGAATACAGTTACAATAGCAGACGTATATATATTATTATATATAAGAAAAAACGCTTGTAGTCCAGGAGGCAATGAAGATTTTCGGTACTTATTTTCCCAGTCAGCAAACACCGATAGCTTTATTCGGTACGACATTCTACGCAAATTTCAGATATACAGGGTGAGTCTTGAATAAGTGCAAATATTTTCAGGGCTGGTAGCTCTCGATAAAAGAAACATATTTTCTCTTTACCGTTTTTCAAATAAGTCCAAAATAACAGAGTTATTTTCCTTTGAAAATTTCCAAAAAAAAGGTTTTTGCTTAAATTTTGAGAACCACTGAATCTTTTTTGAATTTTCATTCTTGTAAATTTAATCTACTACCTATATTGCAACGTGCACAAGATATTATGTTTTTTAACTAAAAACTTAACAAACTTTCAAAAAATTCGAAATTCAAAAAATTTTTTTCGCGGAAAAAAATCATAATCGTGTTTCTGAGGTTGAAATATACTAGCCCTAAAAATATTTGCATTTGGTTGAGGCGGAAAATGTGTTAGGCAGTACAAATATATTCAATTCAGCAACTGGGAAAACAAGTACAAAAAAAAATTCACTGCCTCCTGGACTATCATAGGTATCAGGAAATGCACTGTTAGTGGCTAGTTAAATTCTTAGATTAAATATAGAAAAGATACAGCTTAATATATCCTCAAGATACACATGAGAAACCAATCCTAACTTGAATAGTGCATAGTTATTGTAGTGGTGTGCTGTATCTTTTAGTATACTTATTCTAAGGTTAAAGCAGAGCAAAACCATTAATTGGTGTTATATTATATGGGCCATGCGTTTACTGACCGGGTCGTCTTTTTCTAAGGAAGACGTTGTATGCTACAGTCAGGAGAGCTACTCCTACGCCAATTTTTGTAGCCACTGTAAAAACATAGTTGTTTATTAATACTGCATTTCCTGACTTGAACTACTTAATTATATTTTTTTACGTTTAGACTGCCTTAAATATATACCGCAATTTCGTAAAAAAAAACTAAAAAAAACACTTACGGCCAGAGCTCTCTTTGGGCTTGACATCTTCGACTTTTTCAATTACTGGCACTTCTTCTTGTTCTACTTCTATCTAAAAAAAAGCATAGAATTTAGCAGGAAATTTATTTAAAAAAACAAACGTCGCACTTTTTCTGTACTTGAATCAGGTTCTTCATCCGCTGCAGCGGTCTCTTCATTAACTTCTTCTTCTTCAGCGTCAGCTTGATCATTATCCTCTGTACTTTCATCTGGGGCATTTTTAGATTCATCCTCTTCTTCCTCTACACTGTTGGACTTTTCTTCTGATTCATTTTCCTCCTCAACAGTATTATCATCATCTTCTTCAACTTCGCTTTGAGGTTCTTCTTCGGTTTCTTCAGTCCGTTCTTCGGATTGAGGAACTGATTCATCTTCGTACTCCTGAGACTGTTCTTCCTCCGAAACTTCTGCTGGGTGTTCTTCGGATTCGTTGTGGTCATCTTCATCATCGTCATCGTGTTCGTGTGATAGTTGATGGGAATCTTGATGGTCTTCGTCGTGTTCACCAGAATTTTTCTCGACCCATCCTTCGAATATTTGAGAGAAACGAGATTCTACTGGAACGTGTTCGACTGGAAATGTGTTAAATAAGATAACTAAGGCCACGGCCACACAGAAAGCGTTTTTTGCGTGTGAAACGCTTTTGCGATTTTACCGTTTGAAGCTTTTATCTCGATATGTGTCCATTAAAATTAGGCAAAAGAGGCGGCAGGTCTCCAGTTTCTATCAAGCTGTCAATTAGTAATGAAAAAGCTCTTGAAATTTCCGGCCAGTTCAACAATCAATCCTTTGAGAAAGAGACAGGCGAGATCGGGGCGGTTAGCGTTAAAAAGACGAAGATGAAAGATATGCTTGGATCGAACGTTGAACGGGTTGGACATTCGACGACGAAGGCAATCTACTGCTAGTGCCAGTGGCGTGTGTAAAAATAATTAATATTGTTTGCCATTTGTTTTAGCAATTTTAATTAGGTAAGGGGTTATGGGAGGGGGATAAAAATTTTAAAAAATCGTAACTCCAAAATTACAGTAGCTAGCGAAACGCGGTTTTCAATTTAAGATTAGGAATAATATTTGCAACAAAACTTTTAATAACATCAAAATCAGTCAAAGTTGCAGTTTTTGAGATAAAAAAAAATGGAAAAATTCCTTTACTTTGAAACTAAAAGAACTGCCTACCAACTTTTTATTAACATACTAGTTGAAGCCTGGCGCATCCTACAGTTTTTAGAAGAGCAAATCTTTTAGTAAAAAAGCAACTTTCTAAAGCAAGTCGTTACTTCAGTAGAGACGACACAGATAAACATTAGCATTTTATATATGTTGATTTTAGTATGGGCGGCTATATGTGCCTCCCGGTTTTTTTTTTCAAAAAATTCCAAATTTTCCAAAAAAAATTTTCCAAAAAAAATTTTCGCGAAAAAAGCCTCATAATCGTGTTTCTGGGATCAAAATGTACTACCTGAGGTTAAAATTATTTCCACTTATTTAACACTAACCCTGTATAATCCTGTTATTTTGTTTTAGTGGCAAAAGACGCTTCACGCAAATATCGCTTTCTGTGTGGCCGTGTGCTAAAGGTTTTTTTTGGAACTTGAAGTATACTTACGTTCGTTTAGGCCTTGATTTTCTTTGACTATCAGCCCTATTAAGACAATTAGAGCGGAAAAAAGTAAGACGAAGACGATTTTGGCGCAGATATTCCCTCCGGTACTTCCTTCCTTATAAACGTGTATATTGAGGTCTTCGTTCGAAGCCCCGAGACTCAAATCCTCGTCTAGAAAAAACGAAATCGGCATAAGTAACAATGAAAATGTGCGCCGGGGGCTTAAAAATAACTCGCAGCCGAAAATACTAAAAATAAATCGTGGAATATTAATCGGACGGGACTCACCTTTGCGTTTCTTTTTGTCTTTGCGTTTTCGCACCTCCCCCGACATTTTGGGAAAGATTTTTAAAAGTGCCACACCACCATCAAAACAAAGCCAATTTTGATTTTCGCCCCGGATCACCGCTCGTTACTTAATAATGGCGGCTCGACGAGCACTGCCGACTTTCCACGAAGCTCATTTGTTTCAGTAGCTTAGTTCTACAGGGTGTTCGGAAAATACTAAAAAAAATGTTTTTCTATGTTTGATTATGCCCATTCTAACAAAAAAATAAGATAGAAATAGTTAGTTCATTTTAAAATCGACGAAATACCAAAATACCATAATAGCAGATGTATTAATATCTAATAATTAAGATATTAATAATAATGAACAAGAAACGATGATTCAGTGTCATGGTACAAGTCATGGTAGGCTTTGGAAAAAAGTTGCTTTTGACGTAATAGTTTAAACGTCAAATTGTTATTAGATCAACATTTTGATAGTCTTAGCAGCGTTTTTTATGTTTTAATTGCTTTTTCAGAATGCCTTTATTATTTGAAGTAGTTGAAGTTGTTAGCATTTTGAAAAAGCAATTAAAAGATAAAAGACTATCAAAATGTTGATCTAATAACAATTTGACGTTCATACTATTACGTCAAAAGCAACTTTTTTCCAAAGCCTACCATGACTTCACTGAATCATCGTTTCTTGTTCACTGTTATTAATATCTTAATTATTAGATATTAATACATCTGGTATTATGGTATTCGTCGATTTTAAAATAAACTATCTGTTTTTATTTTATTTTTTTACAATGGGCATTACTGATACTGTGTTGTAAAAATAAGGTAATTACAGGCTTATTTTTTGGTATTTATTATAATTTTGCTAATATCTTCGGTTTGAAAGAAGATATCAAGATGCGGTTTTCGCTGACTTTTTAAGCTTTTACTACTCTTTACTATCAGCTAAAATTACACATACTATTATATTTAATTTTTTTGAAAAAACTCGCTATGTTTGTTAAATTGTAAGAAAGCGCCCCCTAGCGCCTACGTTCAAAACCTTATTATTATTATTCTTATGTTATAATATAGAGTAAGAAACGCTCTTTTAAACGAGCCCTCGTTTGTTGGATTCTGATCATCCAGTCTGGAGTTATTAACACTTAAATAAAGATAGATCTAACCTTCCTCCACCACTTTATTTTAGCAGATAGGGGAAAAATTTTTTTCGCAAACGTCTCAAAAGTATTAATTTTTGTCATTTTAACGCCTAAGCATAAAAGTAAAGCCTAAGCACAAAAGTACAAAAATATATTATTAAACTGATATTAAGTGTCAAATTTAACGAGTGTACAGATTGTTGCTCGATTGCTGTTTATATTAATTGCAATGTTTGAAATTGATTAAAAAATGATTTGTTGGAACTAAAATTAATTTTTGTTGATTAAAAACTGCAGATCAAAATGTCGGTAAGAATTTGGAAAAATACAACCGTTTCAAAAAAATATAAAACAACATATTTCCTGACAACGATTATAAATTCTCGGGAATGAAGATATAGTGTCTATATCAGAAGAACCTAGTTCTGCACTAGACTGCGAATGATATGTATTCGAACAGCAAATTTTTGTCATTTATACATAAATTTTAAAATAAATCCCTGCGTTTAGCGGTCTAATGGATTCACACGAAATTACAGTTCGTCTGTTGGATCTGTGTCTATGAAAGGAATGCGGACAAAAAACATTTAAATAAACAGTAATATATTTTATACGTCGACTTGATGAGTACGTCACCGCAAATCGCTCCGCCCACTCATTTTATTGGCTACTTGCAAATTTGTCGAATTTTTGTTGATGGGACGCGTCGTCTAATTTTTTACGAAAAACATCGAGAGAATATCGTTTCCCCTCTCACGGATACCCCGTAGCCACAGAACGGACAGACGTACTGTACTTCAAAAATCGGTAAAAACATTTAAATTGACGAATAGATATTTTTATATAGTTTTATAACATTTGCAATTACTTTTCGATTTATTTATCTGTTATATCTTTTATAGAAATATTTTTTATAGTTTTCTTTTCTAGGACACATTTTTATAACTTTATGATTTATAATAAAGTTTCAATAAAATTATTTTTTTTGATTTAAATCACATGATAAAATTAAAAAAATCACTTGATTTAAATCATGCCAACCCTGCTTTTATACCTCGTATAAAAGAATTTCTATAAATTGTATTAAATTAATTTCAGGTGTTGGGATGTTAATAAATATGCTAAAGTTAAAACTAAGACGCGTGGCTTTAGTTTTCATTGAAAAAAAAAGATTAGTCGTCTTTCCTCGAAATTAAAATCCACGGACAGGCCTAAGGATATAATGCCCTTAGTCGCGTGGCGGCGGTGTGACGGGCTGGAATACTCCTTTCCCACGATTCTACCCTTCGAATAAGGCCCTCCGCTTTGCCCTAGCGCTACCTACCGCCCCCCTGCACCCCTGGCCCTGTAAAAACTATAATGGTTTCGATTGTCACCAATGTCCAGCAGCACAAACTCAAGGTGTTCGACGAAACTGGACATTTATCATAAAAAGAATACAGTCCTCTTTATTTTCTTAAATCTAACTCTAATAAAATCGAAAAACTATTCTACCTTCACAGATAAAAATATTCTTTTAATAAAAAAATCATTAATTCGTATTAAAAAATGATACGGAAGCAATTTGAGAAGATTCCAGCCGAAAAACCAGGTAGAATAGAGGGTGAATCTGTGCACCTATCTCGATGGTACAGTTAGAGAACCTGATACAACATTCCGTTTCATCTGAAGGACGATAAAAAACAATTTACCGTAAAATAGTAGTAAAACCCTTTTCAGAACCTTCGTTTTTATCTATCAAACAGGACCTAACTGTATTTAAAACAGTCCCTAGACTTTTTATATATAGCCCTATAGGGATATATATAAAATATATATATTTTTTATCTATGTTATAGGGATAGCCCTATAACATAGATAAAATCAATAAAATTAAAAATATACGAAATAATATATATGTACTGATTTCTTTCGAAAATCGACAACTATGAAAGTATGAACCTTTACCGGCGTGAAGATAGCCACGGTTTTCCATCCACGGTTTCAGAAAAATCCCAACCATAGTAAACATATGGCAACGACGCTTTTCGTCCGATTTCAGCCACATCCACGGTTTTCGGTGTCGAAACGCCTCATTTAAAATATATCTACAGCGACACTTTTCTGTTGTTTATTATTAATAAGATTTAGAAAAGAATTATATAATAAGTTAATAGAAATGGTCGAGTTTAATATTTATATAAAATGAATAATTATTTTATGAGATATAGATTGCTTTAAAAATCCTCTTAAAAATTTAAATTCTATCTAGTTCTTAGCAAAATTCGATACTAATTTATTAAAGGTTGTGCCACAGCGAAACCCTTTGGAAAAGATGTATAGGTGACTAGGGTACACTACCCTATACTCAAAACCATTTTGCCGGTCTTTAGGAAGGGCCAGATTCAAAAACCGATATTTTTACATAAATTAGACAGCAAAAAATCGCCGTCAATTTGTTAAGGGTTGTGCCACAACGGGGCCATCTGGAAACGATGTACAGATGACAAGGGAATACCACCCCGTATTCAAAAATGTTTAGCGGTCCGTAGGAAAGGAATGAAGTACAAAACCGCTGGTCTCCATCAAAATTAAGAGAAAAAATTGTAGCTCATTTATAAAGGGTTGTGCCGCAACGGGTCCATCTGGAAACGATGTACAGATGACAAGGGTATACCAACCCGTATTCAAAACCATTTGCCGGTCCGGAGGAAAAGGGCCAAGTTAAAAAATCCGCTGTTTTTCTTGAAGATTAACAGAAAAAATTGGCTCATTTTATTAAAAAGGGTTGTGCCGCAGCGAGACCATCTGGAAACGATGTACAGATGACAAGATTTTTTACCACCCGTATTCAAAATCGTTTGCCGGTCCGTAGGGGAAGGGCCAAGTTCAAAACCGCTGTTTCTCTTGAAAATTAACCGAAAAAGAATTGTAGCTCATTTATTAAGGGTTGTGCCGCAATGAGACCACCTGGAAACGATGTACAGATGACAAGGGTACACCACCCCATATTCAAACCCATTTGCCGGTCCGTAGGGAAAGGCCAGAATCAAAAAACTGTCATTTTACCTAAGTAGAACAGAGAAAAAAAAAATCGCCGCCAATTTGTTAAGAGTTGTGCCACAACGAGACCACCTGGAAACGATATACAGTTGACAAGGGTACACCACCCGTATTCAAAATCATTTGCCGGTCCGTAGGAAAGGGCCAAGTTCAAAAAACCGCTGTTTTCTTGAAAGAATTAACAGAAAAAAAATTGTAGCTCATTTATTAGGGGTTGTGCCGCAACGAGTCCACCTAGAAACGATGTACAGATAACAAGGGTACACCACCCCGTTTTCAAAACCATTTGCCGGTCCGTAGGAAAAGGGGCCAAGTTCAAAAACCGCTGTTTCTCTTGAAAATTAACAGAAAAAAATTGTAGCTCATTTATTAGGGGTTGTGCCGCAACGAGTCCATCTGGAAACGATGTACAGATGACAAGGGTACACTACCCCGTATTCAAAATCACTTAGGTCCGTGGAAAAGGGCCAGCTCCAAAAACCGCTGTTTTCTTGAAAATTAACAGAAGAAAAATTGTAGCTCATTTATTAATGGTTGTGCCGCAACGAGACCACCTGAAACGATGTACAGATGACAAGGACACCCCATATTCAAAACCATTTGCCGGTCCGTAGAGAAAGGGCCAAGTTCAAAAAAACCGCTGTTTCTTGAAAATTAACAGAGAAAAAAAATTGCAATGTTTATTAAAGTTTGCCTGCGTTAGAGCACTTTGATGGCATTTTATATTCATGCCCCGTTCCGTAGGAAAAGGGCCAGAGTCAAAAGCATCAACAACTGGTGCCAAGAAAAGATTGCGCTGTTTACCATCGTTCCAGTGAATTTCGTTTCTAACAATAAATGAACTACTGGTGCCATACTGATACGGGNNNNCTCAGTGGCTGGATTCAGTTGCTCTTTTCGGCCACTTCCTGTTTCACCGGAAATAGTTCAAACTTTTGATTTTTAAATGGCACTCTCATTATTTTTAACTTTATTCGATAAATGACATTCACAGATATGACGATTAAAATTATATACCAACTCTTGACATTTTCGGTTCAAAATAGTGTATTCTAAATTTTCAAATTTTTTTTTTTTTTTTTTTTTTGTCATTATTTTTTTAATCAAGGAGCCAAAATAGATTTGATCGTTTGATCGTCTAATGTTTTAGGTCTGCCATGATACAACAGGGTTAAAAATAGCCTTTAAATCGTATTTTTGATATATCTCATTTTTCAAATGGAACGAGGTGGCTCATTAGCATGGAAAAGCATTTTTTGAGCGATGATTCAAGTGTCGTTATGAATTGCGTATTTCTTTCAAAATGAAATATATTCGAAAATGTTATAAGTTGACATATGTCTTGTCAATATATCAGCATGATATTCTATTAAGAATGTCATTTCTATAAAATAAAGTAACAAAACACCGAGGGTGCCGTTTAAAGTTGCAGTTGTTTCCGGTGAAACAGGAAGTGACCGAAGCTGTTGAACTAATCAATTAATCCTAATTTATATCATAAACTAACATAGCAAGTCTCGATTTTTTATCTGAAAAAATTAAAAAGTTATAGGGGTGAGCCACTTTTGAGACGCACCCGGTATATAGATTGGGCGTATTGTAAAGAAGAACTGTCATCAACTTTTACTAGAAATTGTTAATAACTAACGAGGGTAACATTTATTAAAAGTTGTTAGAAAAAGGAATTATATTTTAAAAATTGAATCACCTCCTTATTTACGCTGATTCCCTCATTTGAAAATTACAAAAAAAAAGAAAACAAAACAGAAACAGCAAAATTAAAATATTTTCTTTTATACTTAACCTCAAAAAATAGCAATAAGCTTTCAGACGCTACGGAGTATTGAACTGTTATTTTGTATTTACTGTGTGCCTTTTTCCTAGATATAACATAAAATGCATTTTCAGGCGCTAAACTGCACAACATTCCAATACCACAGTGTGCTGATAGACCTTTTGGAAGCGATGCATATTTTGAATGTATGGCCAGACACTTTACCTTCACGATATACCATCAAAGTGGGACTTGCAAAATGGGCCCGAAAACTGACAAACGTGCCGTTGTAAATCCACGACTAAAAGTATATGGAATACAGGGACTTAGAGTACGTAAACAATTAAGTAACTAAACGTAAACAATAATTTTCTATGCCTAAACATGCGTGTCATGAAATCATACAGTCTCAGGGCTTTGACAAAAGCGAGTATTTGAAACGGTTTTACAGAGGTTAGTTCTCCATCTCCGATATCAGTTGTACCAAAGTTAACGACACGAATGGTTATCGTTTCGGCACACTCAGTGATGAGGTGTTCCGGTGTCTGGTGTAAACCGTCTTAGACCGTTGGAAGATTCCCATTCCAGGTTACGGATAGAGTCTTCCAGGTTCTTGAGTTCTGCTTTAAGTTTGTTTCCACTTCAGAAAAAAAAAGGTTTTGGTCGATTTGTAGAGTGTGGCTAGATCATAGACCTAGAGTAGGAGGATTTTATTTTCTTTGCCTTATTTGTTCTCTAGGCATTCTTTGACCAACTTCGAATTGATGGTTACTGACTTGATCGCTCTTAAGGCTACTTCATTCTCGGATAAGATAGCTATTTCATGTTTCCAACAGTTCCTAAGATAAGCTGTACGCATCTTCCGATAGCGAGATTTCTGTTTGAAGGATGCTGGATGCTGGAGTAGGTGCCCATTGGTTCGGAGTATTTAGTTTTCGGCCCAAATACTACTATCCCTGTACCTGCTAGTTTTGGAAGCATTGATATACCACGTTATAGTATACCGATGGTTATGGTATGGTCTTTTAACTTCAGAGCAAACGTTTCTTTTTGGTGCTCAATACTACAGTGAGGTGTGTGTTATACTATACCACAGTACTGTTTCCGTCAATGACCATTCTAAATTTGTCGCATTGGCATATCTCCCAATGACAATGTGCGACGGTCTTGGGTCTAGAAAGACTTCCATTGCTGCTATGGGGCAGATTTTCATTGCTCCTGTGATGCAGATGAAAAGTGACGCGTTTAGGTCGACAATATACTCTAAAATATACGCAAAATCGATTTTTCAAAATTAAAAAAAATCAAACAGGGGAATAAGCCTACTATTAAAACTAATCAGACGTTTAATGTAGAAAGAAAAATATAACATAAAAACTAATCATTAAATCATAAATTAGATAAAAAATAAAAACTAATTATATATAATAATAAATTAAAGTTGTTTCAATTTTATTAAATGTGTATAATTTATTTCATAAAATAGGTAATGGACGCATCTGTGATACCAGAAATACCAGCCGCACACACTAATGCTCCCACATTCCTAATAGCAGAAAAGGGATCCGACATGATCAAACAAGATTGGGGCTTCAAAACTCAGTAGGACAACTTCAAAAATACGCTGTGATATATTTATTAAAATTAATTATAATTTCAATGCAAGATATGTTCAATAAATTAACACCCTCTATAGTATTGTGTTGTTTAAAATTGGACAAGGAATGTTAATATTAAACTGTCAAAGTCATATGAAATAATTCCATATTCTCAATTAGTAGATATAGTAACAAACCAGTAGTCCATATACAGTAACCTTTAAAAAGTTTGATACAAACCACAGTCTATTCATACCCATATTGTTGCAAACTTTTTAGCGGTCGCTATATATTTGTAAATATGTAGTACGTATCTAGTATATAATAGTACCCAAGTACCCAAATAAAATTGACAATTTTTTAACGTTTCTTTGTTTTATTCTTTTCTACATTGTGAAGCAAACAATCGTGAGCAAAATAGTATAAAGGTTGATTCTCACTATACCTTCCGTTTCCATTCCATATCCGTTCCATATTTTTTATTGTATTGACGCTATAAGTAAGCTTCCGCTACGTATCAGTTCCATACTTTTTACTGTACAATTTATTACACAATTTATTAAAAAAGTTTTATTTTAAAAATTTGTATCTTTTGAAAAAGGTAATAGATTTAATTAAGAGCTAAAAGAATCAGTAAATATCAGCAAAATGTTAACAGAACTGGTACAAATGTACGAACTTAACAACGCTGTTTCCGATACGCTTCAGTCCGTCCGCCAAGAAAATGTATGAAAGGAAAGGATATGGAACGGAAGGGAAACGGAACGGATAGTATGCATTGTCCTATTCATTTAGGTGATATAATATTTTATGTAAACGGAAGGGAAACGGAAGTGAGCTGATACGGAAGGTATAGTGAGAATCAACCTTTAACAAGCTTGCTTCACCTACGTAACCGTATAGATGGAGCTAAAAGCAAAGTAGGGTTCTATATAAAATAAAAATAGTATACTTAGAGAAAATTAAAAAGGCCTTTACTCCTACATATGTGCCAAATTCTGCAATAAGTTCATCAGATCGACGGAAAAAGCCATCCGACGACCGGTTTCGGAGATATATCCCCATCATCAGGCTGACTTTGCTGGATCCTTCGATCTGATAAACAAAATGCAATAATCGCATTTGAGTACCAAAGGTACTACCACAATGGCAAAGTCTACACAATCTCGCCATCTAGCGGCAGGCGTACACACCGTACGAATCTTACCACCAAATAAAACTAGCGGCCTACTGGAACCAACAAACTTGCCTTACTTACGTAACCATAGATGGAGCTAAAAGTAAATTAGGGTTCTATACAAAATAAAAATAGTATAGAGAAAAGTAAAAAGGACTTAATTCTTACATGCGTGCTAGTTTCTGCATTCATTAAGTTCATCAGACCAAAGGATTTTTCCTTATGATGGCATACAACGCATGACATGCACTCTGCGCTCTTTTTTTTTCCTAGGCATCGATCACCAGGATCATTAGCCATATACAACTCGTTGTTGTTAATGATGCAATTACAGGGATCTATCTCAATATCCTTAAGGGGTTCACCCTTACAAGGACAATTAAAATTTAAAAATCTACATTGACATAAACATTTCAAGTTGAGTGACAAAAAGATCAAAATAACTAAACACAAAAAATAGAGAAAACAAAAAAAACAACACAAGAAAAATAGGTAATTATTTACATCACAGTATCACAGTTGGATTAGAGTATCACAGGCGAGCATCACAGTTGGTGGTATATATTAATATCTTTCATAATTTCAAAATAATTTTAATTTTTTCCACCTCAGTTAAATTTTCACGAATTTCACCACGTATATCGAATCTGTTTCTTTCTACCGTATATTGAGGACATGCATATATAATGTGAGTTACTGCCAACTCTACATCACATACTATGCAGATAGGAGGTATTTCTCCAATGTGCATAGTCTGATATGCATGAGTCACCGTAGTATGCCCAATACGAAGCAGACGCACTTTGGATCCATCAGCTCGTTCTAGAAAAAGACGTAAGGCTGGGGTTGACGGATCTTGTTTTATTACGCAAAGCTTTGAAGGTTTACCTGCCCACTCATCCTGCCATTCCCTTTCTGTTCTTTTATGCAGTAGTACTTTACGATCATATTTACTAATACAAGGGAAATCAATTCTAGCAGCTTGCTGAGCAGCTTCATCTGCCATTGTGTTGCCAAGTATACTAGTGTGGCTTGGGACCCATACAAACGTGAGTTTGTTTCTCTTTTCGCTGCATTCTCGAATAAGCCTCTGAATTTTTTGTTTCAGAGGAACATGGACAAATATGTCATTTATTTTAGACACGACCTCTAAAGAGTCAGGAACATTAATTAAAACTCTAGATTGATTATATTCCTCAATGACATAGGATAAGGCTTTCCAGATCGCAAAATGTTCTGTGAGGAAAGTGGATGCTTCATGTCTTAAAGTCCGTTGGAAAGCTGACCCGTTGGTAATAATTGCACATCCAGCACCAGGTTGTTTGTGTTTTGGAGCCATCAGTATAAATAACAATTTTTTCGTTGTACTGATCTTGTATTTTCTGGAACTTTTGTTGATATATTTCAGGCGATGTGTCTTGACGTTTTAGTTTGTTCAGGTCTAATATTACTTCAGTTTCAGGTATTAGCCATGGAGGATTTTCGTAATGGATTTCATTGATTATCATAGGCAGGTTTCTCTCACTATATGGCTAGGATTTGCCAATGCCGAAATGAGGTAGGATTGCGCTAGCTTCCTCCCCTTCTATATTTAAGGGCTCTATTTCCGCTTCAGCACATAGGCTAGTTGCGGGGCTTGTGTAAAAAGCTCCAAGAGCTTGCCTTAAACATGCATTTTGTAGGCGGTCCAGGAGCTGTAAGGTTAATTTGCAAGCATTAGAGTATACCACCGAGCCATAATCTATCTTCGAACGAAGAATAAGAAATTCGAATCTTCTTCTGCACTCTTACCCCAAAGCTTGCTCATTTTTTCAATGATGTAGAGGAAGCTATTACGAAATCTCTATTGACTGGCCTAAGAGCAAAACATATAGGGCAAAATAAATAAAATTACAAAGCATTTCCACTAGTAGTGTGGAACTATCGAATGAATACTATCGAAACATTCGATAGTTGCAATTCATTCGAATAATTCGATAGCTCGTAAGAAAACATTCGTCGAAAACTATTCGAATAAAAATTATCGAATAGATGCGTCATCTGCCTTGAAATATTGTATTCTAGTAATTCGGCAGCAAAAACCATTCATTTATAAAATTCATTCATTTATCAAATTCATTTCTTCGTCAGGATCGATTTTAATAAAATATAAACTGGATTTTAGTTGTCGTCCGGCGACGTAGGTTTCTTTCCTAGAAACCCGACAGCGGTCGGTGGCAATCATATGCTATGAAAGAAGCCGGCATCTTTGATTTTTTGCGGAGTCAAATAAAGATAAGGACACATTATTTTTTTATTGAGGTGCTAGTATTTACACAAAAAATACATTATGAAGGGCGCTGTTGCCATATATTCGTATTAGTTGGTATTAGCAAAGAATATCATTCTTTAGCATTAGTTAGTTAGGGATAGAATGTCTATATGTTTTGCATTTTTTTATTAATATTCTGTTGTTACACTGCAATAATACATTTTATTTTGGATGTAGGAAAATGATTTTTAATGTTTTTAAGCAAAGACTGGTTTAATAAATGATAATATCAGTAATAATTTGTTATACCTATTAACAACAAAATTTAACATCATTTAATAATATAAACATTTTTTTAAGTAGTAGCAAAATATAAACAACAAATAGAAGTCAAAAGTATTTATATGAGATCCTATTTAAAAATAATATAGTCTCTAAATGGCAACGTTGGTTTATTAAATAATAATAATTACAGAACTAATTTGTTATATTAACAACAAATTTTAAAATCATGAAATATAAACATTTATTAATTTTCTAAGCATGCAGTGTAATGGAAGGAAAATATAAATAAAAAATTAGAAATCAAAATTATTTACATTACTTTTTATTACTTTATATTACTATTTAAAAAAAATAATTACTTTTACCGGCATATACTTTAAAAAATAAATGAAATATTTCTTCGCAAAAAACTACATGTAAGAGAATTAGCATAAATAAAATACAAACATTGTTAACTTTTTCTTTTAAATTGGCACGTGTAAAACTTTCAATTTAATTTTCTCACCCCAAAATTTGAGTTTGATAACCATTTACTTAACCACATTACTTAAATATGATTATTAAGTTCAACTAATTCATATTATTAAAACATCTAAAATACAAATATGTATTTTTAAAATTAATTGTAAGTTCATCTCATCTCTCTTAAAAATTGCTGCTTCTCAAAATTTCCCATTAAATAAATGCAATCTAACCTAACCATAATATACCATATAAAATTAAATAATTGAAAGATCGGGCTACGGAAAATCACACAAATTTTCGGAAAAATTTTGACCACTTCGCACACAATCGTCAATTAAAAAAAAACTACTATTTTAGTATTTTAAATATTTTAATAAACGCAAAAATAGCACGGCGAAGTTATAAAAATTTGGAAGAACTAATAATGCACTGACGCACACAAAAATCAAACGAATACTAAATTTCATTTATCACAAGCATTCGATAGTCGTGGCGCAACGATAACCATTTAGTCGCACGGCGAGGTTGTCACATATGCTTTAGTATACAAATGAATGAATGATTTTATTCGAATAAAACCATTCGATAGTTGAAATCATTCATTCAGTAACCATTCGATAGTCTAATTCATTCGATAGTTCCCATCGCTAATTTCCACAACAGTTCAAAAATGTTGCCTGTAATAGTAAAATAATTAAATTTACATAAAACATTTTCGTAAATGTACATTAATTAGAAAACGAATCCAAATAACTTTTTAAGTACTTACTTCTTTGGAATGCACTTCAATTTATATTTAATAAGAGAATTAGAATTTACTCACGTCCATATATACAGAGTGGTTCAATCCAATTATTGATTTCCAAAACATATCAATATATTTTTAAATAATACAAAGTGGTCCATACTGTATTCCGGAAACTTCGGAAGTATATTCTGCAGATAAAAATAAGTAAAAAAGTTCGTATAAATGTATGTCCTAAAATGCTTAGTTTCGGAGATACAGGGTATAGAAATTCCATTTTTATTTCGATTTTTTCCAAATAATTTCTGAAGTAACGTCAATATTTGGATGGAAATTAACACGTTGAGTAGATAATTATTTGACTGAAATAATAAATATGGGAACTTTTTATTTTATTGAATTGAGGATAAAACAAATGAAAAATGATGATAAAATAGTTTCTGTTGAACTTTTGGCACAAAAACATTTCAAATTTATTATTTCAGTCTGATAACTATTTAGTCAACATGTTTAATTTATGTCAATGATGACAGGTATTCATAATTTTGATTCCAAATATCTCGAGAACCATTACTCGTAGCGATTGTTACCAAGAGACCTCTTTTTACGTAAAAAACGTTGTAAATGTATATTTTTCACCCAGTTTGTGACTCAGTAGTTTCATACAGGTACGGACGAAAAGTTATTAGTCTTCAAACCAGTTAAAAAATATGTAGGTGGCGCCCTCTACAAGTAGGAGTCATATTGACATCAAAATCAAATTTTAAATGCCAAAAAACTCGCAGACACCAATTTTCATCCAAATATTGACATTACTTCAGAAATTATTTGGAAAAAATTGATATAAAAATTAACCAAACTTCTACACCCTGTATCTCCGCAACTAAGCATTTAAGGACATACATTTATATGAACTTTTTTACTTATTTTTATCTGCAGAATATGCTGCCGAAGTTTCCGAAATACAGTGCGAACCACCCTGTATATACCGTGATGTGGTGGATCGGAAATTTTGAAAAAGTCAAATATTATCTCCCCAGATGATTTAATGCAAAAATTGTATAAGACTTTTTTGAAGAGGCGTTAAAGTTGTACTTTTGTCTAAAATTTCGTTTCATTTGGAATAGTCGATATAATAAATAATACATAAATCGATTGGCCCAAGTCACTCCAGATAATTGGGTAAATCAATCATCTGTATGACAGTATGATTTATAAAAAAAATAACGCCTTCAATTAAAAACACAATTTCTTTACAATTTTTTTTATAAATAATGCTATCAAACATAGTCAGGTCTAACATTAGTGATACTCACCCTGTATTAACCTTACTTTCTAACTACATAATTAAAATAAACTTATATAAGTCTGCCAAATAAATTAACAATGCATATTGCTTCTAAATACCCATCAAATCTCTATAAACTGAAAACCGCAAAATGAAGTCAATTGTGAGTATATCTATCATTAGCAAGTGTCCAATTTAACTAATAAATAATGTTTATATTCAATTTTAGATTATAATTTCCATTTTTGTGACTCTGGCTGTAGCATCGCCGCAAGGGAGAACATCCAAAACCTACGTACCTAGCGAATATGAAAGGCATCAGAACGAAGCTGCAAGGTAGTACTTTTTTAACCAACCTATTATCCATTGATGAAATACCGACAATAGGCAATACTGTTTTTTCGCCGAAAAATTAATAGACGCATGAAATAAAATTGAACATATTTTTTTTTCATCAAATATTAGGATTTTTGGTAATTTTTTGAGCTAGAACTATTTTTAGCTAATCAAAAAAAATATTTTAAACCAAAAAATATTATTTGTTGTGTGTTGATTGCATACTATTCACTCAAATCCAATGCACTGACTGTTCCGCTTTAAAAATTAACAGACTTTTAGCAAAATAGCACAAAATGTTCACAGTTAAAATAAAAGCACGGTATAGGACACCGTATATTAATATTTACTTTATGATAAATTTACTTGCAGATATCAATTTTCGTCAAACATCGATGATCACATAAGCGACTTGACCCATCAAAGGTCAGAAGAAAGGGATGGGCTGTCTGTTAAAGGAATGTATTCTTACAGCGATGGATATTACAAAAGAACAGTACATTATGTAGCTGATGACAAAGGATACAGAGTGTTAAGGTAATTCCAAGTTAACAAAATATAGCCAAAAATCTGCATCCAAAATTGCGATCTGGATATACCCTAAATGTTAAAATGATTTAAATGATTTTAAATATGCACCATAACTATTATTTTTTCTTTATTTTTACATCTCAGTTCTTTAATATCCATAGGATTATATTCAACGAAGCTTGCCCCAAAATTTTCAAATATACAGAGTGTTTCAGATCTAAAATCCATACCAAAGTTAATTTTTTTTATGGAACATCCCGTATATAATTTTTAATTTTTGGATTCTTTAACCTAAAAAACGGCATCTACATATATAAAATGCTAATGTTTATCTGTGTCGTCTCTACTGAGTAACGACTTACTCTAGAAAGTTGCTTTTTTTTACTAAAGATAGTTAATTGGCTCTTCTAAAAACTGTCGTCGCCGGATTTTTTGTTTTTCATTTAATTAAAATAAAATTAAAAAGTATTTTTTTCCTTGATGTCGTGGCGGATGCGCCAGGCTTCAACTACTCGTAGTTTATTATAAGGGTCAAATAAATGTTTAAAAGCATTGGTTTTGGAGATATTTAAATATGTATGCTATAATAAAACAGATGGTCAACACCCTGTACGTTACTTTTCAGAATTAATTCTTTCGCTGAATTTTAAGCTAGAGAAATAACTTAACTGAAAAATTTGATTGCTTCCTTAAATTTATACAGGGGTATCAAAAATTGCTGGTCTATTTTAAATATTTATTTTACGTAAAAATTTGGTGATTTCAAACCAAACACCCTGTACCTTCTTAAATAAATTGATACAGATCTCAATGCACTTTCAAACTATATTAGTTTGTAAGTTTTTGAATAAAAAGCAATTTTTCTATAAAAAGACAACTAAGGTAACTGGTGCCATAGCAATTTGTTGGTGATGATAGCTGTTTTCAAAATCGAAAAGTCGTTTATCGAGTATATTTAAATTTATAGCACAGTTTACATCATTTAATTTACCTACAATAGAAGAAAAATTAAGAAGCATCCGCTCGAGAAAAAACGGCGTCAAAGACGGCTAGGAAATGACAATCGATAACAATTTTGACGAAGTCATAAATTGACATAAAACTTGTCAGAAACTAATACTCATTATCGAAA